TGAAATCGGGCAAGACGAAATCTTCGACAGTAAATCTCTTTGTCCATGCACTTCAATGTGTGAAAATCAATTGATATTTTTGACAAGAACGTTAGTGCCATAATTTCATATAAAACAACCTACCAAAACCAACGAGTTTCTCTGTAGTTTCCGTCATTAGCTAGAAACAATTTTGGACTGTTTAAATCCGACGTCGTTCAATTCACACACATTCGAATGTTATTAGAAAACTCACCGAATAAGGAGTAGCTTTTTGTTAAGAACAAAAATTCTACAATTGTAATTGACTCCTTTGTGTTTGATAGGCACACCGATATCCACAAGAATATCATTGGTAAGATCGGTTGACAAAATTTCGGCCAAACATTCCATGGCTGTTGTGATTCGATCAAGCCAAAAAGGTCATGATTTCGAGAAATTTGATCAATTAAAATTGTTCGAATGGAAGTGAATTTAAATCAATATCGAATTCAAGTTATTATTATTTACAATTATTGTTTTGAAAATTCATTTCGGATCATACATACAATGTGTATAGGTGTCTGTTTCTAAAAAGTGATCTTGGCAACCGTATCCAGACAATTCCAGTTCTGGGCCCATACGATATCTGGCTCCCTTCTCCTTGGCAATTTTAATGCTTTGCTTCACTCTCTCAAGATTGCCCGAGAAATCCAAGGCCCATTGATCCAAGTTACAGGTAGCCAAAGTGACGAGATGCATTTTTTTGTGTTTTTGAACTTTTGGAGTTCATAAATGGGAAACAGTTCAAACATGGATCTGCAAATTCTCATTGATTGATCCATCAGAAGTGGAATGTGGCAAGAAATCATGCTGAATGCAGGTATAAATTTCGTTCAAGGAATTTTTGTGTCATTCCTTCCACGTTATTGAACAAGCTCTGTCAAATGAATTTCTTCCTGATCCGCTAAAGGGCTCGAAGTCTTCAACTTAACCTTATCCACACTTTCAAATCGTTTTCGCATTTCCTCGATAGCTTTCTTAGATTTTTCATCCCATTCTTTTTCCTCGTCCAAATCCATGACCCATCCTCCAACTTTTTTCTTTTTAGGAGTTGTGCTTTTTGATTTTGTTGGAGATTTTCTCTTCTTTGGCGTACTTGTGTCCTTCGTGTAATTTTCATCTTCCTCGTCATCGGTGGTGGTGTCTCTCTTTTTTCTTGGTGTTGATCGTGTTTTTCTTGGAGTTGTTTGCTTCTTCTTTCGTGCTGTTCTTGGAGGAGTTTTGATTTCCATTGTCACATCCTCATCTTCACTTTTCCTTCTTCCTCGGTTGCAGCAGCTGCTTTCTCTTCCCGTATTGAAGACGATTCAACAAATAATTTTAAATTGTCACTTTTCAAAGAATTAATGTTATCAATAGCTTGTTTCACGACAGAAGGTGTAACAAATTGTGGAGGTGTTGGTGGTAACACAGCAGATCTGTTCAAATTCTTCTTCGGAGTTGAGATTGGTGGAGAGGATATCAATACTTCATCCTCCTGATCGATCTGAGTCAAATCATCAAAAGCCTCCCTCAACATTGAAGTATCAATTTGCGTCAAATCGAGAACGTCCTCTTCATTCTTCTTTGAGGAGTTGTGAGGAGTTGTTGTTGATCGAACCACGAAAGGGTTCTTAATATCATCACGAGGAATTTCTGCTGGCTCTTCTTCATTCAACAAGGCAGTTAATAACGAGTCTTGAGTTTGGCTTTTGGATGAGTGCTGTGTCGGAGGTAATGTGGAGGTTTTTGGAAAGGAAACCGTTGTACTTGTGGTGGTTGATGCTGATGATGGCTTTGAAGAGGTACCGACTCCGATGAGCCTTCTGAATTCTTCATCGCTGATCATGTTGTCTTGTTGCGGATCAAATGGCAATAATATTCGATTTTTTAATTTTTTTTTACTTTTTTTGTTGGTTGACTTCTCTTTCTTACTGGAATGTGGAAATGAAAAGTATAAATTTATTACTTCATATTCAAATGAACAACAATGATTCCAAAGAAAACACCTATTGCACCTGCTTCTCAAAATACTCTCTCGAATTTTTTGGGTTCGCTTTCAAGGTTGGCTTTCCCTGTTGCCATCCTGCAGGACATACCTCTCCATGCTGAGCTACAAATTGAAAGGCTTGAACCAATCTCAAAATTTCATCCACATTACGACCCACATCCATATCATTCACTGTAATTTGTCTCAACACTTGTTGATCATCAATGAGAAAGGTTCCACGAACAGCAGTTCCATCCTCCATCAATACACCATACGTAGCCGAAAGGGATTGATCCAAATCGGAGATGAGAGGAATGTTGAGAGAGCCTAAACCTCCTTGATTTCTTGGAGTTTGAGTCCATGCAAGATAGAGTGAATTCACTGTCCACTGAGACACCAATGACTTGAGTGTTCAACTTTCCAAATTCATGGGCACGATCTGAAAATTGAATAATTTCAGTGGGACAGACGAAAGTGAAATCAAGAGGATAGAAGAACAAGACAACATATTTGCCTTTGTAGTCGTTCAAGTTGATGGTTCCGAAAGATCCATCTGGAAGCAAGGCAGTCTTGGAAAAGGATGGAGCTGGATGTTGAATGCGAGGAGTCATAATGAAGTTTGGCAGATCTGACTATTTTTTTGTTCGAAGCCGGAATTCAAAAAATGTCAACAACAACTTACTCCGAGATAAAGAGCCAACTTGAATCCGTTACCACTCAACTTCTTTCCATTCAAGAAGGAATTGATAATCGAATGAAAGAATTGAAAAAACTCGAAGATGATCTCAATTTAAAATTCAAACTGATGGAAGAAAATGCGAAAAAAGCTCGAGATGTAATTAAACTTGATGTTGGTGGAAAGATCTTCAAAACTTCGAAAGAAACTCTTCTCAGTAGAAAAGACACGTTCTTTTATGCCATGATTTCAAGCGGAAAGTGGCTACCAGATGAAGAAGGGTGTTATTTCATTGACAGAAATCCAAAGATGTTTCCATATATTTTGGATTATTTGAGATATGGTAAATTAGATGTTCATCAGCTTACCACTCAACAAAAAGCCATCCTGGCTGAAGAAGCAGATTATTATTTAATTCCTGAGCTTGCTACTAAAACGGAAACCGTTGTGGATGACTGTTTTGATGAGACATTATTGGGTCCTTATCCCTTCCGCCTATCGAAAAATAAAAATTGAAAGTTCCCTCAGTATTTCAATCATTTATTATCTGTATGTATACTGCGAACGAAAGATGCGATATCTGGGGCGGTGCATGAACGAGAAGAATTCAGGGTAAAATATCGATTCTCCAAATTCAGCACAAGTTCTGACAAGAACAACAAGTGGAATCCAGGAATTCCATCTCCAACATGCAATAAAGGGCAGCCTTCTCCAATGGTCGTTAGTGGTTGAAACCACCGCACAACACTATAATCACACTAAGGGAGCACATTTACAATTGATCAATATCGATCTCATGCACTCAATGAACTGTTTTCATCTCGTCACATATTGACTTGAATCAAGAGCAACTCGATGGAAACGGTTATGCTATTGCTCAAGGTTTAACGCTTTCACAATAACATCCTACTGATCCAGTAGGCAGGTGACTGGATTCAACTTTACTTTGTTGCATGTTGTTAATGGGCATCCTGGATAGGGAACGTAATTAAATTTTAGTAATAAATAAATTTGGGGTCATGATAGGCAGTAAAGCAATGTAAATGGAGATAGCATCCACATCCCATGCATTTGTATCCACATCCCGAAGAAGAGTCTTTGCAATGAGAGCATAATTGATACCGTTCCAACTTTTTGAGTTTCATGGGGAAGTGAGTTGTTCTGGTGAAATAAGGGTTACAAAAGGTCACAGTTTGAGCAAGGCTGTGCTTGAGGTAGTCGCAAAGAGTTAAACCTGGGTTATTAATGTGATGCTTAAATATGATATACTGGTTGACAAACGAAGTCTTCATCATCTGCAATAAATGGACAGTTTTCCAGTTTTTGTTTCTAAAAGGAGGATGAGTGTAATGCAAGAAAATTCCAGATTTGTCAACACATCCCATTGATTTGTTATACATTTCTTGAACGTATGGTTTGTTTTTGATTAATTGACTGCTTCCTAAATTTGTCAAAAAATTAACTCGTTTGTTGTCATTAATTGACAATGCCACTAAAGTGTTCTCCTTATTTACAGCATGGATCCATTTTCTAGTTTTGCTTCCAGGGAGTTTTTTCTGCAATCCTTCTGAGAATAGATAAGAAGGACGATTGTTACTGAGAGTCATAACAAATTTCCATCCATGATTCACCAATTCTCTCGCAAGATCTAATGATCCATAATAATTGTCGATTCCCAAAACATGATTTTCTGGTGAAACATGTTTAACTAAATCTAAAACAATAGATGTTGCATTATGAGAATACCTTGATTCTTTTCCTTGATATAACCAAAATGCATAAATATAACCTGTAGAGTCTGATAAAGCATAATATTTCAGGCCGTACTTGTGAGGTTTCAATGGGATATATTGTTTAAATCGTACTTTCCCTTTAAAAGCAGCAATTATTTCATCAACTGAAACTTCTTTAACACATAACCAATAATGTCTACTGTTCGAATTAACATTGTCCTCTAAAAAATTAGGTTCGCTACTGAGATGCATATGTATGTCAATAAATCGTTTCCGGCTCATTATTCGTTGAATGAGTTTGCAAGCATAGAATGCATGATTCTCCGTCTATTGACCAATAATCATAGTAATTTGGAATTGGAGATAATCCCATAATTTGGCAAATTTGTAAAAATCCCTTAATGTCGTCTTTGGAATAATGATTGGGAATAGTACAGCCTTTCTTTTTTTCTAAATATTTGGCAAAAGGTTCGACCTTGGGCTCCGACTCAAGTATATCATTGATCAATGGAGGGGGATTGGCATCATTGATTTCCTGAACCATGTTTTCGTTATCATGCTCATATTTTCGTTTGAAACGTTTTTGCTTCTTTTCGTGTTTTGATTTTGTGTTTGACCATTCTTTGTGATCATTCAATGCTTGTTCATACTCAATACAATATTCTTTTTTCCAGTTTGTTCTTTCGTAAATATGTTGCAATATTTTGTCATTCCAAATTATGGAGGTAGATTCTGGCAACGATAAATGTTTCGGAAGATTTCTAGGACCTGAATTGGTTGGAGGTTCCACATTCACATTCGGAAACACAGCATTGAGAGTCCATTCATGTTCAAAAGTTGGCTTTACCAAGTTACAACAGGTGTCAGCACATTTACACTTGTCTGTGCATGGTAGTCCATTCTTTCTACAAACACAGTTTTTGCATGTCGTGCACTTTGCTGTACAAAATATTGTTCGGTCTGCTGATGCTGTGTCCTTTCTTCGTTCTTGCTCCGTGGTATCATCAGTCAAACTCCATTCTTGACTAAAGCAAAAAGATGGATGAAACATATCAGTACACTCTTCTATGTAATCCGCAAGTTTATGGTTTATCGGAACGGGTTCATCAAAAATTTCGGAATAATATTTATCTGAATTAAGTTGTTGTGCCAACTCATAATACTCCTCGTCCAAAAGCATGAACAAATTATCTCCAATTAAATTAATTCCTTCGTTCAAGAGAGTGGTTTCGGAATTGTTTGAAGGGATCATGACTGTTTTTTTCAACAATTCAATCAAGCACAATCAGGTCCATTTTTTATGTTGTTTTTGATGGGTAGAGCTTTTAATCAATACTGGGAAAACGAAAGACCTGAGGCACCGAAGGGCCAATAAATATTTTTTCAATTTTTTTATGTTGTTTTTATGTTCAACCTGGAGCATCAAGACCCAAAGAAAATTATTACTTATTGTCGATAATTTCTGTATCACCCAAATCCTCAATACAGAAAATAGGTGATGGTAAATTTATTTGTGACAAACTTGAAGCGCCCCTCTTCAACCAAAATTTGCCTGCGAAAAATTCATTCAAAAATTTTTCGTTAGGCTTAAAGGTTAATGGCTTTCGAAGAGAATCTTATTGGATATGTGTGGGTGTTATCAAAAAACCAATCAAGAGTACAACAAGTAGTTTCTATGAGACGCATGGATTTTCAAGTCAAAATCAAAAATACCAGCCAGCTTCAAGTGTAACTGGTATGAGTGGAGACTGGGCAGATGGGCATGTTATTCAAGTGAGCTTGGATTGTGATCAATATACGCTCAGTGTGAAAACCTGAACACTCGAAAGGAAGAATTTTGGAATAACTTGCCAAGAGGTGAAACTTATTATCTAACAGCTAATTTGTATGACAAGGAAAACTCAGTAACTATTATTTGAGAGTAAATAAAGCCACCTCAAATTCATCCCATTCACTCACATTCAACAAACTAAGATTGACACATAGCTTAAATAATTTGCATAGTTTTTTGGCCAAGTTGTGAAGAATGAAAGGCATGTGGTAACAAGTTATGTATAACAACAATTATCATTCAGCCTTTTCCATCGCTGAGGCAACTATTATGCGTTACCTTGGAAAACCATTGTACTTCAAATAATATAATCGAACAAATTGAATTCGGAAAGGCTTCACTGTTTCACTGATTAATATTAGAAAAAATGTCTGAATCTTCCACTGCTGGAAAGCCAATTGAATGCAAGGCTGCTGTTTGTTGGGCTCCCAATCAACCTTTGTCCTTGGAGACTGTTACTGTTGCTCCACCAAAGAAGGGTGAAGTTAGAATTAAATTGTTGTGCACTGCGTTGTGGTAAGTGATGTTATTATGAAACGAGAGTATGAATTAATACAAGATAAAATTTTAATGACGATGATGATTATGAATTTTCTAAACTTGTGTAATGATTATGAATGATTCAACACAAAATTTTCAATTATATACTAATTTTTAAATATTGATAAATCAACAATATTCATTGGGTGATCGTGATGATCATTACTACTTAATCCGTCATTTACAATCACAAAAATTAATATATTACATATTAATCTGTCATGTGTAGCCACACCGATGTCTACACATGGTCTGGAAGTGATCCAGAGGGTATTTTCCCAACAATCTTGGGCCATGAAGGTGTTGGTATTGTTGAAAGCGTTGGAGAAGGTGTTGAGAGTGTTAAAGTTGGAGATACTGTAATCCCATGCTACACTCCACAATGCAAAGAATGCAAGTGGTGCAAGAGTCCAAAAACAAATTTGTGTCAAAAGGTAGGTGGACAACATGTTGTAGACCCATGTGTCAAGTATTTAACACCAAAATGATCAAAAGATTAGAGCAACTCAAGGAAGGGTAAGTCACAATAGTGATCAGAGAATGTTTTATCCACCATATTGAACTATTGAAACTTTGACGTTTGGCATGATGGCTTGATTCATTGAAAATCCTTGAATCAATATGCGGTTCACCACTCATTCAAAATCACTCACAATAATTACGTGAATATGGATCTGTGGTGCAATGATCATCAAATACCTTTCCAAATGTTTAATTTCAACATTGTATTTTGCAACAATCATGAAAACATCCATTTCACATGAAGGGTTTGATGCCTGACGAAACTTCAAGATTCACTTGCAAGGGTCAAACTGTTTATCACTTTATGGGTACCTCAACTTTCTCCGAATACACTGTCCTTCCTGAAATTGCCTGTGCAAAGATCAATCCAAATGCTCCAAAAGCAGGTGCTTGCTTGTTTGGATGTGGCTTAACCACTGGTTTGGGTGCAGCTTTGAACACTGCCAAGGTGGTAAGTAAGAAGTCTTTTTCTGTATGATTACTGTAATATTGTATAATCTCCATGTGTTTGTTGTAAACGATTGTGTGATCATTATTTGACATGCAAAATGTGAAATGTACTTTTGACCATGTACAAACACACCACTATGTGTGAATGTCACACATCTCTGAACATTGCTTTGAACGAATTCCCAATAGGAACCTGGCTCAAATTGTGTGGTCTTTGGATTGGGTGCAGTTGGTCTTGCTACTATTCTTGGATGTAAGAAGGCCGGCGCTGCCAAAATTGTTGGTGTAGACATTAATGAGGCAAAATTTGAAGTTGCCAAAAAGTTTGGTGCCACTGATTTCATTAACCCAAATAAGGTTGATGATGTTGTGAAGGCAATTGTTGACTTGACAGATGGTGGAGCTGACTTTTCTTTCGAATGTGTTGGTAACGTTAAGCTCATGAGACAAGCTTTGGAATGCTGCCATAAAGGTTGGGGTGTGAGTACTATTATTGGAGTAGCTGCCGCTGGTCAAGAAAGTAAGTTTTTTTGCATTTTCTTTTTCGTTGGCAAGGTTCTAATCATTCATTTCATCATTTCTTGACCAAACATAACATGTGAATACTTCAATATTGTTCAATGCATTTCATTTGATCTTTTACATGTGCAACACGTATAGTTTCTACTCGTCCATTCCAATTGGTGACTGGTAGAGTTTGGAAAGGTACAGCCTTCGGTGGATACAAATCAAGAGATTCTGTACCTCAGCTCGTCGAAGATTACATGAAGGGAGAAATTGACGCTGATGCTTTCATCACTCATCATTTTGACTTTGAAGATATCAATCAGTCCTTTGAGGCTCTTAAGGTAAGTCCGTGCAGTTTGTTTGCAATTTTTTACGAGTCCATCACTGTGATGCTTGAAACAACATGCATTTCCAATATCCAAACTGCACTTGATAATTTGTCATCTCACATATGTTAAACAAATCATTCTTATCGTTCCTATCCACATATTCACCAACACACAGTCTGGAAATTGTTTGAGAGCAGTCATGTATTATGACAAGAGTTTCAAACCAAAGCAATAAAAAGCTGAAGAGCACACTGTGATGTGCGACCGGACATTTGTGAAGGAGAAATTGTTGTAATCATTTCACAAACTGTTCTGCAAAAAAATGCACCCCTCAACAACAGGTTCTTCTCTTCTCGACAATGAAAAGGCTTCTCGTCGTTTGCACATGATTGGAGCCCACTTGATGCAATCCAACGATCATCAAAGATTTTCCTCTGAAAATATTGTTTCATCAAATGAATGCGCTGGATCCGCAATGGGTCTCTCTGCTTCCTCTCTCTCCATGATGAAGATGGGAGCCAGTATTCCAAACAAGAGACAAAAAATAACAAAATGGAATGGATGGGGATACAAGGATACCGATTTCGTCATGGATGAAAAACGAGATGTCTATGTTACCGGAGATCGTTATATTCTCTCAGGTCACTACGTCCCTGATTTTCGTCCTTGGTTTGAAAACTTTACCGGACTCGATACCAAGTATCCATCTCCACCTCAATCATGGGAAGAGATGCAAAAGAAGATTACCAAACCAATTATTTGCAAGGCTTTCGTTGATGATATCAAACAAGCAAATTGTTTCAAATTTATTGCCTTTGAAGATGAAGTTCGTTTATTGCACTCTCACGGACACACTTGCCAAGAAATTTACCAATTAAGATACGGAAAATTTAAGAGATTGGTGGATATGGTGATTTATCCTGGTTCACATGATCATGTTCAACAAATTGTTTCAATTGCAAACAAGTATGCTGATCAATTGACCATCATTCCATACGGAGGTGGTACCAGTGTTTCACAAGCTTTGATGTGTCCTGAGAATGAAACTAGAATGATTGTTTCTGTTGATATGCAAGAGATGAATCGAGTGTTGAGTGTTGACTTTGAGTCTAATACTGCAGTCATTGAGGCTGGTGCCATTGGAATTGATATTCAAAAGGAACTCAAAGAGAAATATGGCCTCACTCTTGGCCATGAACCTGACAGTGTTGAATTTAGCTCGGTCGGTGGTTGGGTTGCCACAAGAGCCTCAGGAATGAAGAAAAATTTATATGGTAATATTGAGGACATGTTGGTAAATTTGAAAATTGTTACACCAACTGGTACTTGGTCACTTCCATGTAATGTTCCAAGAAAGTCCACTGGTCCAGACTTGTTGCACTTGTTCCTCGGATCAGAAGGTACTCTAGGTATTATCACTGAGGTCACTCTAAGAGTTAGAAAATGCCCTGAATGTCAAGTTTATGGTTCAGTTCTTGTTCCTGACTTTGAGACTGGAGTTGCTTGTCTTCATGAAGTTGCCACCAAGAGAGTTGCTCCTGCTTCAATTCGTCTCATTGACAACTCACAATTCCAATTTGGTCAGTCTCTCAAACCAAAGCAAGAGAGCGTGTTTGAGGGTATTGGTGATTGGTTCAAGAAGATTTATGTCACAAAAGTCGCAGGATTTGACCCTGAAAAGATGTGCGTTATTACATTGTTATTCGAAGGAACTCAAGAAGAGGTTGATAGACAACAAAAGATTATTTATGACATTACTTCCAAGTATGGAGGTTTGAAAGCAGGAGCTGAAGCAGGTGGTAGAGGTTATTTACTCACCTATGTGATTGCATATTTGAGAGATTATGGTTTCAATTATTATTTCATGGCTGAAAGCTTTGAGACTTCTGTGCCATGGTCCAACATTGTTCCAATGATTAACAAGGTCAGAGAGAGAGTTGTTGACTCTGCCAAGAAGCATGGCGTCATTTCTGTACCTTGGGTTTCTGCTCGTGTCACTCAAACCTATGAAACTGGTGCATGTGTCTATTTCTATTATGGTTTCATCTTTAGAGGATTGAAGGATCCAATTCGCGTCTTTTCAGAAATTGAGGCTGAGGCAAGAGATGAAATTTTATTGCAAGGAGGAAGTTTGTCACACCACCACGGTGTCGGTAAATTAAGAAAACACTGGATGCCAGAAGTTATCAGAGAACAAGGTGTGGACATTTTGAAGTCGCTCAAGCAAAAGATTGATCCTAACAACTTGCTTGGAAATGGTAACATGGGCTTGACTAAGGCTGACTTGTCTGTCTCTGCTCTAATTGAATAATCGATGGTCGACCTTCAATGTATTGAAATGTATTTTCTAGAAGAAAAATGACATGTTGCAACAACATGAACCTCTCATCTTTCTGTCCTCATTATGCTGAGGAGAATAGAAACATTTATTATTATTTTCGAACATTATTATTATTCGTATTTATTTACTGTTAAACATTACAAAAAAATGAAATTACCAAATTTCGTACTTTTTCTTGTTGTCTTATTTTCAACTTGGATGGCTCTTCTGATCGGAATCATTCAGTGTGGTATTAACCCAGTCGTATTGCCACATTTACCCTATGCTTATCACGAGTTAGAACCTCACATTGATCAAGCTACCATGAAAGTGCATCATAGCGGCCATCATCAAACCTACGTCAATAATTTGAATGGAGCCATTGAAACCCTATTGAAGAGCACCAACGATGATATTCAAAAATTTATTTGGCAAGCACAACGCATTGAAACCTTGTTAGCAAATTTACATTTATTACCCATTGATGAAGCAACTAAAAAGACGATTAGAAACAACGGAGGTGGATTTGTAAATCATAATTTATTCTTTGAATTAATGATGGATGAAAAACATAGAACATCAAAACCAAGTGAAAGAGTGGTTAAAGCATTGAGTAAACAGTTTGGATCTGTTGATGAATTTATTAAACAATTTAATGATCAAGCTTTGAAAGTATTTGGAAGTGGATGGGTAGGTATTGTTTTGGAATTAATGCTTGAATTCTAGAATATGACTATCATGTACTTTGAAATGCATCTCAAAATGATCACAACACTGAACACATTACAATTAAATATATGAATGAATGTGCGTATCAATGACGATGATTGTCATTGAATAATTGATTCATACTGTGATCAATGTGGATCCACATTTGTCACTTGATGTTCAATCATCCTGTATGGATGAACTCTTCAAAGGTCGTTCTCGTGAAAAGAACCTTTTTGAAAACTCTCAATTCAGAATTGTTGATCAAAACCTACGCCAACCAAGACAGTGCTTACATGAATGAACAATTAACCTCTCCTCAAAAAGACACCACAAACACCATGATTGAATACATGGATGAACCAGTGCTTTTATTGGATGTTTGGGAACATGCTTATTACCTCAAACATCAAAACAAAAGAGCTGCCTATGTGTCCGATTGGTGGAATGTGGTTCATTGGAGCAAAGTAGAGGATCGCTTATTTAAATGTGAATTTGATGTTGAATTTGTTGATGATGTTGAACTTAAACACCATTCTGCCTGTAAAAACAAGGATGAGCTTTGAATGTCATTAATTTATACTATGATTGACACCAATGTATCAACAATGGACGTATTTCGATCCAAGTGAACAACAATATGCATTGCAATTGGTGAAATAAACAAGAATATGGATAGACTACACAATTATCAGCTTTTTTTGGCATTCAACATTATAGGCACTCTTTGCGAGGAGGACAGATATGACTGTATTGTTCCATTCCTTGTAACTATTTGACTATTGTATTCCAGTAAATTGGCAAAGACCCAAATCTTTCAATTGCTAGCCTTACTTTAGTCTCAACGACACAACGTTCATCTCCAGACATGGTTCGACGATGATCATGTTTTGGTTCACAAACATTTGAACACAAGAATGTTGTTCCATAGAACCGGAAACAGTTTCATTTTCCTCATGGACCCATCTTTGAACACGGGTCTGTTGACTTGACAGAGATTATGCCAATTCCTTTTATTTTCCCTCAGGCATTCGAAGAGCACGAATAGTGTTCAACACGAGAACAACAATTCATCATTAGGAAGGTATTTAAAGAACATTATTGTTTCACAGCTAAAATCCTCTCTGAAAAAGAAAGCGAATTACAAAAAGCAATGACCACTTTCTTCTTTATGCCAACTTTTAAGAACTCACTTGGGTGTCAAGAAGAAGCAAGGTCCAAACAAGTGTAAAATTTGTAAAGTATTAAAACCATACAAAAGCACAAGAAATCTTTGATCTTTAACATTTTCGATCAAACCTTGTAAAGAATTCTTCTGCCAAATGTCATTTGACTTGCACACTTGCCATCGATTAGTGGGCTTCTCCAGTGATTGGTGAAATAAACTATGGATCCCGAAATTGGCAGAAATTGACAACATCGAGGACACATCTTCGTTTAAACGGCCTGATCCTTTTTTCGAGCTTGAGACTACTTGACCATTTTGAAAACTGACGTTTCGTTTTGGCACTTTGAAAAAATACCAACATTACCCCTACACAGCAACAACTGGCGAGTTTTCCTTTTGGTCACCTCCACTGCGACATTTTGATAGCTGACTTGTTCAACAAAAGAAGCGCTTCCTTGCTGTCAGTCATCATACTTTTGTGTTGACAAGCGACGACAAGACCTTCAACAGACCATCATCATCACCAACACTGGTTCATCATCAGATCTTTTCAACCACCCACCACCGAACAAAACACTCATCCTCTCTCTCTTCTCTTCCATACAAACAACCATCTTTTTCATATTATTTTTTTTTGATATTTATAAATTATTGATTCAATTATCATTGTGAAGAAGATGAAGACGGTTAAATACAGTATTTGTGTCATGTAGGTAATATGTGTTGAACAGGTTGTTTCGTGGATGAAAGTTATCATTATTGATTTACAATGCTTTTGCTGATATTGACAACAATATATTCCGCGTTTCTTTTTTGGTCTATTTCATTCTTTAATCTTCGACTACTACAAACATTTCTGTTACCAATCATTCTATTACTACAACAACAACAACTCGTGCCAACTCGTGCTTTATTTGATGATCGATGATGAAATTCATTCCTTCCCACCCGATGTCGTTGAATCCAAATATATAATAATGATTTTATTATCTCTACAATCTCTTCATTGATCCAAAAATGTGTTCATCATTCTCATCACATTCACAACATTAAAGGGGAGCTGCATTGGTTGGAAAACAAGAATTTGCAAAAGCAGCAACAGAGTTATTTGATGGTAAAATCATTCAGGTGAGACCTGGAGCAAATAAGTGTAAGTTGTGTTAGAGTGTTGTTGTTAGAGTGTTGAAATTGAAATACACTTCTCATGATGATGATGGTGAATTTGGAAATTTTCAATGTTGTGGCGATCGGTTCAAAAATTTGTGTCACAATCGTCGTGATGCTTGTTTGGTGATGAATGATGAACGTCTTGACATTCGTTGTGGATATCATGTTCATGATCATGATGAAAATCAACCTCTTGATGATGGACTATTTATGGAATATCCCATCTCTCTCTATGAATGACAATGATTTCGTTCGTAAAATGAATCTATTGCGAACAACATGATATCATGACCAACGATGAATTTGAATCTCTATAATCTCCATATTCATCGATTGTTTCTTGTTTCAAATTATATTGATGATCATCCTTTTTTGTGATGACAATTATAATGTGACAACCAAATAGATATATTTACTGTGGAATTCCAAAATTGTAAATATGAATTATCCATGATCACTCTCTACGACACTGGTTTTACAACAGAAGAAAAAGAGGAATTAAAGACACACATTGATGGATATTTACTCATGTATGACGTCACAAACAAATTCTCAACAGAACGTGTCAAGAATTACATGAAATTAATTCTTCAATTATTGGATCCTCATTCACCTTTATTGGCAGAGATGAATAAGAATTCATGGCAGAATGTGCACAAAAAAAAGAAGGAATCTCAAAAACAAGGAGTGACATCGAACACACGAAATAGTGTGAATGTGATCAATAATGGAAATTCTCCATCTTCAACAATATCACCCTCTTTGGATTCCACAAATCATTCTTCCACCACAAATTCAGAGAATTCAATGAATCCACAAACAACCATGGTTGGTGGCGGTGACATGAATGAAATTTCTAATGGTCAATCTCATACTTCACCACATTGTGTGTGCCCATCTTCTCCTGAACAACCTTACGTGAATACAACTTCCAACCATGTGTCATCAAGAGGTTCTTCTTCCTCTAAAACACCATCCACAACACCTGTGGTGACCTCACCAACAACAGCAACCAATGCATCCTTAATGAATGGTGCTTCTAATAATAATACGGCCATTTCTACCATGAATACTTCTTCGACCACATCGAATTCTATAATTACGAACACTCCAACAACTACGACAAGCTCCACAACGACATCGACCACCATTTTACCAGTAATTATTATTGGAAATAAGTGTGACGTGAGTGATGAGGAGAGAGAGGTCGATACAAAAGAAGGTTTGAAATTGAGTGACTATTTAGGATGTCCTCTTGTGGAGACGTCAGCCATCTTTAAAAAGAAAGGAATTGAAAATGCATTTATTGAACTCATCAAAAGGATCGATAAGGTTCGTGATGAGAAACGCAAATCTTTGGCACGTACAGCGAGCATGGCCAGTTCTTCGGTGGCAGATGATTCCACCATTGACAGAAGGAAGAGTATTTCAGCCATTTTCAGCTTTGTTAGCGTTTCGACCTCTGACCATGTCATGGATGACTATCAACAAACAAAGAGAATGAGAGAACTGAGGAAACAACAGTTGGCCTCAAACAGTAACAAGTAAAATATGACATTGTTTATTATAATGCAATCACCTGTTGTTTTAGCTTGGATAATAATTTCAGAGTTCCTTCGAATAGGTCACAGTCATCCTAGGATGTGGCAACTTGAGCTCATTCACCTTGTCATTTTGGTGCAATTCTTTTAATCAATGGAATGTTGGTGATTTTCCACATGTGATTTATTCAGATCCATTGGCAACATCTCAAGCAAAACAGCAAGAAGAAACCGATCAATGATCATGTTCATTCGAGTGGCGATTGCAAGGTTGGTGTGTGCTTTGAATCGAGATGCAGGTAAGAGGGAAATTACATGCAAGTGCATGAAAAGTTGGATACAGAGTATTGATAGTGATTGGTTTGTGGATACTTTAGAGAGTTCAGAGAAGAAACTGGAAATACTAACTTGGGACATGAGCGCCCTGATTTTCTTAAAACTTTCATGATGACGAAAGTTGAAGTTGTGTTTCAAATCAAGAAATATAGAGAATGACATACCTTGTTTAAATTCTTCCAAATCACTGGAAAGAAATGGAGACCAATCCAAAATCATGCCTCTCAAACTTTTCATTGCTTCAATGAGACTCTTCAAGGATTTAGCAATTTTCGAATTTAGAGTTGAATTTGATGTCACATTCAATCGATCTGAGAGAATCACATTAAACTGTTCCAAATCGAAACCTTTTTCTTTCAAATAATTAAAAATTTCACAATATAATTCAATACTTGAAATTCGAATGGTATATCGTTTCAGAGTTAATGTCGAAAACGTGTTCAATACTTTAAAATACTCCTCAATATTTTCAGAATTAATTTCTAATGCAGGAAGATGAAAGGATGAAATTGTAGAAAACAATTCTTCTGGTACCGATAACAGTCCTTCAATGGTTACTAAACCTTTTGTGGCAGTGGCACTAATTTCTCCTCTAGACAAGGTGATCATGGTTGTTAACATGCTATCATCAATGCAAGCTTCTGTTAATTTGAAAAATTTAAAGTTGGTCAATTCCACCAGATTCGTTAATAAAGTTTTTAAAATTTCACTTTCAACATTACACATATCCACTAATTCAAGAGTTTCCAATTGCTTAAATGTCGCATGGAGCAAACATGAAATGAAGAATTCCTGGTTGGTACAATCAATGACTCGCAATTCTGTGAGCTTGGGAAAGTCGACTAGACCCTTCATTAATTTTTTACCTCCAATGAATAAGGGATTCTCTATTTTGCATCTCTCCAATTTCAATGTCTCCAGTGTGTGTTGTGACATTTGCAATAAATTCACAAGCCACTCAATATCGACCGTACATCCTTCAAGAGTAAGGTGTTTGAGAAGAGATGTCGTCTTCCAAGTGTTTACACTTCTCCCCGATTGAACACAATTAATAAATCTAAGAGAGGTGATATCTGATCTGTTCTTGTTAATGAGTTCATCCATGTGGAAAAATTCGGACTTTTTGAAGCGTGTTCCTACGACAAGTTCATCAAAATTCATGTTAGGTATTGTCTTTGTAAGACCCCAAATAACGAGTGTCCTTATTTTAATGGTGGAGAAGAGATTGGAATCGACTTTTTCAGAAAGTACTAATCGATCAAGTTGTTCCACACCTTGTGGTACAAGCAAGGCAAAAGCGTCATTTGTGGTTCCTTTAAAATTTGAGAACGCAAAAAGATACTGTGCCTCTTTCAAATGTGGTAAAATTTGTGACGATATTCGGTGGTGTGACTCATGAGATGATTCAATTTGAAGACGTTCACAAATAATGGTCAGTTTTTTCACGTAGGAATTACTGAGCGAGTTTCTCATTTCTGCATCATCCACGAGAGTGCATGTCTTATGCTCGGCAACTACTTCAAGAACAGTCAAATGTTTGAGTTTGTGCACATTTCTCAACAATAGATCAAGATCAAAATGAGACTTTTCTGTGGAAAAATCGTCAACTCTATAATGTCTCAAATAAATATGAGTCAGGTGTGACAGGGACACAATCGTATCCATCGGAATTTGCATTTCACTCCTCAAATTCAATACTCGAATATTTTGCAACTTTTCCAACACATTTGTACATTTTCCACGTAATCCACAAACATTTAAATTATGGATTTGTGAGAGAGCATCCGTTCCTATCACATTTGCAAAATCATCAAAAGTCCACTGCCGTGTGACATTCTCAGAATCAGGTTTGAGATCGAGATAGATCTGTCTTAATCCATTGTTCAGTATTAAACTTCTCAGAATCCCATCACTACCATAAACTTGAATTTTCGAATCTCCTAAAAACACTGGAACTAATTGTTTGAAACATGTCAAATCCAATCTTGACATGGTACAGCTATTCAACAACAATTTCACCATTTCTTTCAAATATTCTCTCGAGAAGGAAGTCTTTAACTGTTTGGAAATATTAGTACATTCACCAATACTATAATATCCATCACATCTTCTCTGATCACTCGAAAAGGGAGTTTGTAAAAGAACTCTCAAGCAATGAATCATCTCTTCCATGTCGCTACTGTATTCATCCGTATGGATAGTACAATGAAAATGAGAGAGAAGAAATTGAAAGGACCACAATCGGAAACTCTTGCTGAGGGACATGACATCAATGAGTTGTCGATGATCCAAATAAGATAAAATTAAAAAGAACATTTCATTGGGTAGATCATTGAAATGATAGGAGGAGGATGATGATGAATATTCTTGTAAAGATGATGATGATCCGGGTAGTGGTTGTGGTGGTGGTGGTGGTGAAGCCTTCTTATGTTCATTGCCATCTCCACTTGAGTGAGGTTGTTGAACTTGAGACATTTTTTTTAATTAAAAATTAAGTGAACTCGAAGTTCCTTTTTCATCGATTTCCATGTAATTGAAATTGCATGACCATTCATGAATATGTGAGGTGGCTTTACATGTGGTTGTAAATTGTGATTGTAAATTCAATGTTGTAAACAATTTTTTTAAAGTAATATATTATTTCAAATTTAGAAAAAGAGACAGAGGTTGAAGTGTGGTGTTGCTGGGCATCAGAACGAGAACACACAATCCAATGATGAATTCTCAATGAACGAACGAGTGCCTTCACCCAATTTTGGAAATTCTAAAATTTAAAAAAATTCATGAAAACGAGAAGCAGCACACGAAGACAACAACAGCAAGCGGAAGCTCTTGCGAGGATGGAACACCACATGTCATCGTCTCATCATCATGATGGCGAAGAAAATCAAGAAGTTTTTAATAAGGATATTAATGAAAAACCAATCAAAAGAGATGATCCCAATAAGCATAAGGAGAAAGAGGATCAATTAAAATTTCCGGAAAGTGATCAAGTATCATCATCCAGTAATGATCATCATCCTATTCATCATCAAACAACTCACAAATTAAAAAAGAATGATGATGAAACAATTCCGAATGGAAAACAAATACAAATGTTCAAACAAAGTTGCTTTCTTTTTGACACATTACTCAAGCAAATACTTGTCGAGTTGAGTATTTCATTGGTCGGAGAACAACGAAGAAAAGTCTATTTTCTTCAAAATTTAAATCAAATGAATGGAAACAATAAGAAAGAACATCGTTCCTACTCCATTGAAGATGGAGTGGAGGTATTTCCTCATATATCGGCTTCTCAATTACCTCTCGAAAAAACTCATGTGGTGTGTGATCATTGTAAAAGATCCATTGCGAATGAGGTCTATGCACCTCATCTTGAAAGATGTATGAATGTAAGAAATAGTAGAAGAAATGGAGGAAGAAATAGAACAGTTGTGGATTATTCGGAGGATACGTATTTGGATTTTGATGAGGAAGATATCAATGCTGAACCTCGAACAATGCAGGCAGAGGCGGATATCACCAATAATAATGATGACCAGACATTGAATGAAAATGTGTTCGAAGATACAAAACCAACAACATCTCGACCAAAGAGCAAGTCAAAAAAAAAGACAAAACCAAAAAAGAAACGAGGAGTACAAACAAGTGATGACGACGAAGACTATGTGGAAGAATTTGTGGAGCCCTCCTCTGAAGAATTTGAAGATGATCACAGTTTTTCAAGTACTCAAAGTGAGCGAGGTGGAACCGGCAAAAGAAAGGTCACACGATCAAAGAAAGCAGCAACCTCTAATGCTGCATCGACCAGCAGTGACAACACAAAGAAACGAAAAACATCAAACAAAAAGAAGGCACCAAAAGCTCAATCCTCTAAAAAAACAAATATACCATCCTCAGACGAAGAGTTCATGAACATGACGCCATCAAGTACCAGCTCATCAGAAGAGGACGCTACGAACACTAAACAACAGGCAGAGGTTGGGAACAATAACGAGGAAGATGCTCAATCTGTTTCAAGCTCTGAAAAGCTCTTAAACTTTATTGATTCATCATCGAGCTCACAAAAATCAACAACGAGTGATTAATTTATTATTAACCTGTTGACAGTCGAGATCGTTGAGGAACAATAAGATACTCAAGTTTAAGTCTCACACACTAGACGCAAAATTGAAAAAATAGAAAACAACAACTCTAAACTCTGGATTCCTTGTTGGTGGATGCGTCTTTGAGGTCACTTTGAAGAGATTGGTTGAGTTCAATTTTAGAGCTAGACTTCTTTTGGGCTTGTCGTTCAATTTCCTTCTCCCTCTTGTAATCAATAAGTAATTGTTGGTAATCATGAGGGAAATAATTAAATCGAAGAAATTTGAACGTTAAATCTGGAACGAGGCACGCTCCCGTCACCATTAGAGTCACCAAAATAGCTTTCACACTAAGGAAAGTATGGAAATACACGAAAAAGAAAGTTCCCTTTCCTAAAAAATTTGGAATTGGTGTGTAAATGACTACAAATGCAAAGTAAGAAAGATAGCTTCCCCAAATGGATATCACCATAGGCAACGACCAAGTTTTAACTTCCAATGCAAATCTAAAAGTAATTACGGTCATGGTTGCAGTCATAATGATGGTACCAAAATGATAAACATCTGAAGGACCATTTTCTAAAATATCAAATCCATACATGTAATTGATAAACACTCCGAAAAATATAATTGAGGCGTGATAGACGGCAGTCAACACCCAGAATGTGAGACTTCGAGCATTGAAAAGATTTCCATTTCGTTTGAGAGAGTCATAAATTTCTGGATGTTTCAAAATCACTTCCTCTGGTAAATCTTCCTCATAAATTCCACTGATCAGAGGTTGGAAAAAGCAATAAATCGTGTTGAACATGGTGAGAACCCATGATTCAAAGAAGACTGCCGACGTGAATCCGCAAAAGAAAGTATAAAATATTTGTGGCATTACGATCATGATATTCTTGTAGAAGCTCAAATGCAAAAAGTCAGCATTTCGAACACAACAATATCGACCATGTACTGCAATGAGTCTAACCAAATTTTTGAATCGAGGAATGGAATAATCAGCAGAACGAGAGGCTTGAGAACCTTCTTTTCCTTGAATTCCTACTCCAATGGAGGCAGCTTGAATCATGGCAACGTCATTAACTCCGTCTCCAATCGCGAGAGCTTTCTTCTTGAGTTTGGTCTCAATGAGTTTCACAATTCTTGATTTTTGCAATGGTTTCAACCTGCAGCACACAGCACTCTTCACAAATTTGACAATTCTCAAAAATTGTTTCTCGTACTTTTCGAGGGCCAAGTCCAATGACTTGGAGTCAATAATGAGTGCATACTCAAAGTGTTTGTTCTTTTGTTTTTCCAAAAATTCCAATGCCACTTTCATCTTTTTCTTAACGTGTTTATGATTACAGGCATCACGAATACGTATTTCAATGGTCTCATCTTTTTGGAGAACATTCGTAGAATAGGCAACATTAATAGCTGTTTCTGTTTTGTCACCTGTTAAAACCCATATTTGCAGACCTGCTTTAGAGAGAAAGGTAATGGACTCTACGACATCCTCTTGTAACTTGTCTTCAATAGCTGTACATCCTATAAGTTGTAAATCAATTTCCATGTCTGCAGCGCTATGAGCAAGGAGTTTCTCTCGATTTTTGGTTGAAAGAGTTGCTTTGGTGTAACCTTCAAACCATACATTAAAGTCTTCTTCGGAAAGCTCCTTTCTCGAACACACCAGAGTTCGAAGTCCTCTCATAGAGAAGGACTCCAAAGCAACCTTCAAATCATTCACAAAGTGCTTTCTTGCTCTTGATCTCTTAATCATCACAGTATCTGCTCCCTTTGAGTAACAAACATATTTACCATCTGGATGTTTCACCACCACGCTCATTCTTTTTCGATCTGATGAAAATTCAAAAGTTGCCATAATGTCATAAAATTTTTTCTCTCCCATTTCTTCAAGCAAAATACCGGCATTGGTCCTCTGCAGAACTTTGAAACCATTATTTCTTGCGCACTCTAAGAGAGCAATTTCATCAGACGATGGACCATCATAAACAATGTTATCATGATTCTTTGGGTCACGTTCTGGAATGACAGAATGATTCAACGAGAGACAAAGTAAAAATTCTCGCAACATGAAGGCATGATACGCTGCAGTATCTGATACCAGTGGCTCGTCATTGCTTGCCGGGTGTTTTGTCAAGTATTCTTTCATCATACCAGGAGCATTCATTTCAGAATAATACAAACCACCCACCCACGAATCTGAATATTTCATTTCATTCTGTGTTAGAGTTCCAGTCTTGTCTGAGAATATGACATCGAGCTTTGAAAGTCCTTGATTCATACTAGCACTCTTAACTTCCGCTTTAAAGTTGCCGTACGTCATCTTGGAGTCTGACTCTATCTTTTTCGATTGGAAGGTTTTTAGAATTTCCATACCGACCACTAGAGACATTGGAATCATCAAGTTTAACATGACAAAGCAAGTAAGCCAACTTGACATGACCGAAAGAAAAGATGCTTCAGACGAGTCTAATGGTCTCAAATAAAATGCATGTCTGCTGAAATTGGTTTGAAACACTCCTGACAGTGCAGCAACCACAGCACACAGGGCCTGTTGTAATATCAACAAACAAAATAAAATCTTGTTGAGTGCAATCTCTAGAGAATTACGTTTGACCTTATTTTCCTTAAGATTTTTGATCATTTTGGCACTCTTTCCAACATAAATGGCAATACCGTAAATGAGTTTGGTGTTTTTGAGGCAGCATCCTCTCAAAAGTAAGTTGTCCATCGAAATGGACTCTTTCAATGTCTCTCTGACTTCTCTCACTTTTACATGGATTTTAACTTTTCCTTCAAAAGTGTCGAGGTTGCTACTTGCTGCTTCTATTTTCAATTGTCCTCGAATATTACTGAGCTCCTTATGGATTGTATACTCGGGAATGTCATGTAAGAATTTTCCAGATTTCAATGAGCGTCGTGTTTTCAAGTTAGTTTCTCCATCCAAATTTGAAGTTTCCACATAACACATGGAATCTTCTCTTGATGAGTGTATACATAATAAATCTGCCGGGAAGGCCTCTTCTTTGCTCACCAGAACTATATCTCCCAGTTCCACGTCTTTGACTTTAATTTCTTGCACAGCTCCATTTCTAATAACTCTGCATTTGATATTGTTGGCTTTTCGATCTTGTCTGTAGCGCTGAAAATCTTCTATACCGTCTTTAATCATTTGCAGTAAAACAATGGCTACAAGAGGTATAATAGCGGTGATTGGAAAAACTGGTGACACGCCTGGTAGGAGTACTGCAATCACAGAAATGAGGAAATAAATATTGGTTGCTTTCTTGAACTGTTCAAAGAGATTCTTTGGAATAAATGTCAATAATGTGTACTTGGTAGTGCGAATGTAGTTCGATGGCCAATGTTTTCTCGAATTTCTATTCTGCTCTCGGTCATTAATGTAAATAATTTCGAATTTTTTCTTGTTTGCTTCGTCTGTTTTCGTACCATTGGTCTCTGTTATTGTGGGAGGAGCAGTCACTACCGATTCATCTTCGTCGTCGCTAAAATCTTCATCCTCTGATTTCTTTAGTGGTTTTACAATATTCTTATTCACAATATCTTTCACAGGTTTCATGCTCAAATAGTAATTCACATTGTATGTGTCGGATTGTTTTGGTTTTTCTTTGGTATTTTCTATCATTTCCATGTCGGTTTGTTTCACTACATAATCCTCTTCTACATCTTCGGTATCTTCAATGTACAACGATTCTTCTCGTATGTGATTAACAAAACGACCTTTTGGTTTTGGTAATCTTTTTACAATGTTGAGATCTTGATTGATGTCCGTCACAATTGAAGGTATTTGTGTTGGAGTGAGCTCATTCTTGAAAGGCAGTGGTGTTGCTGCAGAAGCGGTACCACTAAGTGGAGATGCATACACGATAGTGGAATGGTTCTTGTCATGAAAAAGTGAATCTGTGCTTGTTGCCAATTTTTTTGGAGATTTTCCATCCTGCAACAAGCTGGACACGAGAGGAGAATTTTTCTCCACTTGAATATGTAAATTCCTGGAGGGAGCTTTTCGCATTACCTTATTTTCAGATTTTTGTCGTTTCATTTCCTGTGCCTCCTCGTCACTGCTACTGCTAAATCCCAAGTCTTTTGAAGTCATGGCTACAGCATTTGTACTGGAAGTCACAGGTTCAAGACATGGATCCATTGATCCAATGTCAAGAGAACTCTCTGAAACATGAATATTTTTGTTTGTTGATGAGACGATAATTCTGCTTTGTTTGACTCTTCCTTGTGTTGAAAAAGTTCCCTCAACATCTTCGTCCTTATAGTAATATCTAGAAGGTAGATTTTTCCATTGATCTGCAATGGGTAACGCTGTTGAGGGAAATGGTTGAAGTCCAATAAGGGCCATATCGTCTTGTATCTTAAAATTTGCATATATACTTCCTGCTCTGCTTGTTCTTCTCTTATATGACTTTCTCCAAGCTTCTAAAAGTTGTTCATCTTCAATTTTACTTCGTGCAGAGCTATTTGCCAAAGAGGTAGTGATCGATGTGTTGGTTGTGAAATTGCTTGTGGTTGACAATGTAATCTCATCATTGTTAGTCAAGTTATGGTCATCAGGCAGTGCTGACAAACGAGTATATAAATTATTGTTGTGGTTGTTGTGAGAAGGAAGATTATTTAAAGGAGATTGTGTAGAGTTGTGTTGTTGTTGGGGAAGAGCGGAAGAGGTAGGATGATGTTGTGACAAAGGTTTTTGTTGGGGTGAAGAATAATTTAATTTGGTTGGAGGAGAAAAAGGAGGCTCATTGGTCGATTCCTCGCCTTCTTGCTGTTGTAACAAGAGGCTACTATTTTCAATCTCGGAAAGAGCTATTCTACTGATTCGATGTAGTTCGCTGTTGTCGAGACTGATTCTGGATTGTTTTTGTGAAGACGAGGAAATTGAACCCGGTTTGGCAAGTGATTTGGAAGGAGTAATTTTGGTTGGTGTCGCATGAAATGGTGCCACGTCATTAGTGATACCACTCGTCAAGGGGGTTGGGTTCACTGGTTCGGTACTTTTGGTGTCTTTCTGAACATTTCCTGACAAAATCGTTGATGTTGGTTGTTGTTGTATAGAAAGATGTATGGAATTATGGTTGTTGTTGTTGTTGTCGTTGTTGCCATTACTATTATTACCACTACTATGATTGGGGACCATAGTTTCCGATGATGCTTCCACTATTGCTGCAGAACGAATCGTGTCTACTTCTTGATGATGAGATGAAATAGCCTTGTTTTCATTGTGTTCATTCACATCCAGAATAACGTCAATTGTATTGGTTATTATTTCAGCTGATTGATGTGGTTCATCATCATCACCATAAGAGATGTTTTGTTGTTGTTCGTCGTAACCACTTGTATTATTGTTGTTGTTGGACATGTCAAGGAAGCATCAAAAAAACACCAAAAAACACCAATCACCCAAACACAACAAAAATTAAAATTACGAATGATAAAAACTGCTGTTCAAATGATCTTCGGACCGAGAGACTCGTCGACTCCAGCAACGCAGCAACGGACCGAGTGATGTTTCCAAGAACGGAATTTTTTTTTTAAGGAACATCGAATTCGATGGCTCTTGCGACTGAATTCCTTTTCGCAACTAATTGACAAGAATAAACAAGTGTGCGACAAAAATGTCAACCTCAACTAGAGAATTGTCTAACAAAGAATCCACCTATCAAAAGTGGCACTATCTACCTCACAATATACTAGCAGCTAGTAAAGAGTGGTACAAGAAAAAATTGAGAAATACTATATAAGGAGGAGGATTCGATGCATGTGATTTTTTTGCGCCAAAATGAAAGGATCTCACTTACAAATTGTTTTCTCCTTTCGGAAGACCTCTTTGAAGGTTCTCCATCAAAAGGGCAAAACAAAAAAAATGACAATGAATAGAGAGGATGATTCGTTGCAGTGTTTTGATAGGGAATATCTATCTTTGGATTTTCAAAAGAATTTGATTCGGGCCTTGAAGATCAATGCAGAGATGGAAAAGAAATTTAATTCTGGTCCGATATCAGAAGTAAAACTGGATTTGAATTATTTGGAAGATTTTTTCAAAACGTGCTTTGATGTTGTTAAACCCATCAGAAAGGCATGGAAATTACTATCAATGATGGCTCTCAACTCACCCTCCATGAATTTTGAAGACCTACGGAAGGAACAAATCATGATACAAAACATTTATCTCAAGTTGTTTGATGATAAGCTAGTACATCGGTTTGCAACAGCAAAAGTAGTCATTTTGAAATATTGGAACAAAATCATGTCCGATTACGAGAAAATACATGAGTATTCATGTGAATTATTTCGCTCTCAAATCAATCGAGTTCTTGAAGTTGTCAACCAAATGAACCTCCTCTCATTAGAGTATCTCCAACTGATTAATACGCTGAAACAATACTTTTTAGATTCATGGTTTTTGAATATGCGGCCGAGTGTAATGAGCTCATCTTTTGACAAATTTTGTGAACAATTCAATAATGTGGAAATCTCGTTAGAATCGTTCATAATTTCCTCACAAGAATTAATGAAATGCGCCGCCGATGTTCGATTAGAGAGAATTTACAATATAGAAGGACGAATTCCAATTAAGAAACTCAGTCTCTTGGATACTGTAGATTTAAATGCCATTGACACTAGTTTTGTTTTTCATTCTCCAAGATCATTTACATCTCCGAGAGCAAACTCAACTACTATTTTATCTTGTGGAAACACATCGGCCGATCTTAGTAGCCCTCCCCAAGAGTATTTTGCATTTCCAAAGAAACAGCAACAAATAGATAACATGAACTCGTCCCGTATTCGAGTACAAAAACAAATTACAATGAATTGGGAGGATTGTAAAAAATATTTAGAAGGATTAATTTCGGAAGAGTTTGTCTACATCAGTGGAGTGACAGAAATTATTAAGGAAAAGCTGAAACAAGTGTCTTTACCGTTTTTAACATGTGGTTCAGTCCGAATGTTGATGAATCCTGATTTTTCGAGTCTTCAGTATGGACATATCGCAGAAAATAGAAAGAACTTTCAACAGTCCATCAGCAATTCAAAGACTTTAAACATGTCCACACTATCTGCTTGCACTAGCATAGATGCACACGAACAGGATTCCTTAGTCTCTAAAGACATTTTCAGACTCGATACTGAACGAATTAATTCGGCCACTAGTGATGATTTATTTGACTACAATAGCACCTTGAAACAAATTGAAGACATGAACATTTCTTTTTTGCAGATGGGTGAAGTGTTCTTTCCCTCGTTAGAAGAGAAGAATGTTGAAAGTTTGACTTTGTTTTATGTCGAGTACTTGAATAATAGAATTTTTTCAATGGTTCACGGAGAGAGTTCAATTAATGAGCCGTCAACATCATCGAATGAAAGAGTAGAGCCATTGAGTATTAAGAAAAAAGATGAGCCACTGTGCAAACCCATTCTTCACTGTGTGCATGAGAGTATACGACTGGCAAAACGTCAATCTACTAAGGAAAATTTAAACCATTCTCATGTGACAACCGTGTCACCACGAAAAATTCTACAACAAGGTTTTCATGGGTGCAACTCTGCTTTTTTTAACCTTCTATTTACTGTAAGTGTTCTTGATATTAGGGCAAAAACATGTTAATTTACTTGACATTATGGTTGGAACTGAATGCCTTGTAAACTTCAAATCGTAGAGTCTAAAATATATGTCCATTGATAAATACGTTTCTAGTGGAAAGAGAAATGAAGATACTTCTGTTAATTGTGTAGAAGAAGAGGATTTTCCTTCTATTTATCGGATGTTGTTTGGTTTTGCCCCCAACTCGCACAAAAAGAGCTCCGATCCAACCATGAGGCACAGTCTGAACGATCTCAGGAATAGTTTGGGGAAATCGAAAACAAACTTACATCAAAATAATGATCAGCTCATTGACTGGATTCAAGAAAATCGTTTTGAATTATTTAGCATTTTTCAAATGATTGCCAATTTTACTCATTTCAAAATTCAAGAACTCAGGAGAGCTAAGGAATGCAAAATGGATTGTGTCACTCTCTCCTCCGATCTCTATGCCCTCCTTGAATTTCTTTACCATTTGGTGCAGGTATTACAAGGATCTACGCATGTTCGTACTTATGGATTTCAGAGCCATCTCGACAAATCTTGCACTCACGCTCTCACAGAAACAAACTGTCTCTTGATGCTAAAATCCTTGCTTAATGGAATGAAAAGAGGTGTGGGAATGATTACTGACTGTTTTTTCTCTTCTCTCAGAAATGAGCTAGATGAACAAATAGAACGACTCTTTCAGGAGAGTGATTTCAACTTTGGAAAGTACTATTCACAGTTTCAAAAACCGACCAAACCAGGCAACAAGAGAAGAATTGTTCCCATGAAAACGGACAAGAAAAGCCTAGTTGAACAATGCTTTGAAATAGTTATTCCTTTCATCAATGCTGTCAGAGAAAACGAAACCTTCAGTGACGAGGTTCGAAGTGAATTCTGTGAAAAGTGTTGCAGAATGGTTGTCAACACCTATGTCGGCTTTATTGAAAAACATCACGAGGACAATATTGCGTCTTTGAGCAAGAAAAGAGCAAGCGAGAGAGTTAAGACTGTCAACAAATTGACCGTTTCGCTTTTGGATCAATTGGCCGAAGACAAATTCACAATTATGAAATCGTTGGATCAAATTTCGAAACCGACCATGGATGCCACATTGAGAGACTCCATACTGCGAAATGTAAATCATTTAATTTCTGTTTATCAACATTCCATGGAAAGATCTATACAAGTAGAAAATACTAAGCTTAAGAGAAACCAAATAATCCCAACAGGAAGAACAACTGAAATCAAGAACAAGAACTAAACGATAAACTTTTTAAACTCTTGATGTTCTGTGAAACATGTTAGCTTGATCTTGTCACTATTGGACATTAATTTTTCGTTGGAGGGCTGTGGTTGAATATTCTGCAAAGCCCTTGATGATCGTTCAAATACATCTCCATCGTCATTTGGATCATTCAGAAAGTTATAAATTAATTTTGCTGTATCTTCTTCTCTTTCCATGTAAAACATGTGTCTCGTATTGTTCAGTATTGCAAATCTTGATTTTGGATGTTGTCCAAGTATATTGAAATATGTTGGAAAACATTCATCTCCAGGTACTGTTTTATAGATATGTGTTGGATGAGACAATGCCCATTATTTTTGTTGTTCTAATTATTATGTCAAATGAATCAATAATAGACACAAACCTGTGACATCAAATAAAGCCCAAATTACCATAATTTTCATGTGATATTTGGTACCAATGTATTGAATTTTATCCTCAATAGCAGTTAGCGGGAAGTTACTGACATTAATTCAATCCAATATTAAAATGTTCCCATGTTACAATAAATCCATGTCGAAATGATATTAGGAAGAAGAGAAAGATGGCCTACCTACGTGAAAGAGTTGACAAAACTGCTAATTTGCGAATTTGAATCATCCTCTTTTTCTTTCATTTCTACAGCAAACTTCATTCGTTCTTTCACCAATTCGTTATTCAGATCAAAAAGACCCGTCGCAATTTTTTGCTCAGTCGTGGAAGCATTATGAAGAGCTCCATAAATGATACTTCCTAACCAAGAAACTTTCACCAGTGAACTTCCAAATGGTAATTTCCTGTAGTTGAATTTTGAAATAATAATTACAATTATATCGAGTACAAATGATCAATGAGGAAATTGCCATGTGAATATGATATGTAAGAAAAAGACTGAGAAACATGTCTTTTGATTTCTTACCATTTCGCTCCTGCTGGAGAAAATAAAATCAAATCATCCACCAAATCGGAATATTTGGAAGCAAAAAGTGTTGATATAGCACCTCCCATACTGAATCCAATGATTGTAATTCTTGGTTTTGCTGATAATGTTGATGTATTATTATTATTATTATTATTTTGTTGTTGTCTTGGCTTCAGTTCAATACCGTCAATTAATTCATACAATTGCTCAACAAATAAATCACCATCATGGAGAATATCCGTTGGATTTGATGACTTTCCTCTTCCATATTTATCATAACGCAAATATTTAATATTTTGTGAGGACGATGATGAAGTCCATTGTTTCATAAGTGCTTTCACTAAAAAGTGAAAGGAATAGGAATGAGAAGAAATACCACAAACAAAAACAATCAAATGATCCGTGGGTGCTTCGAGGTTGGTACTGTTCAAAATGTATCGAGTTTTTCCGTGTTTGGTGGTGAGAAAGCTGTCGCGTTGTTGTTCCGAGTTCATCATTTTTTTTTCGATGATGTAAAAAAAGCCTTTTTTAAGGTGCCAAACAATTTCCTCGAAACAACAAAACATCATTGTTTATGATATCATAAAAAGGTAACAACAGCATTTCGCATTAAATTAAGCACTTGCAATAAATTTCTCAATTTGTGGAATTATTTCCTCTCCATACAATTGAGTCCAGTGAGGAGCATTCTTCACTTCATACACACTCGATTTCTTCTTTGCCTCTTCTGTAAGAATATTCTCCACAAAAAAAGTACATGGGTGCACTTGTGATGTATCGATCATTTTCACCATGAATATAAAGAATGGGAATTGGAACTGATTTGTTCTCAAGCTTTTGAGGTGGTTTGGAGTTTCTAAAGGCACCTCTGTAGATGGAGGTCGCTGTGACAAAGTTCTTTCTCCAATGATTGGCCCATAAATTCAATTCTTCGACTGACATTCGTCCCTGACGTCCCAATTCATCAAATCCTGTAAAGAAGAGTAAGAAGGAAAAATCATCTCTCGAGACGGCAACATCTGAAAATGTTCGTTCGAATTTGACAAATGTTTGGGACGATTTTTAAATGATGTTGTAAATTCAACACACCCAAAAAGAGTGAGTTCATTATTTTTTAGTTTCTCATACAAAATTAATGAACTTACCAGACACGCCCAATACTTGGAAGAAAAAGATGTACCATGACTTCAATAATTGTTTCACAAAGTCGAGTGGTCGATTCTTAATGAATTGAGTGTTTAAAAAGTTTCCAACACCCATAACCAATCTCTCGAAAATCTCTGGATGTTCACGCCTGACATACGAAGCAGCTCCACTCTGATGAATTTCAACATGTGCATGGAAATAATCATTCATAGATGTATTCATGAAAACAATGACACAGTATCAAAAAATTCCCATTCCATTCCAGTCAATCACATCGATCAACATTAAGCAATAAACATGAAATAATAAACAGAGAGAAATGGAGAATGAGAAAAACAAGTCACAATACTACTACTACAACTTACACCCCAATCGTGAGTGATGAAAATGGCCTTATCTCTCTTTGCATATTCTGTCACCAACAAGTAATAATCCTCTGCATAATACTTGTCTGTATAAAGATAGGCAGTTCGATGTAAATCAGACAAGTACTTTTTAATGGCACCATATGAGAATGATTTGGGAAAATTCATCACTTGTTGCATGTCCACATTTTCTGGAAGAGGTTTAGAGCTTTCATTGAAGCCTCTCATATCTGGAGCAATGACCCAATATCCTTTTTCAATAAAGTGATCTAAATATCGTCCCCAACATACTAACAAATAACCATTGAACAAGTAATAGTGTTGGATGAACCATGCATAATTCATACCAATCACACAGTACCATCAATTTGGCAAGTTCAAAGATCCATCACATCACACATTATTGAGGCACTGAATCAACACTTACGTAAAGCAGTCTCAGGATAGCCATGCATAAAAATCAGTAACTTTTGATTGGCATCTCCTTCTCTCTTTCCACCTTCTAACATGTTCATTTCCATTCCATTGGACAATTTGATCTTTCTCCATGAGGCTTTCTTGGGAAAGAAGGACAAGTGGACTCCATGCGAAGCCATCATCGGAGCCATTTTCTTTTCATATTCTTCAATCGTCTTCAATGGCCATTCTTTGGATATCTGATCAAGCTTTGGAAATGGATAAAACAAGACCACACCCAGAAATGCAGCAATCAGAAAGATCGCTGTGGTTGTCGTGAATTTCAAACACGAGAGAAGGATGGACATTTTTTTTGTTTTTTTTCCTGTCCTTTCAATTTCATCCCTTTTTGTTCTCTCCGGTAGTCGGTGAGAAAGATTCAAGCCACGGTGCTTGATAAGGAAACCCAGCACAGGAAGACCATAGGCAGCGAGTGAAAAACGAATATTCAAAAAACTCGCCTGGTGGCAAGCCAAAAATCAAAACAAGAAATGCAAAGTCCGTGCACCGTGTGTATGAATGCACAAATATCTGAAATTGTAATATTGTCAGCTTAACAGTACCAACTTTGTTTGGGTTGGATGTTGGATGCGTAAAACAACTCTTTGTTTGAACAGAGGTGCACGAAATAATTTTCCAAAAAAAATGTCTGCCAGACCTAAAGTGTTTTTAGAGTTTTCTGTTGGAAATAAAAAAGTAGGAAAGGTGGAGATTGAATTGTTTTCGGATATTGTTCCAAAAACTGCAGAGAATTTTAGAGCGTTATGTACAGGTTGGTGTAATATTAAATATCAATCTACTTGGAGTAACAAGAAGAAATCATATTCATTGGAATTTTTTAACGATGCGATCGTTATGATCTTATTTGTGTCCACAACAAATATCAAATGATACTGTTGAAATTTTTTGAACTCATGTTCGGAATGATTATGACATTATACGATATTAATAATAATTTTAATGGATAATCAATGATATTCCTATATTTTTGTCATCTTCACAAATTTTGGAATTATACGCTATTATGGTTAATCTATTCTAAAATTTTTAAATTTTTGTATATTTGTATTTCACACGTTTTTGCAAAACTTGGCAAAGGCGAAAAGGGTCAAAAAGGAGGTAAAAACTTGCATTACAAGAATTGCAAAGTGCATCGAATTGAACCTGGTTTTTGCATTCAAACTGGAGATATTATTAAAGGAAATGGTACATCGGGCAGATCCATCTACGAGAGTGGCAAAATGGAAGATGAAAATTTCACTGTAAAACATTCAGAACAGGGCATTGTGTCAATGGCCAATAGTGGTCCTAACACAGCAAGTAGCCAGTTTTTCTTCACCATGGCTGAGGGACCGCTTCCTCAATTGGATGGAAAGCATGTCGCCTTTGGAAAAGTAACATCAGGTAGGTGTTCAAAAGACAGCAACAACAGTGTTAACTTTCATCTAGGTTTGGAAGTGTTAAAAGATTTGGAACAATACGGCAATAGATTAGGAGCAGTCTCAAAGAAGGTGATCATTTCGGATTGTGGTCAACTATAGTTCATCCATAGGATTTCACACAAACAACTTTCAATGCAGCATCGATCATTGACTGAGCCAAATTGTGTGCGCGGAACTTTATAAATTATTTATTAAGGTGGCAAACAAAAATTTTAATAAAAATTTCCTTTCTTGGTCGGAATGGTTATTAATCAGGAAAATGAAAATTGTCAGTTCCATTCATTCATTGAATGCCCATATATATGAAGGGTCACATTATACCCAAGTTCAATTTAAAAAGTGGTGCTAACAGCATACTTTCTTTTCAAGTATTCACATTGAACCTTATCCTCCTTTGCTAAGTCTAATTTTCCAAGAGCTTCATATGCTGCAGCTCGATCTCTAAATGCAGGAAAATATGTATTATCAATATTAATTGCCTCTGTGTTGTCATTTACACATTTCCAGTACTCATGTTGGCGTAAGAAACAAATTCCTCTCTTATTTAATGCAGCCACTTTGTAAAACCTTAATGCAGCTGCATTTGGCGCAGAATTATGTTGCAATACCTGGTCAATAAATGAAATGCAAATTCCAAATTGTTTGATAGCCATCTTATAGTCCTCAAATTTTGCATAGGCAATTCCTAATTTCACAATAATGTCCACATACATGGAGAAAACATCTAAATTTTTGGTTTTAAATCGGCCATCTTTGAGGATTTCGTCAAAATTGTCAATAAATAGATTGTAATAACTCAACCCCTCTGCATCTTTTCCAAGTTTGCAACAACAATCACCAGCATTCATCATGGCATGATACTGAGTAGGATCTATTTCTAACATTTTCTTATAGTTTTGAACAGCGTTTTCAAGATATTGCTCCCTTTCGGTCACCCTTGTAACAGGCAAAATTTTAGATAATTCTTCATATAAAATTCCCTTTGCGTACAAAACATCACAGTTCTGTGTATCCTTTTCTCGGGAATCAATGAGTTCAATGGCATCTTTAAGAATTTGCATTTTCTGAGAGAGATCTAAATGTTTTGCTTTCGAATCTTGAAGGGCCATATATGACAGTTTTTCAGTAATAGGTCCAGATTGAAGGCCTTCACGACCATAATTGCATGCATTCAACGCGTCTAAAAGTGCTTGTCTTCCTTCCTTCTCTTGTCCCAATCCTATTAAACAGTCCGATAAATTGGTTGCTACAATGGCAAAGGAGTCGTTTTCAATAATTTCTTCTTGATCGTCACTCTCCTCTTGTGTTTGATTTGTTTTCTTTACAATGTATTTTCTGTATGAATAATACTTGTCTTTTAGCTCTGAGAATAGATTGAGGGCTTTATCAAATCTCTCCATGGCATAGTACATGGTTGCTAATTGTTCCGCTACTTTGGCCACACTCACTTCATATTTAATGTCAATATTTGTGTTGTCGTTGTTGTTTTTGGCAGAAATTTCGTTCAAGGCTGTTGCTAATTTCTGTTCTAAATATTCAATGGCACCATTTTGATCCATTTCCCAAAATTCTTGTGCGTTTTGTGAAAGTTGTTTCATTTGAGGATCATGAATTGTGTCTATAAAAGGTTTTCGAATGAGATGTGTTGGTTTTTTCGCTCTTAATGCTGGTATTTGTTCTTTGGCATGTTTAGGTGTGGATTGTGGTTTGATTGATGATGATGATGGTGAAGAATCAAGATGATTGGATATTTCTCTCCGGGAGGTGTCAAAACCTGTATGAAAAACAATCATAGAATTAACATTCATCATTATCGTTGGCCATCCTTGCCCAGGAAACAATGAGTTTTTTAATCCCGATATTAACCTTCGTCTCGTCCATGCTGCTTTTTTTAAAGAGAGAGAGTTGCGAAAGAACGAGGAAGATGCAGAACGAAACATTTTTTTAATCTCTAACTCTCAATAACCTGGTTCTCCTCTGCACTGACAGTTCAACGTTATTAATCGTTGGCACATGTTGACATGAGAGATCTGATTGAAACGTTCCGCCCTGTTTCCACTGTTTTATAGCCTCCGAGCTGGGAAAAAACCTCAACAACGCTCGTTGTTTTTCGAGATTGAAAAATTGTGATTCCGCGCCCAAAACCGTTGCAAAAAAAAACCAAAACAAATAAAAAAAAGAACGTTCATCTCTCTCTCATCGTACGACACACCACAACAACACTAGTCATTGGTTTTTATCTCAAAAAGAACACAACAACAGAAATGATGATGCTCATTCAATCTGCAGAGAATGATATGAATACTACGGAAGATGTTCTCGCACCATCATCGCAGGCTTATCCACATCAACTTTTTACCCAAAACAATAATTTTCAAAACAATGCAAACACGAATAATGATGAAGATCGATTCATAAGCTCGCTGCGGACGTGGAACACGGACTCAACAAACACGGGATCATTAACGGAGGATCCCTTTACCTCCATGCAAGGAAGTTCAAGCAACATTTTAGTTACAGTACGGGTGAGACCCGAGAGTGCCAGAGAAAAAGCAGAACGAAAAACAAGTTCCATTGTGAGAGTGATTGATAGGAATGTACTTGTTTTCGATCCATCTGATTCTGCACAAGGATCACAACAGCAACGTAGAGCACTTGGATTACGACGAGGAAAAGAATTAAGGTTTGCCTTTGATCGCGTCTTTGATGAGACAGCAACACAACTCGAAGTCTATGAAAATTCTGCAAAGGCACTTTTGGAGAGTGTCTTGGATGGATATAATGCCACAGTATTTGCGTATGGAGCTACTGGTGCAGGTAAGACTGTAAGTATTGGTATTGATCGATTGAATAATAATTCATGAATGGCACGATCATGTTGATTGACATTAACCGCATGACTTAATTTAAATATCTAATATATAATAATATATAATTTAAATGCACATTTAAAAACCCAAAAAAACAAACCTTCAAAATGCATCTTTATGAACAATTCACAGTTCACCATGTTTGGCTCAGAAATCAGTGGACCAGGAATTCTGCCCTTAACCATCATTGACATTTTTCGAATGATGGAGAAACGAAAACATGAAAAAACATACCGAGTGACAGTCTCATTTCTTGAAGTGTACAATGAAAACATTCATGATTTGCTTGTCCCTCAAAACGGAAAAGCTGTCAATCACGAAATTCGTGAGGACAAAACTAAGGGAATTGTGGTATCAGGGCTTTCAGAGCACGAATGTCACAACGCCGATCAGGCTCTAGAACTTATTCAAAGAGGTATTTCGAATAGAACACAATTTGGAACTGCAGCAAATGCTCAATCATCGCGATCTCATGCTGTTTTTCAAATCAATGTACAACAAACAGACCGAACAGCCAATATTCAAGCAGACGTGGGCGTTGGTAAACTCTCATTGATAGACTTGGCTGGTTCAGAAAGAGCCTCTGTCACCAAAAACCGAGGCGCCAGACTTGTTGAAGGAGCCAACATTAACAAATCTCTCCTTGCTCTTGCTAATTGTATTAATGCGCTGGGAAAAAACAAAGGAAAGGGTTACGTTCCATATAGAAATTCAAAGCTTACTCGTTTACTCAAGGACTCACTTGGTGGAAATTGCAGGACCGTTATGATTGCCAATTTGAGTCCAAGTGACCTATGCTACGATGATACCTATAACACTCTCAAATATGCAAACCGAGCCAAGAATATCAAAACATTGGTTAAGAAGAATATACACAATGTCAATTTCCACATTACCAAGTATCTGAAAATTATTGATGAGCTGCGCATTGAGGTACAGGAATTGAAGATTCAACTACAAACCAAAGAAAAAGAACTTTCCACCAATGCTCAACAACAGAATGAGCAATACGAAAAGGAACGACAAAGCACTGAAGGGTTGCGAGCCAGCCTTACCACAGTTTTCCAAGATCAAATCAAGAATCGAAGAATTTTACTAGAGCTCGAGGAACAGGACAGACAAAACTCTTTACAAATTATGTCCATTAAGAATGAAATTGAGAGGTGGTCTCGAGAGCATCCAGGTGAAGAAAAACCACTTCGTATCCATACACGTCAAAAAGATGCAGATACCCTTATTCTTGCCAAGAGAGAATATGTTTCAAAGAAGGAGGAAATTGAACATCAATTACAAGAAAATATATCTTGCACCAAGTCCATACAGGATCATGTTCCAAAAATTATTGGAAATAACGAATTGAGACAATTACTTGATCTTCAAGTGAAGGTTCATGATCAGGAAATACTCAACCTAGACCTGGAAAGAATGATTGACCATCACAAATCTAAAGTTCAACGAATGGCTCTCATTTTGGAGGATGCTCAATATTGTTCTTCAAAAGCTCACGACGTCATGCAAGACATGTATGATCGATTGAAAGAAACCAATTCATTGACTCCCGAGCTTGAACGTGCCTATACCATGGCCTGCAACTTATTAGATGCCGTCGAAAAGCAGCAACATGCTTTCCAAGAAAGTAATCATCATGGAACAAGTGGCACAAACGGCTGTTTAGCTTTCGACACTGATGACGATGCAATGGTTGAGGATGCTCTCAAGACTCCCAAAAACATTCACACAGGAGCCAAGAAGCGACGAAACAGTTCAACCACTCAATTCTCCTCTCTTTTCCAACTTTCATTCCCCAATGTACCTACAGGAGACAAGAAATTCGTTATTACGCCTGAAGAGTTTGCCCAACAATCCTCCTCCAAATTGATTCGAGCTCGACGTCAACAAAAAGCCATGCCTTCCTCAAATGCTTCTGCCTGCGGTCGACAGAATGATGATCACAGTGGAAAAAAACAACCCCTCATTAACAATTTCTTGATTGAGGAGACTCCATGTGTCGACACGACCATGGTAAGCGATTCAGGATCGGACAAGTCCATATCACCTCCATTGTCTCCTCAAATGAATAACCTCTCTCTTGTGGACAATCACCCACAACAGAGTATAGTGCTGACACCAGAAGACGACGATCTCATCATGGAAGATTTGAATGATGGTGGCGACCAAAGTAACAACAACAACTCTGTCTTGTTCAAAAAGGCATTGGGTACTCAACATTCCTCGCAGGTCAACCACAACACCACCACCGCCACTCAATCGTCACCTTCAAAGAGGAATCACCACACGAACAATCAAGCCGATCCTCATCATGTTCACCGCCATTTCTCGCCCCTCAAGAAGAGTGCAGTCGAAGACATTAATGCTCTCAAAGAAAAATTTGAGAAATTCAGAACTGACTATTTGGAAACGAAGAATGTTGAGCAAGGCAAACTGAGACGAGTACTCAAGAAACCAAACTCGCCATCCAAGTCACATGTGGATCATGTGAATCCTCCTCTTTCACCCAATCAACTGAAGGGTACTAAGACACGAAAATTCGACGATACCACCAATGGTGTCCCTTCAACAACGAAGCGAAAGACCAAAAAGGTCAAATTCGAAGGAGATTCTCCAACCTCTCCAAAACCAATACCAAGCTATATGGCCTACACCCAATCGGCACAGCATCGAATTGGAGCCACACGAGATTTCAAAAGAAAACCTTCCATGCTTCCAGTGTCCTTTGCTGCAGATAATGATTGGATTTTGGCATTGCGGTCCAATAAGGAGAATACACTCCAAACCTCTTCGAATTCGACCTCGTCATCAATGGTTGGTGCTTTTGTTCAACACAACCCACCACATGCCTCCACTTCCACATCGACACTGAAACTGATGAAGAAAATCGTTCCAACTCACTCATTCCCTTCATCGTCCATAACAAATACAACCAATCCTCTCAACCAACAACATGTTGTTGCCATGTCATCATCCTCACTGCCCTCCTCGTCCTCCTCGACACATCAACAAGCACTTCCACACAAAGAGTTTCTTCCAACATCTCCCAGAGGAGCCTCTACCATCAGATAATAAGTGCACGAATGTTGTGTGTTCACACACTCATCCACTCGGTCGAATAAAAAAGGAAATTGATTTTGAGGACTTTGCATTTTCATCTTCAAAACCTGTTACGAGCTCCGAATTTTGAACAACTTCATATCGAACCATTCATTACCATACCGTAACTCCCTTTGATAGAATCCGCTCCAAATAGTGTGTACATCATCTCCAAGAGTATACTTGCCCACCACCACCACCACCCTTTCATCCGTATTCGTAATACATTACACACAGTAAAAGAATGCCCACACTTCGGTCCTTCTTCTCGTCCAAATCTGTGGACTCTAAGCGAACTTTCAATACAGAAGATCTTCCCCAAGATGATGAAGAAGAGCTCAGAACTCCCACCTCATCCATGATGGGTTTTCTCAATAGTTCAACAACAACAACGACGTGGAGTAGTAGTGCTCAGATACCAGCATCGCCTCCACAATCCGATCATCTCTCCACCAGGCAACATCAACAACAACGACCAAGAGGAGGGTCGTCGTCATCTTCTTCCTCCCAAACGAATACCAATCATCAACAACAACCAACAAAAAAAGGGATTCCACTCTCTCAATTCATCGCTCAAAAGCTTGATGATGACCTACTGCCACACAAAACGGTAAGTGAAGTGAGTGAACTCGATTAAGAGATTTCTCACCTATTTGATGTACCTTTTCAAAAAATCTCTCTTGCATTCTCGATTCATCCTCCTCCATGAATTGGTCCGAATTCATTGTCCTCTCTCTGAATTTTGTCTTTCACTGCTTTATCCTCTTATGACCTCATTGCTTGAACAACCATCACACCACCAAATTTTTGATCACTTCTACTTTGAATCATCATCTTTCGACAAAAAAAATATTCTTTTGCCATCCGATTCACCATCACAACAACAATCACGGCTTACTCGTGTGTTTTATTGGTTGATCTATTGTTGTTGTTGCTTGTTGCATCATCATTATTATTTGAAAAAACCATCATCATTATTTTTGCTGACCACTACCACACCGCACGATTTTTGTGTTATTATTGTTTCATTGTTAAACACACATAAATTTCATAGAAGAAGAATTATAATCTAACGGAATTAGATTCACAACTCGTAAACACATCTACCAAACAATCCACAATCATGTCTCTCGAAAACGACATTGAAAGCAATCAAGTTAATCATGCCAATACTCTTCAAGTACCAAAACCACCATTTTCATCATTTCAAGATATTGGATTTGCTGAAGATATGAATCCCCGACACAGAAGAACCAACGAAGACGGACATTGTATGATTGATCGATTTAGAGGAAAGGAAGGTGAAGGCTTTTTTGCCATCTATGACGGACATGGTGGACGTGGTGCTGTCAACATTGTACAAAATAGATTCCACAACATTTTCGAATCAGAATTGAATGACATGGAGAACTCTCAACAATCTGAGCTCATTGATGTCACTCAAGTCTTTAACCAAGCTTACAGTAGAATGGATGCGGAGCTTAAACTTCAAGAAATTTTATACAACGGAGCTACTAGCATCACGTGCTATATAAGACCTCTTCCAAGTTCGAAGAAACGTTTCCTCTATGTAGCAAATTGCGGAGATGCTCGCGTTGTTATTTCAAAGAAGGATGGAACTGCTGAAAGACTTACCTATGACCATAAAGCCAGTGACGAGGGAGAAGTGAAACGTATCAAGGCAAAGAATGGATTTGTTGCATATAATCGTGTGAATGGTGTTCTCAGTGTAACTAGATCATTTGGAGATCATGCCATGAAGGATTGGGTCATTTCTGAACCCTATCACTCCTTTGTTGATTTGACTGAGAATGAATATGATTATCTCATTTTGGCATGTGATGGAGTTTGGGATGTAATTTCAGACCAAGAATGTGTCAATTTGATCCATGAAAATGCCAACACTATGAACTGCCAACAATTAGCCGAATTCATTTTGAAGCGATCCCTTTCTCTTGGCTCTACAGATAATATTTCAATTATTATCATTAAATTATAATAAAATTATATGTCAATTCGAAGCTTAACAATTCCCAACAAAACAAAAATTGGATCATGCCAATTATTGATTATAATTATTATTGAATTGCGTCGACTGGAATCACAGTAAAAGCATTCAAGGTTAAATAAATTCATTTTATAAAAAACTAAACCCTCTAGAGTCGTGAATGTCACAAACATACACATCGACCTTAGAAAGAAAAGTAATGTTCGCCACGCTTCATGCCAAGCTTTTCCAAGTGGCTCTTCATGGCTCCCAACATTGGTGGAGGGCCACACATTAAAATGTTCATCTTCTCACCTACAGGTGGCAAATACTTTTCAATCATTTCTTGAGTGATGAAACCAACTCCCTGAGTCCAATTTGCAGGAGGTTCATTCAAAACATGATACAAGGTGAATTGAGAATGCTTTCTGGCCAATTCCTCCAATCGGTCACGCAAAATGATATCTTGTTCAGTCAAGTTACCATACAATAAAGCAATTTCAGTCTTATCGTCTGGATGCTTGAGAATTTCCTCAATCACTTGGAGCATTGGGGTAATGCCGGTACCACCAGCAATCATTCCCAACTTGTTGTACTTGTTCTTCTCATAATTGAAACGACCCTTTGGTCCGCTAACCAAAATGGTGTCTCCAATCTTCATATTGTCCAAGTATTGAGTCATCAAACCCTTTGGATAAATCTTGACGACAAGATCGAAAAATCCCTTGTCATCATTCGAAGAGGTTGGTGTGTAGCTTCTAGAAACTTCTTCGCCATTGATGGTGGCTCTGATATTGGATGTTGTATTATTAAAATAATAATAATGGATGGGCGGCGGATTGTATTTTCATTCATTGTCCACATGATCGTGGTGATGATGATGAATTGTGCAATCGGAACGGGTTGTTGTTTGGGGTGGCGAGGAAAGGTTCGGATTCCGTCATGTGAAAAATTAGATATATTTCGAATCGATTTTGTTGAATAGGTTTGAAATATATAATATTTAGATAATCATTAGCGTCATCATCATTAAAACATACTTCAATGAAATGTGTTGACCCACGGGCAATCCCAAACTCTTTCCTGCAGGTAATTCAAATCTAAAGAGACGAACTGGACATTTCACATTCTCTCCTTCTGTAAGACTCTTCTTTTCGATGAGTTTGAATGGTCTATATTCCTCAGGAGAGATGACGCTCTCTTCCTTCTTCATTTGAGCAGTGGTTGCAGTTGTGGTGGATGATGATTTTTCAACGGGTTTAGTTGGTCTGCTTCCCATAATTTTATTGACCAAAACTGAAATTGCAACGATAGCGAAAGCGGTAACTCCAATGGTCGTTAAATCTCCCGAAAGTAACTTTTCAATAATCTTATTCATTGTGATGATTGTACAGAGTTGATGATAAAATCAATTATTGAATCAACTGACTGGTTAGCCTATTTTTTTCAAAACGAAGAGAGAATTTTCCAAACTTACCGACTGAGGCTTATCAGAGGATGGATGAACAACCCTCATATCGAGCAGAGAATCGGATATAAAATTGAGGATTTGTACAAAAAGACGCGTCTAAAAACTAACTTGGAGAAAGAGCTGCTTCGGAAAATTGCTTCAATCTCTCTTCTTTAATGAAAGTGGTATGTCTTTGGGTGAGTAAAAAGTGCAATAATGAATCTCAAAAACTCAAACGGTCGGAATGGCAAGTTTCAACCGTTGTTGGGTCCACGCGTTCGACGACGAATACAACTCGGATAAAGTCCAAACCAGTGGCGATTTTTTTTCTCATTATATTAATTATCTGTTAGTGTCCCAGCTCGAGGGAGTTAGTTGCTCACTTGCTTTTGAAAGCGTGGAAATGATGGGAGAAAGGGAATGGCGAGACGGGAGGAAACGGTGGTGCAACGGTGTTGAAGTTTGTTCAGACCAGAAAAGGACAAAAATAAATTAATACTACCGCGCGTGGATTCGATTCAGAGGATCTCTCATGAGCATCTTCCTCAAGAACGTGTTCAGTCAAAATCATGAAACGAGTTGGACCACATGTCATCTTGCTTGAACGATAATCAACTATACCTGAGGTCGATCATTTATTTTGCGACAGGTGTTGCATTTTGTTCAAGTGAGTATTGTTAGTTGATCGGTTGATTAAGGAAGAAACTAGTTCCTTAACATGTTGTTGACATGACCCATGCCATCCATAATATTATTGCAATTTGAATAAATGGTCCTTGTCCTCTAAAGTGAGGATCATGACCACTCCATCTCCAGTATCGGACGGATAGAGCTCTTTTTCTGAATGCTGACGCTTTTTCTTATTGTCACCACCAAAATGGGAATAATAATTATCATGATAATGGTGGGTTTTGAAACCAAATTTGGTGTAAAGTTTTTGAGCTGCTAAATTGAGAGAGGAGACATGCAGTTGAATCCATCTACACGAATGTTTCCACATTAATCGACTGTGTGAATGCGAAATTGGTTCATTGGTGTAATATCGCAATTCTTCATCTTCACAGTCATGCATGTCATTAATGTCAATGACATGATGCACCATTTCATTTTGCTGGCCATACCATAACCACTCATACTTGAGAATATGAGCTAACGAGTAGCGGAGCAATTCACGCCCTATTCCGTGATTTCTCAAGGAGGGATGTACTGCAAATGAAGAAATTTCAGCTCTCTCCTTTTCCTTATTAATATTGTACATGATAAATCCTGCAACGTAGTGTTGGGAATTCATTTGAAATTGTGATGATGATTTTGTTGAATCATCATTCGTCGTTGGGGTCCTCATTAAGGCAACCCATGAAAAATAGTCGACCGGTTTGTCCAAAGAATTGTGAAGTGATAAATCCAAAATATGAAATAATAAATCCCTATTGTAGGCTTTGGAAAAGCTCAAACATTCAATCTCGTAGAGCATGTCAAATAGGTTCTCATTGTACGGAATGATGATTACGTTTGGGTGTTGTTGCGTTAGATCAATCAAGTGGCTATTCAAGCCAGCATGAGTGTTACATGATTGTAACATGAATGTGTTGTAGGTATTGGATACAAGATTTTGAGTTGTGGGCTGTTGTGAATTGACAGCTCTGGATGATGACTGTGCTTGTTCATGGAAATTCAAATTATTTAAAATCATGCTTTGCGAAGCACTGTACCACGTCATGCTGCTACTTGTCATGCTACTAATCAAATCGACTCCTCTAGAGGAGTCATGTCCACTCGGATCATCCAAATAAACACAATTAGAAAGCTGTTTGGGTCTATTCAATAATGGAAGTAACGTTTGTAAAAACACATGATTTGGATTGTGTGAACATGTTGTATCCGTAAAAGTAGTAGTGGTATCGGTATTAGAACAATTGTTCTGATCATCCATGAATGTCTTGGATGGATGAATGGAGGCGTCCATTCCATTCGATATGCTTCTTCTTGATTTTTGTAAATGTTGTTTCATACAATTACTGCACAAATCGAAATCAGCACAATTCAAACAACAATATCTTGTTCCGTGAATGGTGCATTCACATGCATCACAGGTCACCCTACGATGTATAATATTATCATTATAAATTTGAATTTCGTCTTCTGCAAATAATTCTTTTGGTTTTGTGAAGAGCCAACAATTTGCCTTGGCATGACAGGCCTCTACTTTTTTACAGAAATCATCCGCAACTAGAACACCATTCTTTGATATACATGTTGCACTGATCTTACTTGATAATGTATCGAATCGAGCGCTCTCTAAAAGGGCCTCATAGCTAAATTTTCTGTTGATCAAGGTCACAAAACAATGTCCTTTTTTTAGGTGATGCTTGGAAAACTCCTTTCCGCATTTGTTACATAAAATATATCCTTTCGAATTGTGATTGTGGTTATTCTTTGAATTTTGAGAAATTCCATCCGAAGACTTGTGAAATCCAAAAGGACAATTCAAACACAATAACATTACGGAACCAATTTCAAATTTTCTTTTACATCCAGAACACCAACAGGCATTCGGATCATGAATGAAAAAATCACTACATTCCGGATGATGATCATCATTTGGTGGCACGGATGAAATACCAGTCGTTATAAAATGTTGTTCAGCATGCCATGTCGAGAGGGCGGACGGACAGAAGATTCTGGACTGATGATCATGTTGCATTTTTTAAATAAATGAACAAGGAACAACCTCCAAACTGAAAATTCATGAGCAATTTTTGATGAACTTTTGCATGTCTGAAAATATAAATTCATTTTGACAAAAAAATGTCAACACGAAAGAACGATCAAATTGTATCCTCTTCCTCTCGAACCATCAAACTCTCGAGTGGTCATTCAAACTCAACATACCAATGTTTGCACACTAGAGAGAAACGGAATTGAACGACTGGTAACAAGGAGAAGGAAAAGATGTGATACAAAATGTCATCGATGAGGTAGAAGGGATTTGTCGTTGCAATCAACGTTGAGTTTGAATCGATCAATGGATACATCCATACAACAGATCCAATCATGTGAAAACGTATTTATTCGATTGGATGGAATTTGTGAGTCATTTGTATCCACAAGAGTACAAGATGATGCGACTCATGCGACACTCCATGAGGGTGGAGGACTTTTCAAAACTATCCCATTCCGAAATTGAGAGCAAATTTTCAAAACAATTTCAAACAAAATTCTTTACAGATTATTTGAATCAAATCAAACGATCCAAATTAATTAGCATGGATAATGGATCTGGAAAAATTGTGAGCTTTTTCACATACTCTCCTGGAAATGATGATGTCGTGCATTTTGCATTTGTGAATGAGAAAAACGCAATGTTGAATATTGATAACAAGTTTAATCAGGCAAAACAGTTCAAACGATGTTATTTTAGTTATTATGGTTATTATGATGGTTGGGGAGTTTATGACACAAATGTCTGTAAAGAAGGTCATGAATGGTTTTGTGATCAATTCAAGTCATATATCAAAGTGATGGGAAGAGGATTGTTCTTGGCCATGATGGAATTTATATGTTTGTCGAATTCTGCCCAATTCTACATGTATGAAATGAGGACGAGCGTTAGTTTACAAGCTCTCTGTGACCAACCCCATCCCATGCAAAAACAAGCTCTTCACATTCATCACACTCTTCTCAAGAATCCAAATTCACTCCTGGAAAAAGCGTTTGAACACCCGCTCAAAGATTCCCATTTATGGTATCGTTTTTTGAATTCTGGATATACCATCGATGTGAAAACTCTTGAAAACATCACTTTTGGAAAGCATTTAGATTGTGAACATTTACAATTTTTCTTTGATTATTGTGAAAAACATGGCATGAAAGAGTCTGTTGCAGTGACGGCAACTCGTTCTCGTGTGTTTTCACTTCTCACGGAAGGAAAAACTTTTATTGAATTATTACACAAGAATCAAGTGCTATCTGAACTGTTTTAATATTTTCGTTTCTTTTCATTGGACCGATAATGTTGGAAATGATAATTGTTTCTACTACCATTTTGCTGATATGAACGTTGATGATAGTTTGAGGGAGAATCTTTCTGATATGAACTTACCACCTCCTTGTTATTTCTCTTCCTGCTGAAAGAAGTACCCTCATAGTTATGGCCATCATCGGAGTGAGTGTTGTTGAAGGAGTTCCTTCTTAAACGGTCCTTGTTTTGAGGTTGGTCATGATAATAATTGAAATTTCCATTATTACGGCTCTCCTTTTCATCAGGTCGATGATTATTGAATATGGGAGTGTTGTTGTAGTAGCCCCTATTGGATTCATTGTTCATCAAATAGTCTTTCACCTCTCTCCGATTCGGAAACACTAAAATATACTTGCATGCACTTTCATTCATCACCAATGAATACACTCTCCGAACATTCTTGAAGGTGTCCTTCCTACCTGTGTGAGAATTGGCAACGGTGATGAGCTTTTCGCAATAATCGGAATTCACTTTGGCAAGTAAGCAAACCTTACTTGTTGATTTGTCTTTCAGAGGAGGTAGAGAAGAACGATGTTCCAACTTTGGATTGAACACTTGATCCACTTGCAACGAGAAACGTTCTGGATCCTCAAGTGAAGCATCGAGCATGACCAGTTGAGCATTGACCTGTCCTTGATGATGATGATGAATTTCATTACAACTGTTGTTGATGTTATTGAACCATTCCGAGAGTCTTTGATTTCGAACAAGAACATTTCCAACTGTGTTCCGACTCCTCTTTGAATTGAGTTTGTTCTTGTACAGAGAGAGATTATCAATAATAGAGGAATGAGTTTCTTCCTCTTGTTCCAACACAATGAAATCAGTGGAGGATGCTAGTGAGGGTGACTCCTCACGTTGAGCACTATAAAGTGATTCTTCTTCTTGAAGAGCATGCATCATGAGCATGGCATAGGAACCACACATGCCAGTGGCGTCGACGACACTTGAAAGAAAATGCTTCCTTTCATCTCCTGTATAATGTATTTGCATCGAGTTCAATACGAATTTCATCACTTGTTGACCCTCTTCAAACGTTGGTAACCTCTTCTCCAATGTTGTTGTTGTTGTTGTTGATGATGTTATGCTTCTGCTTTGGAATGCTGACAATTGATCTTGACGAAGTTTTTCATGGAACGGAAAACCTAAACTTCTCCATGTTGGGTCGACACGGGAATGAGTCGAATTAAAGAGATCAAGATCTTGAACGGCTTTCTGAAGTGTTTGCAGTAAATTGTTGTAAAGTATGTCCAATTCATTCATTCTCTGAAGAATTTCAGTGTCGCAGTTATTGTTGTTTGTAGACATGATACTAATGTTGGGAAGAGTTGTCAATAGATAGATTCTGTTATTTCTTTTCATTATAAATAGGGTTCAGACGATGGGTTTTTAAAGTACTGCTATTTCTGTTCGATGATGAGACTGAGGAGCTTGGACTTCCCATCCACTCATTCACTTTTGATGGGAAATCCAAAAACAATCAATGAGAAAGTTAAATGAATTCCCATTCATGTTTGTGTTAGGAACTCAAAACGAGTTTATGATCCCCAAATAGATTCAACCATGGAAATCCTCCACCAAACGCTTTAAAACCTCACTGTCTCCAAGGACTCTTCTTCAACTCTTTACACTTCAAGATCCCCGCCAGCCTCTAATCGTCAGAGGTGTCATTACAGAAGTTTATCCTGAAGCCTTTGCTTATCCTACAAATAGATCAACACACTACAACCCTGGAGCAAAGATCTGTTCGACTCTGTGTGTTATTTATATTTGGTGAAATTACTGTCAACTTATGGTTTTTTCATTTGATGCCCTATAATTTCATTATATCAAAAATGTATTTTTAGCCTCATCCTGAACACTGTACTCTTGTTGAGACTTCCCGACGTTTGACGTCAAAAAACGAATTCCCAACTCTCTTGATAGGATGATTGAGAAATCTCTCCACATTCCCACAAATATACTTTCAACAAAAAAAACAAATTGAATTCCAACTTCGAATCATGACAGATTCTCTGGACACCATGATCCATCACATGCTTGATGAGTTAACTTCATGCAAGAATGTCATTGAACTCCACAACAACACGACCCAACACGACCATTCTTCTTCTAACTTCTCTCCTCCTCTCGCAGGGACCTCCACACGAACGTTCTCTCTCTCATTGGACAAACATTCTCTTACAAAAGATTGACAATCTTCAAAAGAAACAATCATCCAGTAACTCTCAAGAGGTCATTTCGCGCATGATTCTCCAACGAGTGGAACAAGAAATGTCTAAATCCATTCAACTCCTCCAACAAAAGTCTCTCCTCCTTAGCAACTCCAAGCACCAAATTCACACCATATCCACAACCACCAAGACTTCTCAAAAATCATACAAAATTGAATACTTCTTTCCATCCTTTTCCAAGATCGACCAACTTTGTTACGACTCTCAAGAAGGTTTGTCCTATCTCACTCCTCACCAAGATGCTTTTGAAATTGCGATCATTCTTCTTGAAAAATTGAGCTACTTGTACAACAGAAACTCCAGAACTTTTTATAATAGTCGTGTTCAAAGTAATAATACTGCTACTACTACTAACAATCGTAATCATGCAAGTCCTAGTAATGACATCTCTAATTATCCTCTTCACATTATTGATGGAACAGGAGGGCTCGGTGGAAATACCATTGGATTTCTGAGAGCTCTTTGGAGTTTGTATCCTTCACAGTTGGTGTCAAAGACTCGAGTGACCATGATAGAATTAGATCCAAAACGGTTTCTCGATGGAAAACATAATGCCCAGCTCTTTGTGGATGATTACAATGAAAAGAATTCCAATCACCAGAGAGTATTCAAGAATTTTCATGCCGTGAATGATAACTTTTTAACATGGTGGGAAGAATTTAAAGTTTCATTCAAGACGAAGAACGTTTCTTCTAAAGATGAGAAGAAAAAGAACGAAGAAGAGGTGCACGTGAAAGGTCAAAACGATGAGAAGAACAACAGAGGCACCACTTCAATTCCTCCTTCTCCTCCTCCTCCTCTCAGCAAGACATTTCTCTTTTTTGATCCACCTTGGGGAAATGACGATTGCGGTCAACATTCAGTCATTGAAGATTTGTACTTTTTAAAACCACGATCAGAATGTTCACAACAACACGATCCAGCAAATACAACCTCCTCTGGTAGTAGTAGCTCGACCTCTCCTCCTCCTCGACCATCCTCATCCTCCTCCTCCTCATTAGAATCCTCATCCTCCTCCTCTCGTGAATCATCATTATTAGCAAGTGTGAAACAAATGACTCTCTCACTATTGAATGAAGATTTGGTTCAAGGAGTGGCTCTTAAAGTTCCTTTTAATTTTTCAGAGTCAAGTGGGGAATTATCGCAGCATTGTCATGTCGAGTATGTTGTGATGAAAAAGGTGAAATATATTCTCGCCCTTAATAAAAAGTATGTGAATAAGTAGTATTTGTAGTGAGCAGTTGTGACATGTAAATTCACAATATCATTAATGATAAAATCAAATCCATTTCTGAATTTCAAGAAAAACGTATGTTGTGTGAGAAATGGATCTATAAAATCCAGCAAATAGTCTTCAATGGTGGCTGTTGTTTGATGACTAGGAGAGGATGACGAAAACTATTTCTCAAAGAGTATATGCAAAATGTTTTCAATCATCATGGTAGTAATCATTCAGCACGTTGTGTGTATGGAATCATGAGCTTCAATTAATGGCCTTTTCTTGTAATTTCCTTGAATATTTCTGATCGTGCACTGAAAAACATTCATGAAATAAAAATTCGAAATGTTTAACTCACCTTATCCAATCGCCATGTATTTCTCACAAAACCAACATATCCACACGGAGGAAAATTGAAAATTTTGAAAGGAGTTTCATTAAGTATTTCATGATTGATATAAATGGTAAGAGTGTTTTTTGATAATTTGAATTTGATATGATTCCATTCATTCCATGTAATTTGAGTTGAATCTTCATAATACAAGATTGCATCATCAGTATGGTCATAACCATTCCTCAAAAATGTTCCTATCATCAATAAATCACAAGTTCATATTTTCAACACAATGTGGTAAAGAAAATTGAAGAGAATTTTGTTGCTTTTTACGCTACCACTCAGCCATATCACATGGAATGCCTACCTGTCATATCTGCTTCTCCAGAAATTCTGAAAATTAAGCACTCATTGGTGCCCAAAGCTTCCCTGTCAGAAAATGCCACTTGTAAATCAGCATCCCCAGTGTGAAGAAAGAACTCAAATTCAAAGTTGAATATAAAATTGTCCTCTTTTGAAAAATCAAAGAGTAATTGATTGGACCATAAAGAATGTGTGGTTTGAAGTACAATTTCCAATCCATAATTGTTGTGTTTTTCATCATCATTGTCCTCATTCATGGTTCTCTTGAATAAATGACCTCTCACCACAATCAAATATACATAATAATCTTCTACAATATTCTCTATAGAATTGTGCTTGGTCCTCTTGATTCTCCATTGATGCAGGAAGAATTTCATCTAATAGTAGATTTCATCTACTATTTTAAATTCATTGTTCAAGATTTGTTTCCAAACAAGTTCAGCAAAAGAGGAGGATTCCTCGAGACGAGAATTGCTCATCATGATGAGTTGATGAAAATATTTACACGTTTCAGAGAAAGCAACAATGGAACGGAGAGGAAGAAAACTCATCACATCCGAACAGAGAACACGGATGGGCAGAGAGATGTCTTAAGTTCATTTTTGCCCAGCGATAGAAATACCAAGAAACTCCAAGTCATCACCATCTCTTGCTTCATATAACACAATAGTTATTGATAGGATGTATTGCAGTAAATAATCGTAGTGTATTATTTGTGAATGTTTAAATAAATTGTTTCTCATTCATTCACCACATCATTCCTGTAATTTTTTTGTAAGAGGGATATGAATGATTTAAAAATCCCGAAACCGAATTAGGCTTGGAGTTTAGAACCATCGAGGCTGGGATGTAACACTTACTACATACATCTATTGATGATTTCAGTGCCGCCGGCCAAAGATAAATTTTTTTTCTTTGCGAAGTTTGAGCGGAAAATTTTTTGCTTCCAAACACTGTTGTTGTGTTCAGTGAGACGGACGGACCCTGATTTAGTTTAGAACGAGCATTAGGTTGCACACATTTGGCCATATTGTTGTTTTATTTGAAATGTATCAGACAATAATGTAATGCAAAAGAAGCCTCATTATTCAGTGTATCACTTCTCAAAAACTTATGTGAAAAATTAGAAAATTCACACTTAATTGACACAAGAACCTCTGTTCGGAAAGTTAGTGCTGACGGATATTTTGAAAGCCATCGCAACTGGGATACTCTCGCAACTGTCACTATTTTTCCTCAACTAATATCTGTTACGAATTTCCATACCATAACACAGATTGCACCAAAATATTCTTTGAAGGCTCAGTATCCGAAGAAAATATTAATAACAGTTCTCTAATCAAGACGATGTCATCACTACTATCGGTTTCAAGTATTAATGATCATATGTTGGAATGGGTTGCCTGTTCAGACAATGTTAGGTATTCTGTTGAATCATTGTTCATTTTAAAAACTTATATTCATGTCCATTTTGTGAGCTGACCCAAGAGGAATTTCTTAAAAAATTTCTTCTAAATACTATCTCATATATAATAAATTTTTACATTTCCTGTAATTTCATTTGTTAGTTTGTGTGTGCATTTCTTGTTCAGTGCTGATGATGGACATATATTCATTAGTAAGTGGATCTTTGAAACAGGTATTCCAATGTCGACTTGTGTTAACCGAAAATAATTTTGCAAATTTCTTTGGTAATACAAAACCACCATCAAGCTCGGCTTCAAAATTTTCCAAATAACCGACACCATGCGTGGTGAGACCATTCTTTGCTAGGTCCTTGTTTATCTTTTTGCGAATTTGAGATCCAATTAATGCAAAGAGATCCTGTTTGGACACTTTTACTGATGATGATGATTTTGAACTTGGGCCATTTTTTTCGCAAAGTCGGAGTCGCTGAAATTTCCGTTGATCCATCAAATGAACTTAAAAGACAAAACATGACAAGACATTTTTTCGAATTGAAGGGTTGTTTTCGCGGCTACAAGGACTCCACCATAGATTACCAGCGAAGGTGCAAGGAAAATGATGTTTTGTAAACTTCTGTGCTATTGCTGGATTTTTTTCTCCGAGAATGCTTTTGATTGGTCGGAGAGCCAAACATCATTTTCCAGAGGTTTTGTAGTGATATTCACTGAAACGCATATGGTCCTGATATTTTCAACATTTCACTATCGGACTTGATTTGCCTTACACTGAGTTGGATAATGCAAACAAGGATCCCTTACCAATTTGAAAATTCATGAAGAGCAATTTTTTTTAATAAAAAAAATGATGAAAGAACAGCAAGAAACGGTGGTGCTGGATGTTGGTGGCGGGAGCGTGGATTCATTATCATCATCCCGAAATAGAAGCAACAAACTCTCGGTAGTCGGATCAAAAGGTTTTGGATCTTCCATGAATTTTTCAACAAATACGATTGAAACAGCTGCGGATGATGGAGAGCCAACCACAAGTCCCTTCGCCCAGTTTTCATCAACACAAAAAAAAGAGTCCTCTAAAGAGGAAAAACTGGATGATACGACACCTGCCCGGTCTTCGGTTGATATTGACCGATTTATGGAAACACATTCGAGACTTTTCCGAAGTAGAAGAACCATTGCTATTATCAACAGTATTCCAAAGAATAGCGCCGACCGATCATGGAAGCAAAAACTGTACTTGATTTTGGAGCATCCAAGATCGAGCTATTTGGCCATGATTGCTACAATTATTTCCTCGTTAATGACTGTGATTCAAACAGTGTGTTTGGTGTTGCGATCATTTCCGTTCTTCTTTCAATTTGAGTTTTTGTGGATATTTATTACTGGTTTTCTCTCACTCTACTTTATGATTGAATACTTTTTGAGAATGGTGGCCTATGTGCACACTTGGGGAGATTTTAGACACTTTATTACGGGAGGAATGAATATTATTGATTTTTTGAGTTGGAGTAGTTTTTGGATTGATTTGATTTTATATCAGGCAGATTTAAGCGACCACTTTTATGCACAAACACTGACCGTGTTCAGAGTTTTACGTTTGCTCAAATTGATCAAATTGACAAGACTCTCAGCTAAATTTCAATTATTGGTCGTTTCTATCAGAAGATCCTTTGAATTGTTGTTATCGTTAGTGGTGTTAACAGTTATGGGAGCCATTATCAGTTCTACTCTCATTTATTATGCTGAACGTGGCTTGTTTGATGCCAAATCAGGAACATGGCTTCGACCCGATGGTACTCCTTCACCATTCTCAAACATTATGGTATGCATGTGGTTCTCAATTGTTTCGCTTGCCACAGTTGGATATGGTGACATTACTCCTGTCACCACGACAGGACGAATTATTGCTGTCATGACCATTCTCTCAGGTATCGTAGTCATGGCTTTACCTTCCATGGCCATTGGTGGTATTTACAGCAAATTATTGGCAGAATTTGATGCAGCTCAAGAAGAGAAGGAAGAAAAGGAAAAACAAAAAGAAAGCGAGGATATGGGAATTGATCTCGATATTGATGAAGCTGAGAATGCAAAAGACAATCTTGACTCGCAACCATCCTCTCAATCGAATGAACAAAAATCATCGTCATGGCTCAGTGTCGATGAGTTACTCTTTGGAAGCTCTTCCAACAATGCTACTGGAACGACAGGCAGTTCCTTTGGAGATTTAGGAGATTGGTCCAATTTGAAGGATCCAACCGTTCGTAGAGATTTACAAAACATTGACGAAGGAATTCTCACTCAACTCATTCAACAGCAAGAATTGCTCATGCAAGCATGTATACAACAAATGGAAGACATGAAACTTGCCATTGAGGAAATGCAAGTCAATCGAATGTTGTAATCTGGAGGTTCTAGCTATGAAAGGATGTTATATACCAAGAGATTTTGACCTTAAAGGCACGGAAAGTTGGTGGCCACGTGTTGTGGTTTGTTACATCTCTGTGCATGTTCGCGTGAACGGATGACATCGTGGTGTTCGCGTCGCAATCAAGAACAATTTCTTTGTCATGGTTGCATCACTAATGAAAATTCTTCAAAATATCTCCAAAAGGTGTCATCTTTTGAATTTGTTTCAACACACCAACGCATTACGAAAAATTATAATTTTATTTACCATAAAAAATGTTTAGCAGGCGACATCTGTCAACATCATCATCGGGCAGCAGAGGTGGCAACTCCACTCCACTCACATATTCCGCTAGAGCCTCTCTCTTTGTGTTGGTGAAGAGGACATTTGTTGGAATCGATTTGGCACTCCTCGTTGTACCCAGTGTGATTTTTGCAGTGTGGTCTTCAATTTTACTTTACAATACGATGAAAGTAGACAATGCAGTACTGAGCCGATTACAAAATGGTACTACTACTTCGGATCCTTTTATTATTGTGGAACCATCCACGAATGAGAGTCAAAGATCTTTTTTACCAAACAGCATGATGGAGTCACGAATTGTCAACTCTTACAACAACCACTCGAATTCTACCAATTCCAACAAGGACAATTTTTACACACCTCTCATTTTCCAATGCATGGTTTTCACAATATTATTTGCATTGACACTCACAGATTGGATCAATGTTCTCTTTACGAGTTTCGGAGGAGAAATTTGTGAACGAATTGCACTCTATCGATGGAAACAAAAAAAACTTTCCGAAAATCCATCACTCTTATTTTCAAAGAGTCATGAGGAACGAGCTGAGATGGAAGATGCTGCCGATGCACAAATTCCACCCATTAATGAACATTGGATGGATGATGAAGATTTAAGTGAAATGGCACAAACCTCTTGCTACTCACATGTTGGATATTTAATTTTCAAATGGCTCATTGTTGGTGGAATACTTTTGGGATTATTTTCATGGTTTACAGTGGAATTGGTGACAATGAATCGTACTTTGAGAAGTCATGATTTGATATCGCCGTCACGAAACACAAGCATCACTCCATTTTCTGCTGATTCTTCATCTCACTTGGAATTTGATGGATCCAGTGTCACCACAAAAGCAAGCATGATAATTATGGAATCTCCAACTCCCTCCTTTCAACCCTCACTCAACATGTTGTTAAATGTTTCCAATTCAGCAAATTTAACTTCAAATACGGTGGCATGTGCATTGTTGTTTTTGACAGATATTGGACCTCAACAACAGAATGGTAAAATTGTGTTGCAACAATCGAAAATTTCATCTCTCGGTGACTCTGTATTCTTATATATGGTAATTCGATGGATGGTTTATGGATTGGGATTGTTGCTCTCCACAGTAGCTTCAATCATTATTTCAGTATATGGATGTTGTGTTTGTGTGGGTGATAAGAATTCAAGACGACGCTCGTCGAACAAGTCCATTTCAGATCATGTGGCCTATCGACCTCTAGCAACTGTATCTGATGATGATGATGATGATGAATAGAGAGGATATCTACAAGTGTTGTATTTTTGGTCATGATGGAGATCTCTATTTTCAATGAGAGTGCAGTTCTTGTTTGTGTGTTTCACACAAGACTTTTGGTGCGTTCGGATGCAATCTCATCAGTTATCAATCGATGGTAGTAGAAATAGCGTTGTTGTTGTTGTCATTGTTTTCCAAGTCGGCATCATAAAAATACATAAACTTCAAATCATGCACCCTCTTAATATTCCCTTAATTTTTTGAGGTTTCTTGCTCTTGACGGTCTTGTTGGACATTGTTTTTGAAAATGTCAGTAAGTGAATGCTCCTTGTCCTTTGAATGCAGGTCAATACATTGTGGTCAAAGACAGTTCTTCAAATTTCTCCCAATCTTCCTTCCTTTAAGAAAAATCTGCTCATTGAACCACCTTTTTGATTTTGATGAATTTTACTGTAAAGCACAAATATTCACATCAAATTCGACAAGGCACATTCAAAAGTAAATTTCAAGCTTGGCGTTCTTCTAATGTGAGAAATATTTTCTTTTTAAAAAAATGTATTTGGCCGTTGAAGGTTGTTGTCATGGTGATCTCGATAAGATCTATGCAACATTATTGCACGCGATGGAACAAAAACAAATGAATGATCAGAAGGAGATTGCATTAAAGTCGGTGCAGGAATCGGAAGGAATTTCCTCATCATCGAATAGTGGTGCTAGTTTGGAGGATGATTTTTTGAACCATTTGCAAGAATATAGGAAACCAAGCATTGATTTGTTGCTGATTTGTGGAGATTTTGAAAGTATTCGTCATACCGATGATTTGAATAGTATGAGTGTTCCGGACAAGTATAAAGAATGGAAGGATTTTTACAAGTATTTCGAAAAGAGTCCTCTTAAAAAGGAGGGAGAAGAAACCAAAATTGTACCCATTCCGACTTTGTTTATTGGAGGTTTGTGTTAAGAGAGTTTTGATTTAATAGTTTCAAATATTTAATGTTGGTTGAACATGAATAATATATTTTTCGTGACTGAATGGCGGCTTGAATTGTGTCAAAACTTGAAAATAATCATTCGGACTGAATGTACAACAACAATAATATTACTGAATCCTAACATGCATATATTCCTCATGTAAAAACATTTTTAGGAAATCATGAAGCTAGCTTGTATCTCATGAGCTTACCATTCGGTGGTTTTGTCACCGATAAAATCTACTACTTGGGAAATACTGGCTTTATCAACTTTAAAAAGAGAAATCCACATGACGGCAAGTTTATTAATTTACTAATCGGAGGATGGAGTGGAATCTATAAAGATGGAGATTTTTTCAAAGACAGTGCCAGGTTTTTCCTTCCCAAGACGGAAACTGGGTTGAACCAGGAAAGTGACAGGCATTTAGGAACCACACTTTTCGATGAGCAGCATGTGCCATTTTCTGAGGGAGCAAAAAGGAGTGTGTACCATGTCCGATTTTTTGAGTTTTGGAAGATGCTTAATATGCGGGTGTGTCTCGATCATAGAAAAGAGAAAACACAATCGCAGCAACCTCTCGATATTTTCATGTCACATGATTGGCCAACTGGAGTAACTCGACATGGAGACTTGGCTAATATTAGAAGATTTAAGGATCATGTGATGAAAGAAATTGAAGAGTCAGATCACAAACTTGGAAATCCATGGGGTGAAAAATTACTGAAAGAATTGCAACCCAAGTTTTGGTTTTCTGCTCACATGCATTGCAAATTTTCATCTGTGGTATCACATCATGAACAGATCACACCTTCGAATAATCTTTCCAAAACTACCAAATTTCTTGCATTGGATAAATGTCTTCCAAAGAGAGATTTCCTTCAAATGATAAATTTGGATCATTACATTGATAGCGTCACAGAAGAAGAAATTGGAATCATGCCTGTAAATGAGACAAGCAGTAGTACAGAAAGAGAAGTATCATCCTACGCAGTTGCATCTTCTTCAACAACAAGCGACACAAAAGAGGAAGAGGGTCAATACTATTTTGATTTGGATTGGTTGGCCATTACCAAGCTCTTCCATGCATACAGATATGAAATTTCAAGTCTACTCAAACAGCCACACATTCAAAAGATTCAAAAACAAGCCTATGAAACACTGAATCTAGATGAAATTACACAACATGTAGCCTCCACTAGCCTTCCATTCTCAGCAAAGAACAGAATGTATCCCCAATTTTCACTGCAAGAAATTGAAAAAGAGAAAGATTGGATTTTGGAGAGATCGAAAACATTTGCGAATGGAAAGTTTGCAAATCTTCGCATTCCAATGCCAGCCGAGTATTCAATTGGAACACTTCCTGTCTCGTCATCTACAACAAGAACTGTTCTTCAGATGGATCCTCAAACACAGGAATTACTTGCATTCTTGGGATTGGATGAATAGAGTCATTCTTTCCGGATTCTAATTAAATTTATTAATTAAAAAATTATTAAAAAATGAAACCTGCAAAAAGTCTTCTTTTTTCATCATCCAAGCACAGTACTCATCATCATGGTTTAAAATCCGTCATTGCTGGAGCTGCCAACAGAATTCGTGATGATCCATCACCAATGAACCATTGCAGCACTCATACAGCCGCATACGGAACTATGAGTAATAGAGTTGATAACAGCTCCATGATGGCAACAGTGATGCGGAGCTACAATAGCAATTACTATCCATCTACCACAACAATGAAGGCTTGTTACCATACCTCATTGAAGAAATTTACGGAAAATACGTTAGGAAATGACATGAACGATCCAACAACCATCAACAAATGGACACAACAACAATTGCAAAATTTAATTATTCAACTTTACAAATGGAGAGGTTCAAAGTCTCAACCACTTGTGGCCTCCTCCTCTGAAGAATCACTTAAAAACACTATTGATCAAATGATGAATGAGACAAAAAGAATTCTTTCTCAGTCCGATTCTGCTGAAGATTTATTTCCTCAACTTGTGGCTCTACAAATTGCAGCTCAATACATTAAGGAACATGAATTGCCACAAAATTCATCAGCACACAATAGTTCTTCAACGAAATTAGGTGAAGTTTCCAAGTTGAGTTTTTCAACAAGTAAACTTCAAGCTATTGTAAAGAAGAAGACTGACTTATCAACAATAAGTGCTTCGGCATCTAATACTAGTGAAGAATCTGGCCGATTCTTGAAGGAAAATATTGTCAAGTATCTCAATGAAATGAATGGAGTGTTTAGTATTTTGCAATGTTGGTCTCTGAGTAAGATTATCCTCCAAAAATTATTGTACTTTCAAAATGACATGACAAGCATGTCAAACACCAAACAAGTAATTGAAGAATTTTTGAAGAGTGGAAAGAATGAAAACCTTGCAACACACTTTTTCGGAACCTATTTTCAATTGGCATCCATCTATGAACGAGAAATTCAATTTAAAAACGCTGCAGGAACATTATTGGCTCTTCTTCCCAAGTTGGAGGATTCTTTGAGTGCTTTGAATGAACTCGTGGATTCCACGAGTAACGATTCTCTTGCATCCAAAGATTCCCTCTCTAAACACATCTCCTCGCTTCAGCAATATATTAGAGATGTACACAAGCGCTTGTCTGCTCTCTTGGAAAAACTACATGATTACATAAGCGCTGCCAAGCACTTGAGAGCATTATTGCCACAAGATTCCAAAGGTGTCATTCAACTTCCAACCAACAATGAGAAGGGAGGATTTGTAGAGTTGAAAACTCAACTCCTGAAATTGGCTTATTTATACACAATGGCCAATGAATGGAAATCTGCAGATGTGTGCTACGAAGATGCGACTCTTCTCACCGCAAGACAACTCTCAAATTTAACTACTAGTACGGACACAATTACCAGTCATCAAATTGTTTTAGATTCACTGATTGTGTCCTATGAATGGACAATCTTTTTAAGAAAAATGTTGATAATGATCCAACAACAAGAAGGAGCAAAAGAGACATCGGAAGAAAGTGAAACTGCTGAAACAACAGATAAGAAATTAGACATTCCATCCAGACTTCAAACCATCAAAAGACTCTTAGATATTGGTACCAATATTGGGAGAGGATTGGGTCTGCTCTCAGATGAACTTCCCAATATTGACAATTTGCAAAACTCTTCGCATCTCATTCGCTTTTTGAAAGAAAAAGTGGAAGTGCAAACATTTAACGAATTGGCAAAACTGCAACTTGCATTTATTAAGAATTTTCTGATGGAGGACGCAAATGGAAATTGGGACGATTTTTCAACTGTGTGGGATAATTTGCTCATGGCCATGAATCATGTGTTGACAATGGAAACAAAAATACTCAATGATGAATATTATCAGAAGCTTGAAGGTCAACTCTCCCGTCATTTTCACACATTCAAAGAGGCAATTATCAATGAAGGTTTGCATTTGTTAGGATATTGCATCACACGAATGAGAAATTCACCCAATCATAACCTTAACATACAAGAACAATTTGAACCCTTTTTTGAAAATTTGCTCGTCATTTTGTCAAGAAACGAAAAGTGTTTTGAAAATCAATTTAAAACATGGACTCAGTTACGTTCATTGATGGGAAATTATGCCTTGTATAGAAAGGACTTCAATCCAAGTATTGAATTATCTCGATATTTTGTTGAAAAACAAGTCATTCTCGATACATTCACTGCCAATCCTAATGACGGAAATTCTGGTCATTCATTACCATTCCATCTCTATGACGTACTAGTTGAAGTATTTGAAAAAGACGAAACGAGTTCAGAAAATACCAAAAGAAACAGCGTCTACAAGAGAGCTTACCGTATCCTCGCTCCTACCAAAGAACTAGCCATTGAAAAATCACTTCAATTTGAAAATTGGGTTATTGAAGGAAAACATGTCATTGAAGAGGCTGAAATTTATCAAGTAGATATGGATCGATGTGTGGAACATAATGAAAAAGCAACTCTTCAATTTTTAAAAGATTTGTTGAGAGAAGAACCTGATTCGAGTGAATATCTATTTGCAGGAATAGTCAATGCCTCTGGTGTTTACAGACCTTAATCTTTTGATGATCATTTGGAATCATTGTGAAATGCATGAAATGATTTGAAGTTTCCATTTTAAGAATGAATTATATTTTCAATTTTAAAATATAACAATAATAACAATGATGTTGTTGTTATACAATCACTTTTGAATGGTTGTGAGTGAAACAATCCCTGAATATGCATAAATACCATAAATAGACATCAAGGTTCAAATGAGATCAGTTTTTCGTTCACTTGAAAGTCCTCTTTTAGTGGCCACTTAATTATCAAATATTAATTCCACCAAAAATATCACGCAATAATTGATGAATGACTAAACGAAAGCATATTCATGACTCACATGAATGTTTGGATTTTCAAAGACTAGCATTGACTGCTCAACACAAGAACGAAACAAGCATTCGCCACATAGTGGGTAGTGTCTCTCTAACTTTATAAAACATTTCCTTTTCATTAGTTCCCTCACACCAAAAGGAGAATACCATTATGTCACTTGTCAAAGTGATTTTTACTTTTCATTCATAATCATAATTAATTCTGTCAACAGACCAAAGAAAGCATCAAAAACAACACTCTAACATCTCTTCGACCTGCAAACGAGCTTCACTCTCTCCTCATCAAACAGCCCCGATCAAAAAGTACTCTCAAGTCAACCATATAATTCTTGTATCATAACCTTTCAAACCATTACAAATCTCGAATGAACCATCATTCCGTTCAGCTTCAAGTAAATGCATCGAAAAACAAATTCATTCCCTTGTCAATAATGTCTCCAAATCGATTATTAGAATCATCTGCAAATCAAATGCTGCATGGAAGTCATCGCCATCGAACAAATTCAGAGACGAGTCAAGTTTCCAATGGATCCAATCAATCTTTAATGTCTTCTTCGGAGTCTTCCTCCGCTTCTTCTGAACCATCGCAACAACTCATTGTGTCAAATTCTTCTTCTTTTAAAGATGTAAATACAACCAATACAACAATGAATGGTGATTCTTCAATCGAAACAAATGGTATTAATGACACTCTAATTCGAATGAATTGTTGTCAAGGGAATAATTACAACCACTTGAATAGTTCCACTCACCTTACATCCCTTCAACCTAATAATAACCATGTTACGAAGAGTCAATATCCCAACCATGCGAATGGTTTGAATGATTTAAATGCCTTGAGAGAATTATTACAAATGTTGAGATTTCGAGAACAACACCCCAATTCTCCTCTCTCACAATTTATTGATCCACAACAAGTGATGCAGAAAATCAAATGCATGTTACCTTCTCTTTTGATTCATCAACAACAATATGAATCTTTGAGTGAAATCTCTCGTTCAAGTAATAATTCAATGACTACTATGAATTCTCAGCAATCTCAGAGTCAGTTCAACCTTCATGGGAATCACCACTGTCACATGGCCAGTGATGTGTCAATGAGTGTAAATTCAGGTCATAATTCACCATCACCACCTCCTTCTCAAGGATGTTTTCCTCTAAAGTTAGAATTAACAGAGAGAGATTTATTGGAATTTTATCATCTGACTACAAGTTCAAGCATGTGAAAAGGTCTAATTTACCTTTCGTTAAATAAGTTATTACAAAATCCACATCATGATTTCACGGATCATCATTAATCACTAAAACTTATCATCCACAAGAGGCGTCACATTCTTCACATTTTGTTTGGCAAAGAAATCCAAAATAAATTCATCCGTATATCTCAAACTAAAATGTGTCAAAATAAAGTGAATATTTGAATACTTTTCAACAATGGGTTTCAAATGGTTCCAATGCATGTGATAAGCTCCAAGTGCTTGCTCTTCCTGTCCTTCTTCTAAAAATGTGCATTCCACAACAATTGCAGGAAATTCCAATAACTCTGGATTCATTTCAAACACTCGATAAGTCGTATCTCCCATAATGGCAATACGAGGTTCGAAAATTGTGTCACACACTGCATCTTCACCTAGTTCTTTTCTCATCTTTCCAATTTCAGCACCTTTCAAATGTGAAAATTCTTTTTTCAATTTCTTTTTCTTTTCATAAATGGCATAACCATTACAAACAATTGAATGATCACATCGTACCACACGTGCCACAAAGTTCTCCTTTCCTCCAATTTTTTCAATAACATCTCCTGGAGAGACTCCAATCACTTGAACTGGTTTTCTCTCCTGAACACTCTCACGAGGTAATTCTTTTCCAGCATTCAATTCTTGACAGGCATGTAAAAAGTTCTCAACAAATTTCACATTCTCTTTCGGAACAAAGACACGATTAGGTACTTTTCGATTGATAAATGCAGGTTGACAAGCACTGAGATAGTACGAATGATCGGCATGCGTGTGGGTAATGAGAAAAGTATTCGGATGTTGATTCATGTACTTTTTATCAATAAAACCCATATCAATGTTAGTAGAGAGTTGAGGAATTTGAAAGTAAGTGGCTTCAGCCGATCGGGAATGACCAATCAAGGATAAGGGTTGAAGATTTCCTGGAGATGTTATTGAAGAGGAGGTTGAAGAGGATGAACTCTTTGTGGTGATGGCACCAGCAGTAGTAGTAGTAGTAGAAGTTGGTGTTTCTGTGTTGCTGGGTGTGGATGCGGATGATTCACTTTTTTCCACATCATCACCGGTGATCTCTTCTCCTGCAGCCAGTTGTTGTGGAAGCTCGAAAATATTTGGAATGACTTTCATGTGAAGAGGATGATGAAAATAGTAATGACAAGGGTCTTGTGTGGAACTTTTTTTTGATTGTTATTGAAGTTTTTGAAATTCATTTTCAAATTTGAAAATGAGTGTTCTCGAGTTGATTCAAGAGATCCATAGAGGAGCATTGATGTAATTCAATAAAGAGTGTTACAATGAGCTCAACTTGTTTGAATTTTCTAAATTCTTGAAACCATCCACTCAAGTATTGGATAAAAAAAAAGTTGCTCAAAGCCCGCCAGTTTTTTTTACAAATTTTTAAAAAAATAATTGATTCATCACGAGAAAGATGGGTCTTTTTAAAAACAAGTCATCCTCCTTGATAACAGCCTTGAAATATCCTAATACTCTCGGAGAGTTATTGAAACAAAAAGATGAGTATACCATTCGGATGAGAAATGATGAGGAGGCAAGAAAGGAAGCAGAAAGGAGGGAACAACTTGCTGAATTGGAGGAAGCAAAATTACCCTTCTACAAACGACCCTTTTATAAGAAACATATCAAACCAAAAATATTATTTATTGTGGATCGAAATCGATGGTTCAACAAGATGTGGATTCTCATGATTTTTTGTATTGAGCTGTATAATAGTTTTTTAATACCTTATCGAGCTGCTTTTGATTATGACAATTCCTTGTATTGGTATTGTGTGGATGCTCCTTTTGATTTTTTACTTTGGGTAGATGTGGTCATGAACTTTTTCTATCCCTATCGAGATCAGATGAATATTCTTATTACAGACTTTAAGAAGACTGCAAAGCGATACATGTTCAAGGAGAAGATTGGATTTTTTGCAGACTTTATTTGTCTGTGTTTACTCGATTGGATTCCTGTTGCCATTGGAGCTGCAACTAATGGCTCCATGACATATACAGCTGTGTGGCGTTTGAATCGAGCGCTCTTTTTTTTTCGAGCTCTTAAACGTTTGACTAGAATTGAAGCCCTTGTTCCAGATCGATTTGCCTTGCTCTCCAAAATGGTCAAGCTGCTCAACTTTGTCATTATTGTCGTCATGTCCGTACACATTGTGACATGTTGTTGGTTCCCGATTGTAATGTCAGAGTATCCAGATTCTCAAGTATTCACTTTGAGCGCATCAATCTTTGAACCTACAACGTCAACTCTCTACAAGTACATGCTTGGTGTATATTGGAGCTTGGTGTCCATGTCAGGTTTTGGAGGCACTATGCCTTCTTCCAATTTACAAGTCGCATTTTGTACTCTGGTATACTTGGTTGGAATTGCCGTCTTCGTTACTGTGATTGGTATTGTGTCCGACTTGGCTCAAAATTTGAATATTACCGAGAGTGCTTTCATTGAAAAATTGGATTCTGTGACCGATTACATCAATTCTCGAGGTTTGTCGCCCGAGCTGAAAAAACAAATATTACAGTATTATCAATATTTGTGGAAAAGTAGAAAGGGTTTGGACGAATCGAAAATCATTCGTGAATTGCCAGATTTTCTGAAAATCGATGTTGCCATGCAGCTAAATGCAGAAATTGTGAAAAAGGTGGAATTGTTCAAATCATGCTCTCAAAATTTTATTCATGAAGTTGTGATTAATCTGAAACCAAGAATTGTCATGCCTGGTTCATACGTCATTCGAGAAGGAGAACCAGGAAATGAAATGTTTTTCATTGGTAAAGGAGTTGTTGAAGTAAGATCCAAAACTGGACAGCTCTGGTCGACCTTGGGAAGCGGTTCTTTTGTTGGAGAGACTGCTCTTATTGACTCTGTTAAAAGAACTGCCAATGTCATTTCGACAGAGTATGTAGATTTGTTCGTCCTCGAGAAGCATGCCTTCGACGAAATCATGTCCACCTATCCAGAGGATGCAAAAAACGTCATTGCAACAAGTGAAGCAAGAAAACAAATGAATAAGCAAAAGGCAGCCCTTAATAGTGGGATTCCTTTCGAAAAAATTAACAAATTATTGGACAGTATTGGTTGTTCGTATGTTGATGTTGAAGGTCATGATCTATTTATGTCTCTATCAATCACCGTTGGAGAATCCAGAGATGTCATTCAGAGACACATCGAAGAATATATTAGAGATAAAGATCATGAGATCCAGAACCACATTAAAACAGAGCATAAACATGAGAAAATTGATGAATATTTTGATCATATGAAGAAGGGGAAAATCAAGCCTGGATTTAATGAAATTGCTGCGGCAGCTAAAAACTATGGGAGAACAATTGTATTGGCTAAACCTGCTGGACAAGGTGATGATTTCAATGGAGTATTTGTTTTATTCGATCAACACACTGGAACCACGCACGAAGCTAAGGAACTTGTAGATTTATTTACAAATACCGAAAAATATCACAATCCAATTATTATTGTTTCAACAGGAAAGGAAGGAGGTTTTCTTGCGGCAACAAGGAAAAAGTAATGAAGTGACAGCATATTGTGTTCTACTTTTAGAATTGATGATTTTAATGACTGTTGAATCATCATTGAAAATCGCACTTGCGGACTTTGTAACAAGAACCTCCAATGTTTCAATTCACCAGGTGAAACCCTACAAGTAAGCTCCCTTCTTCATCCATGGATGATCATACACTTCCTCAATATTCAATCTCTGTTTTGGGTCCTTACAAATCATGGACAAAATAAATTCCTTTGTTTCCTTATTAATAAAGGAAGGAAATTGAATTTTCACATCTTCAATCATTCGATGCAATTCGTGAATGTCGTCATGATCAAATGCAAAACATCCTGTCAAGAGTGCAAATAAAATACATCCCAGTGACCATATGTCTGCCTTTCTTCCATCATATCGTTGTCGATTGAGCACTTCGGGCGCACACCAACTTTCAGTGCCAACGACATCGTCAAAAAGAGTTTGAGAAGAGGCACCTGCTTTTTTCAAAATTCCACAAAATCCATAATCGGTTATTTTCAACACTGGATGATGATTGTGAGAAGGTGTAAATGGTATTCCTATTTGAGAGGTGGTAGTAGTGGCCGTCTTGGTCTTCTCTGATTCATCATGTGTCACCAAAATATTCTCTGGCTTCAAATCTCGATGACAAATTCCACAACGATGCATATACAAGACACCACTAACCACTTGTTTAAAATAGTAACGTGCTTGTTCTTCTCTCATTCTTCCATACGATCCATGTGTGTCATAATACTCAATAATGCTAAACAAATCACCACCATCTGCATATTCTAAAACAATGCAAATTTTGTTCTCTTTTGGATCTTCAATGACTTTTTTCATTTGACAAACATATTTCGAGAAGGTTTCAATTTTGTCTTCATCACTAATTCGTTTTGGTTTTTCACCAAATGGCCATTCCATAACTTTTGAATTTCCTTCTGTTTCATAAATATGATAAGGTCCTTTCGCAATGGTTTGAAGTGCATGAATTTCATTTTGAATATATTTCATTTCTTGTTTCTTTCTCTTTTGAATCATGTCATTCATGGTCATTTGAACTTGCGGAGACACTTGTTTCTTTGTTTGATTTGTACTTGTTGGAATGACAACTTGGAAATTATCATTCGACAATTTTTTTTCATTTTTCAATAAAGCACCTGTCACATTATCACTAATGGTATGAGTGGCATCTAAACTTAATGTTAAATTTTGTGTTTTGCAAATTAACTTGTTTGAATCATCCTGTTCATCCAAATCATCATCATCACTCTCATCAGATTCCACATGTTGATTCACAAATTCTTCCACAAATGGTAAATTAGAAATACCTTTACTCTTTCTCGTAATCGGAGAAGGAGGTGATGCGCATTGAGTTTCAATTTTTACAACCGAAGAGGTATTCAAGTTGTCCACAATGTTCGTCGATTGTTGTTGTTGTGCAAAATTTTGTCTTCTCGGAGAAGGATTCGAAACAGTTTTAGTTCCCAAATGAGAAGAATTTCGTGGACTGGATTGTTGTTGTTTTCGTTTCCAAGAAGATGTTTTTTCTGGACATGTATTCAAAGTGGTGGATGGATGAGAGGATGATGAAGGAACAATGATGGATAATGGTTGACCATGTAGATGTTCATCATTACTGCTGCTGCTGTCAGAATCATACTCATCATCATCGGTGTCGGCATCAACAAGAACAACTTCTTCGGCACCCCAATCGTCATCGGAAGGTTTTGGAACTGTGATTTGTTTGATGGCAAAGAGTTGTTGGGTGGGGATGTGTTTCGCTAGGAGAACTTTGGAGGTGGCTGTTTTAGCGATGGTGGAGACGATTTGATAACCTTCCATCTGTGATTCGTTGTTGAGGCTTTTTTTCTTTCTAGAAATGAAAAGTGACATTTAAGAACGAAATAAGAGCCAACTTGTCCTTTTTGTAGACTCAGACCTCAATTAATATCTTCCTCACGAGTCGTGCTTTCGGACTCTGTTATCGCTGAAACTGTAATCGTTCTCACAAGTGTTTATCTAGTACTAATAAGAATATGTATGTCATACACTAGCGTTCAATAATAATGACATGAATGGAAAGGAATAAATAATATTGAATTTAAATTCACATATTAGCATCTACCAAGGGCATCATTGGTGTCAAGTCATGAATCTTTTCTAAACCCAGAATCGTGTTCTTCTCAACCTGCACTGTCAAATTATGTTCCTTAATTAAACCATTCGAACAAAATATTTTTCTGACTGCTTGCAACACTCGCTGATGATCGACTTGAACATCATTTGCTATTCGTACCTTAATGGTTGCAATCAATTCTTGCTTTCTCTTTTCAGGATCAACTTGTAAGATTTCTTCTTCGTCTGCTTCATCTAATGAGGCACTATTGAGAGCCCAAAAATGTTCACTGTGGCATTCTAAAACTCCATCCACAGTAGTTGAAACTTCCTTCACACATGCGTTCAAATGAGTACACAAATTTTCTGGTGTCGTCTGAAGTAATACTTTTCCATTGGCTTTTAGAACTGGAATGACAAAATAAATAGTTGTCATGGTACTCATACAGCACAAAATAAAATCGAACAAAAGACCACCTGTGGAATAATAAATGGCTCTCATATACAAAAACAAAACAGCATGAATATGAGCTTCCCTCATATTTCTATAAATCCAAAATCTGGCATGTGGAATTTTCATACGAATCATGGTGATGAGAGAATTGTAATATTTGTAAAGAGGTGAGGAGTGCGCTGAATTTAGAGCAGCATGGAAGGACGAGAATTGTTGTTGGAACCATGGAGAAGTATTGTACCACATAGCATTCGCAGAGTTGCTGTAACGGCTTGATGCTCTTAAATTAGCCGACCCTTTTCTCATATCTGATGGAGGAGATTGCAGAAATGATGAGAATCCTGTAGATTCACTTTGATCTGACTCTTCATGTTTCTTCTTTTGAAGTGTTGCAGAAACACCATCATTTGAATAATTTGCAAAGAGATAAATTGAAAGACCATTGACCAATAAACCAAAAATTACAATCATGTGCGTGAACAATCCTATACTCATATCCTGCAATTGTTTTGGTTGTTGTTGTTGCTTGTGAGGTGTGGATTCAACTGACGCGAATTTTGTGGTTAAAACATATTGTACCATTTCTGACAAAATACTGAGAGAAAGGAATGTGGCATACATGCCATTGGCAAATCGTAGCAGCACACGCAACCGTTTCCATAATGAAAATGTGTATGGCGCAAATAATGGTTCAAGTTTAGTTTTTCCCTCCTCAACGAGACGAGATGTAGAAGAGAATGAAGATGAAGACTCTTCATTATTCATTAATTGTTCAGTCAATAAGGATGAAGACTCTAATGGAGAGTCAATAGGTAGTACAGTAGTCTTTGATGGAGTGAAAGATTGTTGATTCATGTTGGATTTAGCTTCGAGAGTACTTTTCGAAATGCATACACCATGTGGCGATGTTTGCTCCTGTGTAGTTTTCATAAATATGACAATCAGGTCAATCAAAAACATGAATCCTCTATGTAATAAATAGAACCCAGAAAATAATATAAGTAATCCAACTAGAAATTCATGATTTCTAATGCTGGTGACATAAATTTCCTCCTCGCCTCCAGTAGCGCTTGATTCATGATAATGAGTATTTCCATAGTGGAAGAGTCCAACCATTACTTCAAGAAATCCAAATCCTAAAATGAGTATACAAGCAAAGAAGTGTGCTTTAAGCTGTGCATGTTGATGCGTGGTAAGCTTGTAATTTCTTGCTGATGAGAGAGAAAGAGGCTGCACAAAAAATAGTAAAAATTGCTGTACATATCCAACAAACCATTCAGCATCTGGATGCAAATTTTTGATACGCTGTATCCAGTGTGATATGTTTTTTGAAGAAAATTGTTCCATTAATGCCCTCTGAGAAAACATGGTTTTGTACTCTCCACTTGATAAAGATAATCCAATTTTCCACAAAAAAGCTACTGTAACCAATACAACAGTATGTATCCATTTGGCAAATAAAGAGGCAAATAACATAACACGGTTTGTCATGTCTTTCAAAATTAAGGATGCTTGTTTTTTTCCCTTTCCTCGAGTTGTGTGACGGTATTCATCTCCAAAGAAGGGCGAGTTTGGAGAAGAAGATTTGTCCTCCTCTCTAAATGCTTTAGCAAAGGACTTGGGTATTCTTTTCAATCTTAACCAAATATTGTTCAATAAGGATTTGCTTCCCTTTTGATTGGAACCCTTATGATTGCAATTTGTATGATCACAAGCAGCCGGATTCATTCCAAGTTTCGATCTTTTTCCGGCAATAAATTGCGGACTAAATGAAAAATCCTCATCCGTGCTACTACTGGTTGCCAATGATGGAGAAATACGTGATGATGAAGTTTGCTGAAGAGTGGGTGATAGTCCACTATTGTTTGCTAGTACAAAACTAATGGCAATATCATTTGTGTTGTTGTTATTGTTGGATGATGTAGCAAATAAATCATAGGATGAGTGAGCATGGGAAGCTGTGGTTCGGATATAAAGACCATGAGGTGATTTTGAAATGGATCCTGTAGAGAGAGGTCGCGGAATTTGAGAAGACTCGGATGGAGATGTTCTTGAGGGTATTGGTGTAGCAGTGGAAGGATTTACATTTTCAATGATACTATTGTTGTTGTTATTTGATGGGAGAATTGGAGTGGTTGAGATTTTCTCATCATCAACGGTATCAATGTTCGGAGTTTGTTCATTCTTGTTGGTTGGTTCTTGCTGTTGCTGTTGACCATCATTTTCCTCGAGATTTGTTGAAGCTTCTACAGAAGAAGAGGAATCAAGGCTAGCTGGTGCTGTGAATGAATGATTTGGGACTTCTTTATCATCCATTTTTTTATTTGATTTCTACAATTTCCGACGTAGGTTCCTTATTGTTGAAGTGTTGGAGTTTAATGATTGTTCACTGTACACTAGTTACCGTTCTGACAGCATCACCAATGAGATTCTTGCATCAGTAGAGTGGAAATGAGTTGATGAATTGTAAGAAAAGCTTTACAAATGTTCGACAATTCAATTGGATTGAGAATGGTCAAAATGAACATGTCGCTTGGGTGGGAGGAGTGATCCTTGTTTGGAGTTTCTACGTCATCACCATCTATGAGTGGTTTCCCTACATGATCATAGGGCATTATAAAGAGAGACATTAGTAGTCTGAGAATTTGAAAAAGCAAAGGTGAGTATCGACTCTCTGTATGCATCTCACGCGCTGTCTTCTCTTCCTTTTCAGTTTGATCATTATGTATCAAGTATTGATATATTGTTGTCACATCTCTAGTATTCCAAAACAAGCGTTTACCATCTGGAGTAAAGCACTTGATAATTTGATAATTTGCTTCTTGGACAATCAGTTCAAATTTTAATGAAACTGGAATGTCTTTGTAATTGCGTTCTCTTAATCTTAGATCTTTGCTCACATGTTGAGAATTTTCGAATAGAATTTGAAATAATTTGTTCCCAACGTTTTGAAGCGTTTTAAGGTTGGAACAGCCAAATAAATCCTGAAGAAGTTTCATTTCTTCTTCTTGGTGGTAATGACATGATACATTGTCAGCGATTTTTCTAATTGAATTTATGCCTCTATGGATGTACTGTTGGAAATAACGTGCCATGTAGAATGGTTAACGTCAAGCATAATTAAAATCATGTTGTTTTTTAAACACACCTTCCAATAATAAGGATTTTGAATTTTCAAATGATCATCCTCCACATTAAAACAAAATCCAATATTATAGCACTCATCGTAAAAGGTCGAAGGCATCATAAAATAGTCCAAATAATATTCTTCCAAAATTACATTCATGGAGTTTACATTATTAAATATTTCATCTCCATATAATTTTCTGAACACCGTGGCCTCTCCTGTTCGGTTGTTATTCGTTTTGGCATGCTTTGGAATTACAATCATATTTCGTGCAATCAGATTTTCAAATATTTGTTCCTGCAATAATTGCTTCAAGAATTTCCGTTTCATTTGCTTGATGTGCTGAGTAAATAGTTGAAGAAGAGAAAATGATGAAGAATTCGAAATCACATTTTCTTGCATTTTTCATCATCATTTTCAAAATAATAAAAAACCAAAATCATCGAGTAAATCAAGAAATACTTTATTTTGCGATTCGCTCTTCAAATTAATTCAAGCAAGAACCACCATTACACATGACATTGAAGACAGTATTTGCAACAGCAACACCAGCATTGAAACCAGCCTTATTGGCATATTCAAAGTGAATACCTCCATAAATTCTTGATTTACCAGCCTCTCTGGCAGCACTTGAGAAGCTTGTGAATGTTCTCACATGTTGAATATAACCCTCAGAAACAGTTTCAAAAGTCACGTCATCAGTACCAAATGCAAGACTCAAAGCACGAGCAGCTGCAGCTGAGAAAGTCGAGTGTCCACTCACATATTCAGGGAATGGTGGAGTGGCAATGTATGGCCACCAATTTGAATTTCTATTTCTTTGTGAAACAGCAGTGAATGGTCTTAAAGTGTTGTAATGATACTTGTGATCCCATGCAACAATACCTGCATCTGCAACAGCTACACTCACCAACTTGAAGATGGCTGAAATCTTGAACAAATCAGTGATTCCTTTTTGACGAATGACACCTTGAGTAATGATTTGCCAATGTCCAGGTGGAGTGGAAGTACCACTATTGTCAGCCCAGAACAAGGCAATTCTTGTCTGATCGAACGTACGAACAGCACTATTGTTGGCACCCAAAGTTTGAACTTCCAACAAATCAGCTTCAAATTGAGCAGATCCAAGAGCTGGTGGAGCACCTTGTCTATAACTTGCAACATCGTGAATGGCAAATGGATCAACTTTTGGCCATTGAGGCAAGGATGGGAATCGTTGATAAGTTGGAGCAGTTGGTTTGTAGGCATTCTCGGCCTCAGAGAATTGGTAATCGACGTATTCATTGGAACCATCGTTATCACGGCATCTCAACACGCGGTCTGCCACCAATAAAGAACTTCTCTTGATATCTTCCAAGTCATCCTTGTCTAAAGAGGTCACTTGAGAATTCTCCAAAGATCTCTTCAAAGCCATTGTATAACATTCAATTTCATCAGGGAACAAGTTGGTCAAGACACGATATGCAGCATGAGAGATGGTTGCAATCAAAGTTCCTTGAGAGCACTTTCTTGAACTGAATTTTCTTCTCTTACAATTGGACAAGGCATCATCAATGGCCAAGTGAAGAATAGCCATGGCACGAGCAGCCACTGGTGGAGCAGTCTTACGAACACGAATGGTGCTCAATAAGACATTATTCCACTTGGATACGAAATCTTCCTTATAGGCAAATCGATCAGTGGTGTGGAAGGCACATTTTGGAGCAATATCACTTTGAATGGCAGGATAGGTATGAGAACTGAAAATTCGAATGTAAGGCTTATTCTCAACTGGATCAAAAGCATAAGTCATGATACCTCTTGCCATTCCTTCACCCCAAATAACACTCTTCAAACGACAATCAATGAATAAGGTACCATCAGCACTGAATTGCATGGGCATCTCACCCATCCAGGTGACTCTTGGAAAAGCAGTGGATCCATTATTCTTGTAAAAGAAGGTATAATAACCAAAGATGAGCACCGAGTTGGCAGGAACCCATGTACCATTAGGACCACCATAAGCACCATGAACGACAGCAGGTTCATGGAACCAAACAGTGAAAGTATCGTCGTGAACTCCCAAATCTTGAGAACCAGCAACAATGGGAAAACCTTTCACTTTGGCATAATTCACCACATAGGCAGAACTTGAACCTTCCAAATATTGAGCACCATTTGGCAACTTGCTACCACCATCTGAAATATCAACACCAAATTGATTTCTGAAAAAGGAGGTTGCTTTTTCATGAGCATCTGGATATCTTGTTACAGGACCTGGATTAATACTTTGATCAGCCACTTGAGAGAGTTGGAATTGAGTGGTATACTCGAATGGATTGGTGGTGGTCTTTAGATTTTGTTGAGCTTGAACGAAAATCAAGCATCCACACAAGATCAGAGACAACAAGGTAAGACAGCGTAAGGATACAGGATACATGATATTGCACAGGTTGGGATTAGTTTACAAAGGAACTTGGGTTATAATAATAGTACAGACCCTCACTCGGTGGTAGAGAGAGCTTGAAGTTTTTGTGGATTGTCGTGTGGATTTGTTTTTTTTGTTGATGTTGAAGTGTCACCCGATCTTGATCATCGGTTTTATCGCAATTTTGTGTTGCGAACGTGAAAATTTTCACCAACCAAGTGTGGATGACAACCTGAAATGTCGTGAAAAAATGTTTAGTGTTGTCCTGTATGGGAAGTCTTACCGTTTCTTGGGCGTTACCAAACTTGTGGGGATCCTTCTAATAACAAAAAAACACTTCTTTCTTCGAACATGCGTCACCACGAAGAAGGTCGGCTTTATGGCTGAACAACCATTCAGATTTCAGCACATCTTCATCACTTCCGTTGTTTTTATTAAATATTAATAATTACGTCCTAAAAAACAATAGATTTACACACCATTTGATCAAACCACCACCCGCTGAATTGATTGAAACAGCACCACAATGAGCACTCTGAAATTGTCGTTATTCCTGTCATTCCTCCTCTGTATTATATGTTCTACCTGTATGGTGGTGAGAGCTCAAGTGAATTGCGATCCCACTCAACTCTATGATGCCGAATTGATTTTGCTCTATGATGACGTTGTACCATTTGAATTCATTCCAAAACGTATTGAACTTGCTCTCAATACCACTCGTTTTCCAGCTTCCAAACAACAAGAAGCTTTGCAATTCTTCAAGAATCGATTCAACATTGATTTCACCAACTCTTCCAATGCACCAACCAACTTTCGATTGGAATCAGGTTCTTTTGAAGGTTACAATATTTATGGAGCAACCACCACAAAGAGTCGATTCTTTGGTTCACCACTCATTCGAGTCTTTGCTGATTTCATGACTGTGGTGGCTTTGGATTCAAGCTCTGTTGATCCTTTCACCAATGCACCAATTACCAAAGATTCCATTGCTCAATATGGTTATTATACCATGATTTATGCTAAAAATGGAACAGCATTTACAGCTCCAATTAGAGCCTCCTCTCAACGTTTCTTGGATGCCTGGAGAGACAATATGGGTAATTTAGATTGGTCAAGAACCATTGATTTTGATTTGGATAGTCCAGAATGGGGTGCAGGTGAAAGTGTGGGTGCTTTCTACATGCCCATGCAAGATCCATTCTTTGGAAGATCTCAAGTGGCCATGAGAGAAACCATGAGATTCCCACCCACTCGATATCTCAATCGAGGACAAAGTACAAAGATTACCTCATGTCAATCGTGGTTGAATTAGTGTATTATTATGCAGAATAATCGTTTGTCGAAATCTATTGACACTCAAGAAAATAATCTTCACATGAAACAAATAAATTCCTTTCAATGAATATATATATGGTTTTCAATTCTTCCTCTTACCAACCCTTAATGTAAAATGCTTAAAGCTGATCGTTGCAAAATTAAAATAAGTTGTTGATTTATTTCATCTTCTGAACTAAGGTGGTCTCAATTTAAAGCATTCCTTTAATAAAGTTTATTTTTTCATGAAGCATCCAATACTGAGATTTTATTTCAATCTTGGCAGTCCTATCAAAGGAAAAATATTTAAAAACATATTGTCTAACTTGTACATAATCTGTTTTATTAGGATTATTGTTGAATCCAATGGATTTGATAAGTATTAATGTGATGAAGTTCTAAAGTGTTCTCGTTGACAATAATATGAGTTTCATCACAGAGTTGATTTTTTTCATTATTTCAGTTTCATGTTTTTATTTCATAAGAGACAATTAAAGATTGTACATCCGTTGTGCAACCTTCTATATTACAGTCGCACAGAGATCCTTCCATGATGTCACAGTTTTTCAATCAATTATAAACTCCTCTGCAGCTTCATCGTTCACTTTTTTCTTTCTCTTTTCAGAAACTGTTGAGGCAGAATCCGTTGAAAGACAATCTATAACGTCCTCTGAAGGTCTCTCATCATCGCATCTGCTTTGAAGAGGAGGGCTGTTATTCATTTTTTTCTTAGCTCTAGTTTTCTGAGATATTTGGCGCGTGGTTTTAACAATTTTCATCAGCCTTAGCTCCATGATTTGAAAATTATAAAGAAAACTCTTACAGCATCGAAGTGAGTTAGGTCCAACCCACCTTCACCTCGCTTACTTTCAGCAAAGATTCCGAACAAGTGAAGAGAGTGTGGTGAGATCTTTTATTAATTATTATTGAAATATTTCAATTTATTCCTTTCAATTTACAAGGATTGTTTTCCTTCAAAGATTGTTCCTTGATGATGTATAACCAATCTTTCACTTTTCGAGAAAAAGTACATGTAGCTGTCGAGAATTGACAGATCAGACGAACACAAAAGGCAATCCCTCCAAAAAAAATCTAATTAGTTTATTGTTAGCACCATTGGTGCTGGTAAAACTATTAAACGCACGTTCATGCGGTTGACTTTGGCTTGAATTGTCTTGAAATTGGTTTCAATTCTGTGGAGCAAATAAATCTTGTTGAGGTTAGTCTATTCAATTCATTGATGTCATTAAGCTTGTATTCAACAATTAGGTATGAATAGGTATCTTTTACCTTTTTCTTAATACTGAGTCTCTCTTTTTCGAATTTGATGGTTGTGTTCTTGCATAGTGTTTTAATAGCTTTGGTAATTGCGAGTTCACTTGTTGATTCAGGGAGTATACAATTTGCTATATGTGTTTCTTGCTTTCTTTTGATAATTTCAAATCCTTGTTCAATCAATTCAGTGTTGGGATTCTTGGAATCAAAGTTAATTTTAAGTTTGTACAAGGTTTCTTGTGGATTGAATGTTAGGCACATTTGTTCATTTTGATTGATTGAGTACTTGATGAGAGTTTGGATGTTCGAAATTGATTTTTCTTTGGCTATTAATGTTGTTGGAGATGATGAAAAAATCATTGGTGAAGTGAAATATTTTGTTTGTGTTTTTTCTGTCATGGCTGGTGAATTAAGTTTCTTTAGTATTTGTTGTTGAGTTTCGGCATTTTGAATGACTAAATTGAGAGTGTTGGTCTTGCTGTCTGGGATGTACCAGTGTTCAATAACTGATTCAAATCTTTTTAGAATAAATTTAACAAATGAGGATGAGATATTGCTGTCCGAGTAGATTGAGATTGAATTAGTTTTGTTTTTGGGTTGACCAGTATGTTCAATTTTGAGTTGAGGAGTTGAGGGGAGTTTAATTTCCACTCCATCCAACCACCTGTTCACTCTTCAATTTGAACATTGAAATGACAATTTAGTGTTTATATAAATAAATACAACTCGAAATTACGAAAATTTCCATCCTCTTTACAATTTACCATTTTCATCTTAATATACCTGGAGGAGCTATTGTTGCATTAGTTTGGTAATTCAATGTTGTTTGATTATAAATATTGTTGGTTGGAATGAATGGAGGAAATTGAGGAGTTAATGAATATTGAGGATATGGTGGGTATTGAGGAAGTAGAGGCTGCTGTAAAGGTGGAAGTAATGCAGGAATAGTTGTCATATTAATTGATGAAGTTTGATTTGGTGTTGGGGAAGATTGAGAAGGTTGGTTTGGCGTTGATTTTGGTTTTCTTCCTCTTTTCTTTGGCTGGTTAGGGTTATACATATCGAAAATTAAACTGGTATTGGATGTGTTTTGAGTAATATTTGGATATGATGAATTTTGACCTTGATTTGTGTTGGATGATTCAGGTGAGGGAAGTGAAAGAGGCTCATTCTGAAGTGTAATATTTCTAATAGGTTGACTCTTTGAAATGTTGGTTGTAGCAAGTGCTGTAGATGGTGTGTTAGAGATGTTTGAAAATGTGATTTTCTTTCTCTTGGACTTATCATTATTAACCAGTTGCAAGCCACCGAAAGGGTTGGTTCTCTTTTTGACGTTGTTGATAGAATTGTCAGGAAGTGCTAGAGTTGTAGTCAATTTCTTTTGTTTGTTAGCAATTTCATTATTAGTTATTTCAAATTCAAGTTCTTGTAGAATATTCACTGATCTTTTTAGTCCAGGTCTGCTTGCAAATTTTAAATTTAAACGAGAATGAAATATTTCAGCTTGATTATTTGTCAAATCTAAATCTTGTATTCTTGATTTGAATGTAAGAGCCCAAATATTTGGAGCAAATAGTGCATTAGTGGACAAATTTCCAAACCAAGTTCTAACAAGATACCTCCACAACTTTTCACCTGCAACACTTCTCCATGTTGCTAAAAATTCCTCCTTTTTGATGTTGAACATTTGTTCAGTCATTATAGTTCGTGCAAGGTCTTTTAGTTCTGATTTAAAGGTCTTAAGAAGTTCTCTATTTCTTAGTGGATTGTTCGCAGGTAATTCTCTTCTTATCCATCTTGACACTGCTTGCAAGAGATGGAACTGACATCCAACAATTTCTACATCTGGGAAAATAATTCTAAGAGCTTTGTGCATAGCTTGCTCAAAATCACAAGCAACAAATAATTTTCGAACTTGCAATAATTCAGGTACAATTAAGTTTGCAATCACCATCCACAAATATGTATAGAATATTTCTGACTTAGCTTGTGCGAAAATAGATAAAACATGAACAGCCGCATCCATTCCCTTTTTCCTTACATGAATAGTAATCATTTGCTCGCAACCTTTAGGACACACGTCAAAAGTTCCATCAACATAGATTTGATCTTCCTCAGTCACTTCTTTTAAGATATTAATTTGGTAATTGGATCCATAAATAAAAAGGAAATGTGGAAAACCTTGTACCCATCTTACAAATTGATCTTGAGATTTAGTACATGATAGATCTTGTCTGGTGTACAAATCTTGTAAACATTCAATCCTTTCAGTGTAGAATTTTTTTCATTTCTTTAACATCCTCTTTGGTGATTATCAACCGGTGATCTCTTAGTTCTTCTTTTGATAACTTTTTGTTTAAATTTTCTTCAATTTGTTGACTAGATCTTATATTTGTGATTGCTTTGATGTATTCAAATAATTCCTTTCTTCGTTCCTCCGAAATCTTTTAAGGTTGACTTTTTTCAATATGAGGTGGAGCATGATCACTGTGATGCAACGTGTATGTATGTATCAATATCAGGATAATATCTTATTCTCGCAGAACATTTTCTGGATTTATAAAGATTGCACTTATAGGTAATACAGTGAGCAAATGTTTTGTGCTTGCTGTAGAAATAATTATTAAATCTCAATTGCTGCTGATTCGTTGTTACTTTGTGAACATTTCCTCTCGGAATTATATATTCATTTTCTTTCAAATTGATAATTTTACCATCAATTTGTAAAAAATTATCTCCTACATTTGATGGCTTAGAAATAGAATTACATACATCAGTGAGCAAACCAAGCTTATCATCATCAATTTCATCTTCGGAGTTTGTATTATATACTTCTTCATCAAAAACAGGATCGATTTCGACCGTGTCTTCGTATTCGATTGTTGTTGGGGTGATTGTATTGTGCAGCATGTTGCTTGTGAGTGGAATTTTTTTTTGGGTGGACTTATTGTTGAAACTACCCTTCCTTTCTTTGATACTTTTTACAAAACCTAAAATATAATCATTTCATTTCAATGTGTTCGTTGAACGGTAGAAAGGTGGTCGGGTGGGGTGGAAATTTGACTCCCCTCGAGGAGTTTCTAAATGTTTAGTTTCCTGTTTTGGTTGTTGGGTTGGTTCAGGTTTTGGTTGAGGGTGAATTTTTCGTGCTTCATTTTGAGCTTGAGAAATTTTAATTGTTGATTGTTCAGGTTTTGGTTGAGTTGGTTTTGTAACTTCAATTAATTGCTGTACTGTTTGTGTGAGCGTCTTAACAGCATCTTGCAGTTCTTTGATTTGTTGTTGTTGTTGTTCTAAGTGATTTATGAGTTCTTTGATGGTTTGTTGTTGAGTCATTTTTTTCGATTCGATCCCTCCAAAAAAAAATGGAACCATTCACTATTCACTATTTGGGAGTTATGACCATGGATTATTTGGCGATCGTTGATGAATATCCAATTCCGAATAGCAAGAATAGAACACGCTCGATGGAGATGCATGGTGGAGGAAATGCTGCCAATGTTGTATTTGATTTAATACGAATGATGATCCCACCATTGACTGCTGCAGTTAAGAACCAAGAACAACAACTCACCATCCATGATGATCCCAACAATACGGACATGATCATGATGTAAGCAAATCTGAACCACTCATCAAACGGCAGTATCAACAATGTTCAACTGAAATTACCCTTATCAGCAAAATTGGAACAGATGTGGTCGGAAAGGCTATTTATGAAGAATTTGCCAAGTTATGCTCAGATGTGAAACACACACCAATTGAACTTAATTTAAATAGTATTGTAAGATCTCCCTTTGCTCAAAGCTCATTTAGTTATATCATGATTACTCCTAACAAGCAGCAAGGAAATGATAGAACCATTATTAATACCCCACTCTCTGAAGAGTTTTCATTTGATGAGCTTTCCCAGCAACAACAACATGGACCCTCTTCCAAAATCATTGACATTTTGTTTATAGATGGACGATATTCTTCGGTGGCAGTTTCGTATGTGAATACTCACAAGCCAAAGTGTGTCATTATGGAATGTGAAAGGATGAGGCCGATTCCAGAGTTGAACACATTCCTAGAGTTAATGACCCTGTCACACATTCTTTTGTTGTCTGAAAATTTTCCAATCGAATATTTAAATCATATCACTCACAATTCGGACGTTCATGATTCATCATTGAAAAGATGGATTGAGAACAGTATTTCTCACGATGGATATGATGCAAGATTGATATCCATGCACATTCTATTTTCTAAACTTTCTGTGGAGGCACCTAATTTTATAACTTGTACTCTTGGATTACTCTTGGATCTAAGGGATCTATCGGTATGATACCCTACAAAGAAGAATATTCTGGCGTAACAAAAAGCATCAAGACCATCGAGCAACTCATTCAAGACAGTGATCATGTCATCAGCACAAGCTCACATCAGAGTGATGTATATCCTCAAACAGTACTGTCCACATTTTCATTCGAAGGGCCAAAGAGCGAAAAGTTCGACTATGTCATAATTTATTGCCCAAGCTATCAGGATCCTCAATTTCCAACTATTGTGGACACCACCGGTGCTGGTGATTCTTTCAATGCAAGCGTAATATATTGTCTTTCGAGATTACTTATTGGAGAAGAAGAGACCAATTTCACAATCCATGAACTGTCAAAGTCTTTAAAGTTCTCGAATATTGCGGCCTTTTATACATGTACTGGCGTCGGTGCGAGAGCCACAGGAATTGACCATGAAAAAGCAGAAAAATTGTGGAACGAATTGTAGGTGGTTGTGAAGAAGGTAGGAAATTTTGAATCAACTGTCAAATATACGGTCAACTGAAAAGATAACTTAGAGAAAGATCAAATTGAGTGCTTTATCACAACAACTGTTGAATGCTCAGAGAATTAAGTTGACTTGTTTCCAATCAACACACACGGATACCGATCGGTGTCTTTCACTCTCAAAATTTGTTCGTAAATTTGCGAGCAACCCTCCAGAGTGTCCGCTCTACATAGCGAAAATACCAACAAAAAACCATCAGCACTTCGATAATAGGAATCTCTGTGGGAGTGGCCATAAAAGAGACATTTCTTGATGCGGTGGTTAATGGAACAAAGTTTGTACTACAATAGTTTAGTGAATATTTAGAATTTGCACTATTCTACAAATAGAGACGACAAGTTATTAGCGTTTTTGGTGTGTATTCCATGGTTAGAGACTGGAATGAGAGATGTCTTATTTCTGTATGATTGCTCAACTTCTATCGACAAGGTGAAAGAAAGTTTGTTGAATAGACTCGCCACATTCAGCGACATGTTGGGAAGTGACGATCTTTTGTCGATTTATGGAGAAAATGGTGCACCATTTATCACAAGTATATCTTATATCACGAGATTAAATTATGTAAAATTTTTTAGGTCAAGCACTTCAAAACGAAAAAAGTTGTTTCCACCTTTGAAGAATAAACTTGCCACAAATGCAAATCAATAAAATTATTAAGCATATTAATAATGTCTCTTGAATGCCAATTTGAACAGTTCTGAGGGCCGACTTGTAAATCAAACAGCCTTGATCAAGTTCACTCGAACCACATTCCTATCGACAAGGCGATACTTTAAAAATCTCCATATTTAGTAAATGATACAACATGACCGCGCCAAAAGGATGTCAAGCCTTACTCGTTTCAATTCAGCCTTACCACATTTTACCGCTTAAATACTACAATCATAATTTGAAACCACCATAAATGGTGACTTGTGCATGCTTTGAATGCCAAACCATCAACAAAAAAAAACAAATTGAAATATTCTCTGCAGATGTACTGGTGGGTGGTTTGCAAATTGAACCACCCCAAGAGCATTCTGAAGGGTTTAGATCGCAACTCCTTGAGAGAACATTTGCTCACAAGGCAGCTTGGAGTGTGTATTTTCATTTATTCATTTTCCATAAAATAGAAGAACGGTTTGGCTTGAGGGTAAGTGATTATTCTGTTCTTTGTTAAGGATTAGATTTCTGTAATGGCAATATTATAACAGTTTCTCAAGGTGATGAATTGTCATCCCTTCGAGAGAATTCAAGCATTGAAGAAATATGACCAATTTACATGCTCTGTTCCTTATCGATTTAGGATGGCTTTCCATGATGACAAGGATATTGGAAATACTACGTTCAACAACATACCAATTCTGTTTATGGAGACTATCTTAATAGAGAAGAAGCAGATTTATTTTGCTGAGAAGTAAGATGAATCACTTCTTACAGATACGTCATTCTGAAACACTTATTCATTGAGGATCAACTTTACACCTCAACAGCCTGGTTAAATGACTGTTCGCTATGGCTGCAGGTTTGATAGGACTCTCGCCGCAGAGAAGTATGGAGAAGAAAAAAGATGGTTGCTTAAAAACTCATAATGCGAGCGCTCAGATCTAGTGCCATCACGTGGGATCAGGCTCCTGATTCTGCTGGGCCCTCGATTAAGCTCAAAATCAATCATTCATCAACTCTCTGAAGGCAGGCTCAACGAACTACGTTTGCTTTTGGACAAGCGAGTCGATGTGAACAAGTATCAATTATTATGCACAGAATGTCACTTTTGGGAACACGCAGACATTGACAAGAAGGTTGTTTTAAATTCCTTGTCGAATTCCAAAACGGTGATTGAGCAAATTCAATAATAATTGCTGAAGATTGGACGAAAATTAAAAAAACATTGAAAAAATGATAAATCTATTTGAATCTATTGAAGATCGTATGGAACAGATATCCAATTGAAACAGCACTGAAAGAAATTGCTCCTTTTGTGTCTTGAAAAGGTTAACGTGTGCGTATTTTTGAGCCACACAAGATTGTGCTTATTTTTGTCGGAAAAGCAACAAATTCTGATCATGTCAACCATATTTCACACTCCATCAATATTATTGAAAGAGAATGCAAATAGAGAAAATTTGAAGAATGTTCCAATTTGATTTCTTTGTTGGATAATTTTCCTCAATCTAATAACTCCTTGCTTAATTGTTTTTCTACATAAACAAGTAATCCTACCTCGATTAGTATAAGATTATCCATCGATAGTTCATTTGTAAGCAGTCGAATTATTGGAGGCTCATCTGTTGGAAGTTCCACTGTGAATAATTCTACTGGAAACGCCACTACGTTAATTGGTGATTTTATGAATAACAAAGAAAAGAAACCATGTTCATCCAATAGAGATTCGAATATTTAGCCGTAAACAGACACGTTTCTAAGATTCGACAACTGAACTTTTTTGATGACCGATCCTACTTAGGGTCAATTACACTTTCAATAAAAATTTTATGTACTAAATTGCTGTAACTAAACAAAATCTCACACCAAGAAAATATTTGTTTTCTTCACAGAGAAAAAATTTGGAGTAAGAGGGAATCGAACCCTCGGCCTCGAGCATGCGAAGCACACGCTCTACCACTGAGCTACTACCCCTTAAACCATAATAATGAAAATAAGAGAATTGTGGCAAAATATTTCCATCAGCTGATAATTAATTTTTGTAGTCGATGAAATTTAATATTACAATTTGGTTGGTGAAGTTTTATTATCCATCAAAACAGTAATGATGATTAGAAGAAGGTTGTGATTTTACAATTATGTTTAGAATGTTATCAGTAGGATGGTGATGATATGCATGGAGAATACTATTGCTTGTTACTCTTATGCGATTCAATAATATTACAAATCTGTTGCAAACAACCTGGCTGACTTTCAAGCGAAAAAATATTCGAAAATTGCTTAACGATCAACCAAAACCTTGAAATGAGTGACCTTGTTGATTTCTCATCCTTTTAAACATCTAATAAATTAAATTACAATTTTGAAGCTGTGGAGGTGATATAGCTCAGTCGGTAGAGCGTTGGTCTAATAAGCCATTGGTCGTCGGTTCAATCCCGACTATCACCAAAATCTTTTTATTGTTTTAACCCCACTCTGTCCGCATTTTAATTCAATTAAAAAATAGTCATGATTGGAGCTCCCACTTGTTCATTAACACATTCAACTTCGATCCGATCAAATATTGAGAAGAGAAAACGAGTACCAAATGTATGTAAATGACAAACATATCATTACAATTTTATTATTTTCTAAAATTAATGACAAACTAACGTACAAATTATTGTGAACATCACCTCGATCGATGTTTGATTGATATGAATTTATATATTATCGATCATCAAGCAGTTTTCAAGCACTCGCCTGATAGATGAAGTCTATGGCTCGAATCACTCGATCGTTCAATCTCTTGGTTGGAGTCATAAATTAGTTGGACATGGTGTAAGTATGGTGTGTTTTGCGATGTTCAGATACATGTCATCTTTAATCCTTTTGTCGTTTATCCTCCTCAAAGGGTTGTGTGAATGCCATTAATTTCAACACCAATGGAGACTTGATTGTGACTGGAAGGTAAGTCGATTCGACAAAAGAAGATGTAATTCCTCTAAACACGGCACCAATGAACCCCCAAACTTGCATGATAATTTAAATCATGATCAATGAACCCAAACTTGCATTATTTTGAAACCAATCCATTCAATTGAATGCGAACGATTCCATGCAATATGTCGTTTTATAACCTCACATTTCTGAACCTTATTTTTTCACACACGTTTCACTTACCTTAATATCTTGACCACATGATTCAAAAAATTACACACACACACATTCCTCAAACACAGTGACGATGAAACAATTAAAATTTGGAATACTTGGACAGGAAAATGTCTCACCACTCTCTCCGGTCACGTCAGTAATGTTTTTGCCACAAATTTCTTCAATTCAAATCATCAACAAATTATAAGTGGTGGAAATGATTCAGATGTTCGTTTCTATGATATTGAAAAGGACGTTTGTACCGTGTATCAACATCACACAAAAAAGGTTTTAAAAATTGCAACCTCTCCACTCTTACCTCAGTGCTTCTATTCATGTTCAGCTGATGGTTCATGTCGAATGTTTGATGTAAGATGTAAATATTCAAATACAAAAATTGAAAAAGACAAGATTGTGAAAGAATCTTCAAGGAATGGCACTCATTCTCGAGGACTCAATGCATACAGTAATTATGATGAAACTATTTTACCACAAGCCATTGGAGGTGGAAGAGTTATTTCATCATTGGGTAGAAATCATGGTACTACGACATCAGGTTCTGTCATTAACAGTAGTAGTAGTAGTAGTAGTAGTAGTGGGAGTACGAGCGGTGGAGACTCTTCAGGTCAAGTTTCTTCCTCATCATCTCTCGTGGTCAATTATAGAATACTCGAATACAATACCAAAACAGTTCCAACGCTCTATTGTGTGGACTTGAATCCACTCAATCCTCATCAAATCATTATAGGTTCCTATTTGGGTGATACAAGACTTTTTGACACGAGAAGAATTGAGAATTACAATGCCAATTCTTATGTGAATATTTATAGACCTGTGGAACAAAATTTTGATCCTAGGGATTATGAAGTGACTGGAACTGCTTTTTCATGTGATGGCTCAAAGATTGTGAGTACTCATTTGGGTGATTATATTTATTTGTACGATCGAGAGAGAAACTTTGAGAGGGATGAAGGTGTGGATTACACTCGAGTCGTCGTACCACCACCACCACCGTCACAACCAATATCACTCACACGAAACACTTCCATGTCATTACCATCTTCACAACAACAAGCATCCACACGCACAAACACTTCGAGTGGTACCTCTCGTAATACTACAAATCAAAGATTGAGCAATAACACAGTTGCAAGTGTAGATCTTTCCAATCATGATACATCAAGAAGAAGAACAACCACCACACAAACAGAACAAGATCCCAATGACAATGACTCTATGGATCTCCATCATCCCAACATGGTTACCACCTATGATAGAAAATTCACAGGTCATTGCTCACGTCAAACCATTAAGGGAGTCAACTTTTTCGGTCTCCACTCTGAGTATGTCATTTCAGGCAGCGACGATTCGAATATATTTATTTGGGAACGAGAGAGTGGAGAACTTGTTCGAGTATTATCGGGTCATGATGATATTGTAAATACAGTGGTATGCCATCCTGAATATCCAATGATTTGTAGCGGTGGAATTGATGATTTTGTCAATGTTTGGACACCTTGTAATGATTCATTGATATTATCAGATGAAGAATTGAAAAAGAGAAAAATTCATTTGGAAAGTGTGATGGAAGAGAATGCACATGATTTGGATGATGATGAAATTACACACATTCCAGCACACTTGTTGCAAGCCTTGATGCAATACTTTATGTCAAGAGGAGGAGATATGGATGATGAGGAGGATAATTTTGATGAAGAGTAATCTTGAGAGTGGATGGATGCATTGTTAAAATTTGTATTTTAGTATGTGTGCTTATTATTATGAAAATGTACATACCATATGAAAAGTACTTTGAGTATCATCCTATCGTTTCGAAATGTAAATATATTAAATGTCCTTATTTCTAGAGTTTTGTGGCTTTTACATAATTTGTGATGGTAGAAATAATTGGAATATAAATCTCTCATCTGTGTCGTGGTGTTTATAATACAAGATCATCATTAGTGTTGCATGCTTATTGCACATTCATATAAGAATTATTACACATTCATATAAGAATTCATTTCGTTAGTGTTTGCATCATCATTCAAAAGTCATTCATTCCACGTTGAGAGAGGTTGACTTTACAGTTGAGTTTGACGAGCGGCGGTTTCTTTGCGGAAGAAAATTCCGTAAAAAAAGGCTATCAAAACACAACGTCATCGTCATCATCATCTATTGAAATTCAGAAGGAGGTTCCGATTTTTGATAGATTTCGTTATCATCATCCACAAACCACCACAACAACACCATCATTTTAGAGGACAGGTTTAATTCAAAAAGCTTTTTATCAACAACCGGACGTTTTAATCCTTCCGCTTCCAAAATAATATACTGTTATTATTATTTATTTTATCATTGTTATTCATTATTTTGTTGATAACGTTACAAAAGAACGTGAAAACAATTTATTGATAATATATAGTAGCAATAGATAATTTTTGATATATCATACAAAAAGATTCTTACAACAACAAGAACCATAACAACAAACTATGGTCAAGGAAATTAAATCCGATTCACAATTTACATCCGAACTTGCCAGCACAAACAAACTGGTAGTGGTGGACTTCTTTGCCACGTGGTGTGGTCCTTGCAAAAAAGTTGCTCCGATCTATGAACAGCTCGCCAATCAATACCAACAAGATGCCGTCTTTCTTAAAGTAGATGTCGATATTTGCCAACAAACTGCTGCTCAATGTGAAATTTCTGCCATGCCAACGTTTGTGCTTTTTAAGAATAAGAAGAAGCTGGACCAAGTGGTCGGTGGAGACATGAACAAACTCAATCAATTGATTATGAAATACAAGGGAGCAAGTTCTTCCTCTAGCAATGGAACAAGCTCTCAGGTTGAAGATAATGAACCCATTCCAACTCATCTTAGCACAGCAGAGGATTTCAAAGAAGAAGGCAACAAGCGATACAAGAAAGGATCTTACAAGAAGGCTGCTGAGTGTTATTCAAAGGCCATTGAACTCGATCCCAGTCAGGCACCCATCTACACCAACAGAGCAGCATGCTATTTACAACTACAACAATACAAGAAAGTCATTGAGGACGCACTAAAGGCTCAACAATTGGATAGTAAATTTGCAAAGGCCTACCTCAGAGCAGGTCAAGGCTATTTACAAATGGGTAAAACAAAAGAAGCAAAAGAACAATTTGAGTTGGGCCTTAAAATTGAGCCAAACAGTGATCTTTTAAAAAAGGAACGAGATACAGCTGTGAAAATTGAAAAACACTTGGAGAATGCTAAAAATTTCCTTTCTCAAGGACTCTACAAGGAAGCTAGTGCTGAGATTGATTTGGCATTACAACTTGCTCCACACTCGACCATTTTGAAATTAGTCAAAATTGAATCTCTCATTGGTTTAAGAGAGTTTGATACAGCTGCTAAAGAAGCTTCCACCATTCTTCGAGATGTTGACAGTAATAATTCTGACGCTTTATTTTTGAGAGGTCAAGCACTCTATTATGCAGGAAACACAGATAGCGGGCTCAATCACATCACACAAGCACTCAATTTGGACCCTGACAATCAAAAATGTATTCAATTCAGAAAGCAAATTAAGAAAATTGAAGCCTTAAAGGAAGAAGGTAACACACTTTTGCGAAATGGAAAATACCAAGAGGCTTATAACGAGTATACCAAAGCAATCGAAATTGATCCAAAGAATGCAAATTTGAATGCTGTATTGTATTGTAATCGAGCTGCAGCTGCAACTAAATTGGGTAAACACGATGTGGCTATCAAGGATGCCACCAAGGCCATTGAATTGAACGATAGTTACTTGAAGGCCTACATGCGTAGAGGTTCGAGCTACATTGAGCTTGAACAATATGAAGATGCCATGCGTGACTACAACAAGGCTCACGAATTAGATAAGGATAATGAAGAAATTGAACAAAAATTGAAAGAGGTACGAAAATTATACAAACAAAGCAAGAAGAAGGATTATTACAAAATTCTAGGAATTGAAAAATCTGCTTCCACGGACGAAATTAGAAAGGCATACAAGAAGCTTGCAATGCAATGGCATCCAGATCGATATATTGATGAAGAGGAGAAGAAGAATGCCGAAAACAAATTTAAAGACATTACAGAGGCACACAGCATTTTGTCAGATCCTCAAAAACGACAACAATATGATTCTGGTGCAATGGATGCTGATTTCGAAGGTGGATTCCATGGTGGTGACATGAACGATATTTTCAGAATGTTCTTTGGTGGCATGGGTGGCATGCACATGGGAGGTGGTTTTGGTGGAATGAGTGGAGGTGGTTTTGGAAGAAGAGGTGGTGGTATGGGTGGAGGTCAATTCTTCTTTTAAATGAGGCGCACCTTTTTCAGAAGGGAGGCCAACTAGAACCCTTATCTTCTTCTCATTCCACACGTTGTTGTTGTTCATAAATTCTTTACGAAATTGAGATGTCAAACTTGAGAATATTGTTCTTTCACACAAGCATTAGATTTGGAAAAGGCAATTTATTCTTGGTTGGTTCATTGTTGCATTCAATCGAGACGATGAATGAAATTCCATTGTCATTAATGCACCAGTGTATCCAAGCACAATTCCATTAGTTAAGGATTGAGATTTATTGTAAACAATGTTATTACAACAGATTGCAAAAGCCAATCCGATCCAATCTCAAAATCCGAGCTAATTACTTCACACAATAATTTATTTTGCACGGGCATACGAGGTTGAGACAGCGACAGCAATGATGATAGGCAGAGCAACCAAAACCACAGCAATCAAATTCAACACAACGGTGATAATAAGTCCATATTGCCCATAGGTACCGTATCTACATGTGTCAACAAATTGTGAACAAGTATTCACACATTAGAAAGAGTGATACAGCAACAAACGTAATGATTTCATGATAAATTGTTAACCATATTTAAACCATGTTATGATCATGTTAAAACATACCTTCGAGCTCTCTCGTCACTCGAATGTCTGTATTTCAACACAGGAACCCAAAAGAAGCATGAAAAACAAAATCCAATACCAAAGAACCACATGAGGAAGCTCAATATCAAAGCCATGGTGAATGCATCTTCAGCTTGTTTTCCTTCTAATGAGGCAACATTGGTAGCTATAACCACAGGTTGAGCTGTGGTTGTGGTGGTTTGTTGAACAACATATTGTGGTTGAGGTTGTGGTTGATAGTACATTCCTCCTTGCATTTGTTGATTTGGATCAACATAGATGGGTTGTCCAGGCTGTGGTTGTTGCACATACATGGGCTGTTGAGGGTAGTAGGGTTGTCCAGGTTGCATATAGGGTTGGCCTGACTGTTGTTGTTGTGGTGCTTGATAGTAGGCATTGGGTTGTTGTTGCTGATCCAACATGACCATATTAGGATCCTATTTAATGTTTGTTGTGGTGATGAATGGATTCGATCCGACATATCACAAACATGATGAAATTATATCCATGCACGATATTCATTCCCACCCAAAACGACACCCACAGTTATGAGTCGTCCGGTTATCATAAAGGCCATGACCGAGCTACTTACCTTCATGTCATTACCAAAAGGTTGTTGATTCATTGTTGTTGTTGTTTGTCAGCGTGTGCGTTGTGGATAACAGAATCAGTGAGCTTCTATTTTTTTCTCTTTCGAAAATAATTGGAAGAGCTGTCCCGAAGAGCGTTTCAACTGATTTCAAACTACCATCTTCTTCTTAGTTTGACACGGTTCAATGTGATTATTTGTCGTGTCATGGGAGGAGAAAAATTTCGATCACTAATAATACTACAGCAACAACCAATCCTGTCACAATCACAGCATTAATAACAAAAATTGTTATGAAACAGGCTAACCCCATATTGCCATACCTTCTTGCCTTCTTGTTAGGAGAAGCTTTGTATTTCAACAGTGGATAGAATGCAACACATGAGCAAAGCAATCCGAGTCCCAACATGTTTAACACCAGACATCCAATGATAGAGATTAGAAAGCTTTGTTTGGCAGTGACTTCTTCCTCATCATTCTTCTGCTGGACTTGTTGTTGGGTCTGTTGTGAACGATTATAGGAAGAGGATGTTTTATGGAAAGGAGAGGTGTTTGGAAGAGCATGGTCATTGTCTGCCTGGGAAGGAATTTCTTGTTGGAAATTCTGGTGAGGAAGGAGGTCATGGCTGCTGGGCAGATCGAGTGCAATGCTTGCTAGTGCAGTATTCATACTAGTCGACGAATGCGAATCAGGAGGAAGAAGCATTTTAGGAATGGGACTAGCTCGAGAGGGTTTTTGGGGATTTTCATTGGCCGGTTGAGATGGGAGAGAAGCTGAGGCTTTTTCCTGTGGCTTTAGTGTTATGGAGGTTGATGTGAAAGGAATATGACCAAGGGATGAGTAGGAAGGAGTTTCCCCATCCGCGGTGGGAGTTGCTGATGCTGATGTGGTTGCAATCAATGATGAAGAGAATAACAAGGAAGAGGGAGGAGTGGTGTAACCAGATCGTGAATTCGGAATGTCCACACATGAAGATTGAAGGTGGGGAGGAGTCATGGAAGAGGAGGTACTCAATTTGGGCACAATTAAGGATGAATAATGGATGGAACGAGACTCATCTGTGGTGGCCGTTTCGAAAAGACTGGCCTTTGAAGGATTTAGAGTCGGGGTCGTCGGTAAAGGAATTTGAACCAGAGAGAACTCTATTTGATCGGTTGGAAGACCATTACTCACAGGAAACATTTCAATGTTCTCAGGAGGGGCATGCTCTGATGATGATTGATGGATACTTTCAGCGGTGGTTGTTGAAGAGGACATGATTTCAATGTGTTCTTAATTCCGTTGTTTCAAAAGGAGGAGTTTTTCACTCGTAAGGTCCCGCCTTAAATCGATTTGAAATTTTTTTTTTCTAATACCTTTAGTGAAAACATTTCATCCTTAAATTGAATTTATTATCGAACCTGACACCAAATTGTAATGAACGAAAAAGAATGGTATTTAATTGTTTCAGTATGTTCAAGATGAAATGCCATTTGGTGAGTGCAGAAAATGCTGCGACAGCGATGACAATGATGATGGGCAGAGCAACCAAAACCACAATAATCACATTCAACACAACAATGATTATCAGTCCGTAATGGACATAGGTGCCATATCTACATGTTACTCAATTATTTATACAAGAAAGTCTGTACTTCAACACAGGAATCCAAACGAAACATGAAAAACAAAATCCAATACCAAAGAGCCACAAGGGAAAGCTCAATATCAACGCGATCGTAAACGCATCTTCAGCTTTTTGTCCATCTGATGAGGTAACAACATTGGTAGTGGTGGTGGCAACAACCACAGGTTGAGCTGTGGTTGTGTTGGTCTGTTTAACAACATATTGTGGTTGAGGTTGTGGTTGATAGTACATTCCTCCTTGCATTTGTTGATTTGTATCCAAAAAGATGAGTTGTCCAGGTTGCATATAGGGTTGAGAGTAGGCATTGGGTTGTTGTTGTTCTTGTTGCTGATCCAACATGACCGTCTTTGGATCTAACTGTTGTGACATTGTGTTGCAGAGTTCGTGCGAAAGAATCAATAAAAATCTATGTGTGAACAGGACCATGACGAAAATTTAATATTCATACACGAAATACAATGTCATCCAAAACAATAATCCATCATGATCACCACCAATCCTCTTCTTACCTTCACTTCATCATCAACAGATTGTGAATGCATTACGGTGTGTGTCGTTCGGTAAAAGTGATCTGCAAATTTTTTCTCTTCTTTTCGACTCGGTATTGGAAAAGTAGTTTCCCTCAAATTTTCTCCCTTCCGCCCTCCTTCGGTTTGTAATAATTTAAGAAGACACCAACACAATTGGTTGGCCTATTGTTGTTGTTGTTGTTGTGAATTTCTTTCAGTGGTACAACGAGAATTCTCAAAAAAGGACTTTAAACTTTTGGTAAAAAAAATTCAGGGATGGGTTTATTCGATGATAAACGTTGTTCGATGGTTTTATGTACATTATTTACAAGCCGAACGTAAGATACGTAGTGACTTCCTAGCAGGCACCCCGGAAGTAAAGGTGTTTAAACTGCTCACGATAACAGCAGCAACCCCTGGGATTCGAACGCTGGACCAGTTGGCTGCCACAGTTTCAGAAAAACCACTCGGCCATATGCGGGCAGCACTTTTGGTAAAAAAAATGAAGCAAATTGGTCCTTGGTCATTCTCTCAACGTTGCATCTCTCGGAGAAGAATGGGTTGGAGTCGTCCTCATCAGCAAACATTCTCTCGTTGGAATTCTTTCCATCCGTCGACCATTCTGATATTGGACCACCATCGCCTGAGGAACAACCATAGAGATGCACCATTGTTAAATAATGATAATCATTCATATAGAGCCTTTTCTTCATCATATATCATTCATTCCGATAATACTCATAATGTAATTTTAAATGCAAGTAGTAGTACTGATGGTACTAAAATTGATGGAACTGAAAATTTCTTGTTGTTGGGACAATTCTCAAACAGTACCCAAGAGGAAGTTTCATCGTTTTCATTGGACCTTTCTCATTTAATGAAAAAGAAAAAAGTGAAGAGAGTAAAATTGGACGACGATGATGATACGGAGATCATGGAATCTACAACAACATTTCATGATCAATGGTTTCAATTAAATTTTCCACAACAAACTCAACGACAGCTTCGACTTCTTCCTCGCTTGAAAAGCCTGGCAAATATTTTTTCTCCAATTTTTAAATACTTGGATAAGGGATTATTTCACAAAGCTCTTTTTAAACTCGAGCAACACAAGTCCATCATACAAGGAGCTGTCTTGGACACTCAACGTTTAACAGCTCAACAAGCACAAATACTAACCATGGAGCTGGAAAAATATAAATCCCTTGCTGTTGGTCAAGTTTGTGATACACTCTTGGACCGATTTGACCAAACACACGAATATCTAAAAATTCAAAAAGTTTTGAGCTTTCTACGAGATTTTACGAATCATGTAAATTGTACACATATCGGAAATTTTAGGTCTTTATGTGATCCCATTATTCAACGATCAATTTCAATCCTGATACGCTCATCTATCGATTCAATGAAGAGCCTATATTCAGATCATTTGTTCGAGGCTGTAAAAAAAGATGTCATGACAGATATTTCTCCCTCACTCATGATGCTGTTGGATATTTTTCAAAAAGACGAATTTTCTCAGAACTCGTACATTAAGCAATGCATTTCATTTATATTGGAACTAAACAATAATGCCTATTTTATTATGGATATCTATACTCTTGACATTATTCTAGAGTTGCTTATGGAAGGCAGGAAATTTGATGTTGCTTTCAAACTCGTCCAGAAAGAAAGCGATAGACTCATTTTACCATTTCTCAAGTTATTGTCAAACGATCATTCAGATCAACAATCCTCTGTGGAATTTACCTATCACAACGTTCCTCGTATTTATGGATTAGTTGAAAAAGTAATGACAATTTTTGGAGAATCCGGCAAATACGATCAGTTGTTGAATCTATATAAGATACTCAAACGCCCATCACAACATTGCTTCAACATTCTTGTTCAGTATCTTGCACAATCTCAAGTCGAACAACACTATGTTGCTCTGATGGAAATCATTCTTGACACTGTAAAAAACAGACACAAGTATGTGCATATTATTACTCCAATCAACATCAAGAACATGTTTAGATCCAACTCTATTATCACAAAACATTTCACTCCTGAAGACATTGAAACCTTAAGAACTCTAATTTTCGAAAATTTGAATATGAAACCTAGCCCTCGAATCCTTAATTTATTTCTGAATTTATATCTTAAACATGGGATGGAAAAGGAAGCTTTTGAAATTTTTGAACAGTTTTATACGAATGGAGTGGACACAAATGTGTCTACTTTGACCATAATATTAACTTATCTATGCGAGCAGAAACAATACATTGATGCAATCAAAATCAGTGACAAGTCCATTACAGAGCCTATCGTGTTTGACATTCCATTTTTAAACATGTTATGGAAAATTTATTATGAATACATTTGGAAACATTTACTTGTTATAAACAAAACTAGCAACAACGGATTTTCAAAGCAAGAAACAAATATTCAATTATTAGAGTATATCCGGGATTTTGAACAGCAGAATTTCTACACCATTCTAACTTGGAGAAAGCATAAAAAAGAAAACCCTCTGTATTGTGACGACATCATTGATGAAAGTGAGGAATCATCATTGGACAACCAACACGATGAGAGACTCCATCGACAATTATTAATTTTTGAATATTTGGTCATTCAAATGGAGAGAGCATTCGACAAGTACATTCTTACAAGCTACAATTATTTATACGATTCCAGTAATACAACTTCTGTGTATCCACCACCACCATCTGCTCCCTCCTCGACACCAAAAGACAAAATCTATTCGAGCAACAAGCATTTACACTTTCTAAGGGAAGGAAACAAAAATATGACTGAAAAAACATATTTGGAAGTGAATTCTTTATCTACAATTCCCAATTATCTACGTAACAAACAATCCAAAATGATTGCTTCAGATGCATGTACCGTAGATTTGAAATTACTTCTTCAATGCTATTGTGTGAGACCAAGATTGAGACAAATTGACGATTATTTGAAATTTGTTTGTGGAGCCTACAGTGCAAAAAGTCCAGTTCGAAAATTTCACTATTACACAGTCATTTGCTCGTTAGTAGAGGTTGGAAATATTGAATACGTGAAAAAGTATGTGCAAGCCCAATTCGATAATTGTGAAATGTCCAATGAAGGGAGAATCAACACCATGTATTCAATTTTAAAGATCATTCGATCCAAAATTTCTCCTTCTCTCAGACGCAAGTATTGCACCGATTGGAAAAAGAAAACTCTCGATGAAGTTCATCACATGAAAGATTTATTGACCATTGCTGAGTGGAATCAAGTGATTCAACGATTTCATTCAAAAATTGACACTACTCCTCCATCCGCGACAATAACCAACACGGAGCAATTGTTGGAATGGGTCTCAACAAACATTTTATTATATGTAAAATGATAAATGAGGAGAACCATTTATTAGAAGTTCTGTAACGGCACTCTCCAGAAACACATGAACGAATCGTTGATAGGGAACAACATATTTTGTCACTCTTTGTCACATACCCCTATTCCGCAACCTTAAATTGGAAACTATAATCAACGGGACTAAATTTGATGTGAATATTGGTGTAGGTCATGGCAATACTAATATCTTTTCTAATTTCTAAATCTTTGGGCAAGTGATTAATGATCCAATTAATAACAGTTTCTTTGTTGTCACCAAATAATGAAAGATGTTGACTTAAGGTGGATGGAAGGACCAACAGTTTTGTGTTAGAGAAGAATTTCACAGTCTGAGCAAGGAAGCAAGTTGCTTGTTGAATTAATTGAGCCTTCACTAATTCTGGACTTGCAGGATAATAAATTCTTAAATGTGGTGACGAGAAACAACAATTACTCAATGCCAAACAATTCAAAGGATCTCTCTGATAAACATCTTTCAACAATTCATGTTTTCTGCTATTCGAAACATTTTTTGCAGAAGTCAACAAACAAAAAATATCATCTAATGAGAGAGGAATACTTCCAATCACATACATGGGCTCTCGAAGGAATCGAGTCCTGGATTTCATAGACATGAGTGGATAAGTTCCATTCTTAATGAAACCATGCAGCAACATGACATGATAAATATTCAATAAAAATACAGTTAGGAGATGTTTCTTTGATTTCAACTCCATAACATCAACCAATTCCAATTTGTAAGTTAATTGTGTAAATGCATCCACCGTATCTTCATTTCCTGTCAAAACAATAAACTCATTTCCTAATCGTAACAATTTACCCCATCCCATTCGTTCTTTTTCATTGAATCGAGTTTGTGAAATCCATTCTGAAGCATTATAAATTTCAATAATACTTCTCAATAAAATAACACTCAATTCCACTGCTTCATTGGCAGACAGGTGAGTTGCCTTGAGGAATTTAGCAGCTTGTGACATGGTTGATTCACTAAAGGAGGTTCTTCCAGACGTTGAGGAGGTGGATTGATGACTCGATGATGAACCAGAGGCACTTGACACTGAAAAGACATCTTCTTCATAGAGCTTGTCTGGTGTTTGTGGAGGAAGAGTCAATGTGGATGACATGATGGAATTTCTTGGTGAAGAATTCGTACGAGCAGAACGAGGTGTCATTAAGGAAGAAGAAGAAGAAACGTCACTTTCTGATGGATGACTCATTGTACTCGACGAGGAGTATGGACTTGTATTGTTCATCCATTGAGTCAATCGTTGTTGTTCATTAGGAGAATTATTTTCAGAAATGGAAGATGTGTCATCATTTTCTTCTTCATCGTCGTCTCCTCCTTTTGTTGTCAATCCTCCTCGTCCTGATAGAAGCATGATACTCATGGATCGATTCACAGACATTAGACTTGTCTTTCTTGAAGACTCTTCCAATAATCGATTCACATTGTCATCCTCTTCATCGGTGCTGTCATGATGACTCTCTTCAGAAAATTTGTTAGCTGCTTGTTGTTGAGTAGGAGGTGCATTTAACATGACACTGAAACCTCGAGTTTTTCGAAGTTGAATTTCTGAATCACGTTGTCTCTGGAATTCTTCTTGTTGACGTTTGAGATCCATTTGAATTTGGAAGGTTTGATCGAGTTGTTCCCATTGAAGAGTTTGCATGTAATCAATGGCAATTTGAAGTGTCACAAGTGAATATCCCATGGGACCCATCATGATGGATTCATGAACAAAATCTTCTAGAATTTTGAATTGACAATACAAATCAGGAATTGCTGCCTTAATAAGAACAAAAATAAAAATGGGCATTAAGGCATCGGCAGAAACTTCCTTTTCTTTTCCGTGATACAATTTCACACATTCCACAATTGCTTTTGAAGTTTCCATTAAGAGTTTCATTTTACCTTCCACTAAACTATTGCATTGTGAAATTCTACGAAGTGATTCAATGGCAAGTGCATAATTTTCTTCTGCACTCTTTCCATTTTGGTCCAAACAATAGTCATCGGCAATTTCCAAATGTTTTGGAGTACATTTAGCAAGTTCCAAATATTTTTGATTCACCACTTCAGATTTCACACTATATTCTCTCTTATAGAGTTCCAATACGAGAGGGAAAACTTGATCGAAAAATACATAATCAATACATTGTGAAAAGAGAGGTTCCATTTGATTGGGATCTACTTTGATCGTCACTCCATAATTTGCTGCTTCTGGAATGATAATTTTCATGACTTGTCGTGCCAATACTCGATACATTTCATCAAAGAATGAAGCAATGAGAGACTTGGCTCTGGAAATGACAATTAATTTCTCTTCTGTTGTGAGTGAATGATAATAATCTTGTGAATAAGTGTTGAGAAATTGTCGAGATTTTTGTTGAACCACTCGATGGAATAAACTTGTTGAATTTTTGATTCGATTCATTAAATGTTTGAAAATCACATGTTCTTGTTCGTCAATACTGTTACAGGAAGACATTTCTTGGAAAAAATCAAATTCACATTGATGCAATTCAATAATATCTGCAAACATGATGAGAGATTCTTCTACAAATTCTTTAAATGTTTTCAATGGTTTTCCCATGACTGCTTCAAATTCTAAACAATCAGAAGAATAATTTTCAACAGAGGTAGAATCTTCTTTAACCATAGTTAAATAATAAACCATTTCTTTTTTCATAGAACGATGTTCAAAAAGATCCTTATTGTCAATGCTGTATATATATAGGTGTGTGTGAAATGTATTGGAAATGAATATCAGAATTTGTGAGAATTGTAAAAAAAAAGTGAAATGTATAAATTATAAATATATCAGAATTTGTGTGAAAGGTGGTTGGAGATGGAAAATCAAAAAAAAGTGAGTGGTGAAGCATCCATGATTGTGAGTTCATGACACAAACATGATCATTCTTTGCAAATTCTTCAATATATAAAAATAACTTACTAGAGGCATGGGAAGGATTTAGAAATGTCAATGGCCGAGCACGACACTGGTTTCTTTAAAACTTCATGCATGAGTCGTGCAATTTCACGGAAACTAGCTTTCGTTCCATGACACACAAAATTTTTCACCATTTGTTCCGAATCTAATTTGATATTCTGTAATAAATATAAAATAAATTCAATCACATCGTCGCCGTCACACCATTCCAATCGATCATTTAGAACGTCAATAGTTGATGAAACAGGAACAGAAAGTGAAGCATAGGTCTGTATCTCTGAACCAGATAAAATTGCAAATGTTTGATAGAGCCATCCAAATTCTACCATTGTGTAGGATGTTTTACATTTCATGGAAAGGTAAATAGAAATTTTGGTTAAAAAGTCTGGACAAATCTTTTTGGTGGCAGAATCATACAATAGAATAATGTGTTTCAATTTGGTAGATCTCTGACTGTTGTCAATCACCTTCTTAAATGATTCGACATCGAACCACTTGTTGAGAATGTACTTTGCCTTAATAAAGAAAATTAATTTTTCACATTGAATGACAGCATCAGACACAATGTCAATAAACTTTTCTTGTAAAATGGTTTTGATACGATTCTCTGTCGTGTCCTCTGATTCAATATCATGGAAAGAAGCAGATCTCGACGTTTTGAATGGAACTGTAATCATTCCAGTTTGAACTAGAATTTCTTCTGTTCGACGTTTTCGAGCTTCTTCCATCATTTCAATTTTCACTTTACTTTCCACATTCTTCTTTTCTTTCTCATACTCGAATACAATATATTGAGCTGTCTTGAATGGATAATCAGGAATTTCCTTTTTAGAAAAAATAATATTTTTAGAGAGATAATTCATTTCATGGAGTGAGTGCAATAACTTGGATTGAATAAAGTGAATGGATCCAATCATACACACACATGGATTGTGGTCTTGGAATGTCTCTAATTCTCTCTCAATGAAGCTATCGAAAGGTGTTGGGTCTGACTTTTTAATGTCCTGTACATCTGGATAAATAGCCATTGCTAAACCCTCATCGTAGATACGTGTGTAAACGTCATGATAGGCGTCACACTCCCATTTTCTCAATCCTTTGGATAGCATCAATCGATGAATGGATTGCTCTCTGTCAATAATTTTATATTCGACAGGAACATTGGTCTTTTTAGAGAATTTTGTAATCACATCCTTAATGGTTAAACTTTCTGGACCTGATAAGGTGAAAGTTGTGCGATGTTTCTTTTCATTATATTGTTCAGAGGATGAATGTGATTGGCTAATAAAAAAAAAACCTGAGTTGAGAGGTTTTGGTGGTTGTGAAGACATGGTCGAGCTCACTTGAAACATGATATTCATAATCATGGTACAAACACATAGACCTACGTCACGAGCGTCAACCCATGAAACCCTCTTCTTTGATTTATCGTCCACATCTTTCAAGTCTCCAAATGGAAAATAGAAATTTCTAGTTTTTTCGTCATAAAACAGTAGAAAATCTTGCATGGTTCCATTACAACGAAGAATTCTACATGAATGTCCAAAATAAGTCTTGACCATCTGTTCACACTGTAAATGACAATTAAATAGTTCTGGTAATTCTGCTTTTTCTTCACTGCCATTTTGATTCGTGTTTTCTGAAATTGGATTTTTTTTAGAATCTTTTTCATAAACAGAAGGAAGAGGTTGTGGAAAATATCTCGAGCAAAGGAAAAACGAATCCACTGACAATTGCAATGCAAAATTAATGACGTGATTCATGTCTTCGACAATATATTCATGATCGAGTGGAATGTGAACCACGCATGAAATGTGATATTGTTTTTCTTTGATTTGTTCAACGAGAGAGGCCTCCTCAAATCTTCGAAATCCATTCTCCAATCGAATAACGATGGCTCCATAATTTTTCAATAATTCTTCTTTCGAAACTGTGTTAAAACTTCCTTTTCTTTCATTTTCATTGTTATTGGAAGAAGGCGGAATGAAATTTGAGGGGTGACACACTGCAATGACACGAATTTTTCGGAGCAGTAAAGATTTCACAACCTCCATGCCAATATTGGAAGTGGCATGTGTCACCACTTTTGAAAGCAACCATATGAAATAATACATTAAAATTATCGATCATAATAGGTTGTCAAACATTCATATGGATTTCAACATTTTTCATCACACACAACCGTATATAAGTATATCAAATTTCACAATCATGATGTCAAACTCCACACCTACCAATTGCGACGATTTTTCTCGATTCGACTCCCTTCGTACCACCTCCATTCTGCGAAGAATCATTCGAAGAGGCATTTCTTCGCGAAGATCGATCACCCACCATTAAAGAATTATTCGATCCTGCTGCTCCTCCATTGGCTCTCGTTCTTGTTCTCATTCGTGATCGAACATGTTGTGTGGCAGCTCGTTTCACTTTTTGAACCCAATCTTCACGTTCCTCTTCATGGTCTTCGGAACAAATTTGAAAGGTGTAAGAACGTTCATTGTAAATTTTATCCTTGCTGAAGGACTGTGTGAAAAGAGGATTCCCAGCAATGGATTCGTGTGTGTGTGTGTGTGTGTGGTTGAACATGGCCATAGGTTATGAGAGTGATGATAGTAATGATGATAGTAATGATGATGATATATGTGTGCGTGTGTGTGTTCGGAACAAGAGAAGTGTGCACGTAAGTGATGCGTGTTCACATTGATCATGCATGGTAGGAGTCGTAGAGGTAGTAGGTGAATGCGCCATGATGATGATGCATTCAAGGATTCCATGAGAATGTTCGAGTCGTCGTCGTCGGTTGTGTGAGGAAGAAATGTGAGGAATGTGAGATGATCCGTTCCAATTGTCAGTTGTTATGTATGGATCAATCACGATCGTTTCAACATGACCATCATTATTGAACAACAACATGTTCATCCAATATGTGTGTGTGTGTATATAATGTATGTTGGATCCAATAATATATAGCTCTGAGCTTCAGAACCATCTTTAAACTTACCTTTTCACACTTGACATGAAACATTCTCTTATTCTTCTCATCCACATTCACACTTCCGTTCTGTAATTGTAACAATCCAATCACTGGTGAATCCACTTCACATTTATAAATCAAAATATCATCGACCAAGATGAAATATCGTTTTTTCCATGATCGCCATTTAATTCCTTGTTTCATGAGATAACCACTTTTCACAATTTGTGGAATGGATGACATTCCATGATGATGATGATTGGATTGATGATTCAATGAAGAAGGCAAGGAATTATGTGTATTAAAAGAAGACATATTTGACAATGGTTGTTGTTGGTGTAAATACGAAGCTTGAAGCTCACCATTGGTACTTAATCCATATTTGGCGAGAACGAATTGAAATTCAGCAGAAGATTTGGTGGTTTTTCTTCGACGAGAAGATGATGGAGGAGTAACAGGAGAATTAGTACCACTCGTGTTTGTTGTTGTGGTGGTGGTGCTAATGATCGGAGAGTGTGGTAATGGCAAAGAAGAAGAATAGTGATGAGGTTGGTGATAGTCTTGCATTTTTTTTGAGTCTCATTTTTCAAAATGAGAACTTGACATCTGAAAGCTGAGCTGGTGGTGTTTGATTTTTTGAGTAATGGATCAGAATTATTGGCGTGTATGTATCGATACCTGGTTGGCTTGGTCTGTGTTAGATGTTACTCAAATATTTGTTGACAGTACTGGTCACAATATATATATATATATATTCAATAGCCAACCAATAACAATGCAACATCAACGCACTGACAAGGGTTTGACAACATCGTACACGTTATGAATGCGTTAGTAAGGTTCATTGTGTCTTGATCCTCATCTCTCTCATACCATTCAATACTGAACGTGCTACTTGTTATAATTCTCACCCAGGACCATTCGTTTGAATCGTTCCAGACATGACAACAAGTCCTTTGTCAAGACAAACATTTTCACAGTATCCAAACTTCCAAATTCATCATTAAACTCAAAATCGTCAAAAAAGCACAAACCAAATCCAAAGATTAATCTTCTCTTATCCATTCCACTTCTAGAAATGAAACCATTCAAGAACGAAAGGATTTTTCGATCCAATTTTTTCCTCAGTGCCAACAAAATAGAAAATGACATCAAAATGTTGAATGATTCGATTTCTCAATTTCATCTTGTCTTTCTTGCCTTTAAAGAAACGTTTGGTTAGAATTTGTTCTTCAATCGTATAGATACGTTGCTCAGTAGTAGAGTAAGTGTTCAGGTGCTGACAGCAACTCATATCTTGTTCCATCAAATGCAAGAAATGTTCCAAATGTTGTTTGCTATGCTTTTCTGGATATAGAATCAACAGTCGTTGTGGTGTCCTTTCACACTTGATCAAGTCATTCGTGAGGGTGGTGGCAGTGGAATTCGTACTACCGAGAGTGGCATGAGGATTCCCAATCACCACTCGATCATCAAAAGGACAATTCATATCCTGTCGAATTTCTTTCACATAATAATCCAATAATTCATAATCGGGAATATACAATGTTCTTTCACTACACACACATGGAGTACAAATTTCTTGTGGATATTGATCAAGTCCTCCATTTCGATGAACCACTTGAAGCATTTCTTTTCCCTTACTTAAGATGGAGTAGAAATATTTCTGAGTGAGAGGAATGGCCAAACATTCTTTCCATTCATGCATTTCGCAATAGTCATAGAAAAATTGTAAGTGAGCAACATCCATCGTACTGTTTTGAAAGGTGACCGATCCCAATGCTTCAGCATTCATTTGGTATCCAGAATACAACAATCGATACCACAAATGAGGATTCGAACGACGTCGATGCATCACCATGGTAAAAAAGTGTGATTCGTTTTGAAGAAAGTAGTGAATTTTACGTGCCTTCTCAAGCATGGGATGATCCTTATATCCAATTGCATATTTCGATATTTCATATTGTCTTTCACAAACATAATTCAGATTTCTCTTCACATCATAATTATGACATAAAAATTCCATCAAGGTCAAGAAGAGAGAATTTCCCAATTCTTCAATATAGAATGGAAATTGTTCACAAAACCATTCATGACCTTCAGCTGTTCGAAATTCTTCGGAATCTCCCCAACCATAATCGTAGAAAGTATAACTCAAAAGACAAGTTTTGAAATGTGTGGCTTCTTCTGAGTCCTGATCAAGCATTTCATACTTGTCATTCACGAATGCATAATAATTCACCTCATGAGAGCTCTTAGAGTCAGCAAAAAACGAAACTCTTTTTCCAGAACCATTGTCCATGGTGATGAGTGTTGCACCTCTCAGAGTGGCCACAAAATCCTTCAAACGATTACCTTTTCTGGAAGGTAGTTGAGAAAATAAATGTTGAAATTCATCATCACTGCATTCCTTCAAAGGTTGAATGGTGTAAATAGAATGACGCATCTTTCGAAGTATCTCATATTCTCGAGGATACAAATGACTCACAAATTCAGTCCAATCAAATAAATACTTTTTTACCATCATGATGACTGAATCCACAAGACTATGATCACCATTGCCTTGAACGGTAGGATGTTGTTTCGGATGAATCAATTCATGTAAACCCTTATCCACCACATAGGTGTGATAATTTTTGTAAAACTTTTCACAATTGGTCAATTCATACCAATGTTTGCACACAAGAGAATATCGGAATTGAATGACAGGGAGTAGGAAATAGGAAAAGATGTGATATATGAGGTCATCCATGAGATAAAACGGTGTCTGTGAGCACACTGTTGTGGTGGTGATGATTTTACAATCATTCTTCTTGTCGTCGTCATTATATTGAAAGTGTGATGGTTCAACAGTGTTGATCTTCTCTGAAAAGACATTTTTAACAAACTTAAGTTGAAAAGTTCATCAAGGTAAGGAGTTGAAAAGGACTCTGAACATTATATATTCTTCTGGAATTGAATCAAACCGACTTGTGATTGACCAATGGGTGGACAACACTGTTTTATTCATTCAAAAATTGCAGCATTGGTTCTTGGTGATGAACTTGGATCTGGCAACCATAACATTTTGACATGATCCAAACCTCCAAAGAGAGAATGAAATTTTGAAGGAGACAATTCACAATGATTGAATACAAACACGACTCGACCCTTCTCCTTCTTCATGATTTCTGACCTTAATAATTGGAGAGTCTTTACATGAATTGCCATCTTTCGAGAGTCTTTGAAAATAGTATCCACGAAATAAAAAACAATGTCAAAGTGGTTCAATGCTTCCAACACGTCTTTGCTTGTTGTTTGAGGAGATAGACATTTGTATTCCATGTGAACCTTAGAAAGGGATGGATTTTTCTCTTTAAGGACATGTGGAAATTGATCTTTTCTTGTCTCTTTTGAGTATACACACAACACGTGACGAGGAGTTAAGGAATCACCACTCGTTACGATTTGAGAATTGTTATTCTCCAAATTCACATCATCTCTCAAATCAAAAGGACAATAATAATCTATTCGAATTTCCTTTTTTAAGTAATCCAACAGTTCAGATAGCACTTGATTCTTGTGTAATAATTCAATAAAAGTTTTTCCTTCCGTGAGAAGTGAAAACACACGAGAACGAGTTGCCGTCACTGCAACAGACTCGTCAATAAATAACTTATTGAACGCTATTTAAATCATAAATTGTCTCCTTCGATGATGGTTTTGACTGAAAAGAGCATGGATTTCCTCACTAAACGCTCTAATTTCTCCACACAAAAAAATGTCACTGAATCAACCACAAACAGAAATTGATTCAACAACGTTGCAGCTCGTCCATGATGAACTCCGACAACAAAAGGCAAAGCTCGAACGGAATATTCAACAACTCGGAAATGAAAAATCAGAATTAGTGGAAACACTACAATCTCATACAGATACCATACAAATGTTGCAAGAAAGAATCATGAGTGCTCAGACCGATCTTGTAGATTTAGAAGAGAGTCTTTATCAACAAATTAAGAAGGAACAGCAGCGTTTGTTGGAAGAGGAGGAACAAGAACGTCGGAAAAGGGAAGAAGAAAATTATCAAAGGAAGAAACAGGAAGAAGAGAAAAAGACTCAATTACAGTCGAGTAGTGGTCATAGTGGCGTTGTTTCCTCTCAAACACCTTCCAAGAATAGCAAGAATAACAAATCGATAGATCCATTGTGGGCAGATCGTTTCTCATCTGAGAATTCCCTCCAGAGAGAATATGAATCTCTCTTGATTCAAAAAGATTCTATTCAAAAAGAACTAGACAAGTTAATGGAAGAAAACGATGGATTGAAGCAAAAATTAATTTCACAGCATGAAGTGTTGAAAATGCTTCGAACGCGCGTATTAACAGCAACTCAAGATTTGAAAGAATTACAAAACGAAATGGAAAATGTCCAGGTACAACAGCACTCTGCACGACATAATGAAATTTGTCACGACAACAATAGCTTGCTCAGTATTGAATATATAATGAATCATGAAGGCGATTTTACAAATCCTCAACAAGTGATTAAGATTTTGAAAGATCATATCCGAAAATTGACAAGTCACAAATAGTTGTTCTGTACATTTCGTTTTAATCAATTATTTTAAGGAACAACAAAATTTATTTAAAATTCTCTTCAACAATAATTCATGAATGATGGCCATATTGAATGCCACTGATTCAAACCTGTAACAACCAAAACAAATTATCTCACATCGTAAATGAAACGAACTGCCAAAAGTGTTCGGCCCATTGGATCCACTAATTTACACTTCACTCGAGTCTTTGAAAGCAAAGAATACACAACATCACGTTCAGGCAATGTAATAACATAACGTTCCTCACGAGGTTCCAAATCAGAGACTTGAGACACAAATTCTAATCTCGAACCGACGGTATCAATCTTTTCATGGAATGAACATTGTGAAAGGTATTCATTCACATAGAAACGAATTTCCAATTTGTACTTCCATCTCTTTCTGAGTTTGATCAAGATTGGATTCGACTTGACTTCAACGGGTTTAACATTTTCCTTGTCCTTTTCTGAGGCATGTCTTGTCACATAGACATAGGCAGCTTCCAGCACAACTCCAGGTTCTTTGTGATTCACACGAACAACCAAATTGTTGTTGTGAGGTTCAATGAAGGTCTCATTCGCATTTGCATCTTCAACAAAGTTAATATTCACAACGTCATTACCACTTGGAGAGAATGAGAAAGTATCTGCAATGTTAATTGGAAGTTTCTTTTGGGACTTCTTCATGATGGCATTCGACAAGACATCCAAAATTTCAGTCTTCTTGTCTGAATCGTACAAATAATCGTATGAACTTGGAACATGCAAACAAAAGTTATCATCAGCGAAAGGACTCATTGAAGCACCCTCAATTTCATCCAAATCAATAATACGTTTCACCTTAAATTCTTGTGGATCAATATTATAAATATGCTTATCTGTAATAATCATGATACGTTTCTGAGTTTTGAGTGATTTGTTAATTTTCAACACTTCTGAAGCGAACAATAATTGAGTGTCACCATTCTTTTGTAATAATTGTTGAACAAGCTTGTTATAATAATTTGGCAAATAATCTCCCATGTGTTCTCTCATCATGGATGCCTTCTTTCTTGTCTTTCTTCCCTTATAAATATCTGTTCCAATCGATTGTTTCACTTCAGAAACGAGTTGATTCTTTTCAGCTTCTTGTGGAACGTTTTGTTGTTGTTCGTCGACTTCAACATTGTTGACCTTAATGATAGCTCCAGTACTCGTTGGAATAATAAGAGTCGATTTCACTGTGAAATCATCTTGGAAGTCAAGAGTTTTCACACCCTTTCCTTTGTGAACCGTATACACAAGTTTGTCATCGACTTGTAATTCTAGTGATCGATTTTCAACCTTCTTCTTTTGATCCATAATTGCTTTGATGATTTCTGTTTTGGATGGACTTGAAAAGAGATAATCGTATTCGTCTGGAACTTTCAAAATGAAGAAACCATCTCTCATGGTACTCACACTAATTCCAGAAATATCTTTAAATGGAATTCTTCTTAGAACCTTCAAGTCATTATCCAAATTGTACACAGCTTGATCGGTGACAAGTAATTTACGATCCTGAACGAGATATCGTTTGTTAATTTTCTGAACCAAACCACTGTACAAGAGTTGACAATCTCCAAACTCCTTCTTGATTTTCTCAAATGCTTTGGTGTTGGCAATGTGTAAATAATCACCGAGATACCATTTCAAGAGAGAATCTTTTCTTCTCAACTTTTGTCCTTGATAAATATCTTGAACAACATTTGTGTCCAATTCATTGCTCATCACTTCTTCAACTTTGACTTGAATTTCAGCTCCATAATCGGTTGGTGTGACATGATTACCACGAATGGTAGTCACTTCCTTAAATTCCAATCGATTTTCGTTACCCTTCTTCATTCTGTGTTTGATTGAATTCTTGACAAAGAATTTCATCTTGGCACGAGTGGCATTAGTGTAATTTTCTGAGAGAACTTTCAAAATTTCAGTCTTCTTGTTACTTTCAAACACATAGTCATATTCATCAGGTGTGTGAATCACAAAGAAGCCATCGGTATAAGGTGACACAGTCACTGCTTTCAATCTTCTCATTGGAATGTGTCTGTGAATAATGTAACCATTTGGATCAATATTGTAAATGGCTCTTTCAGTAATCAACAAGATTCTTTCTTGTTTCTTGTACTTTTTGTTATATTTCGTCACAACACCACTGAATGAAACTTCTTGATCTCCAAAATCTTCAGAAATCTTTTTCATGAGTTCTGATTTAGCCAAGTGAATATAATCTCCGTAGAATTTTTTATGGAAGGAAGTCTTTCTTCTCAATTTCATACCATCGAACACGTCATCACTTGGTTTTGAACTGACCAATAAACCTTCTGTGGTCACTTCGATAATGGTTCCAGATTTGGCATTGAAATTTTTCACAAATTTGACTCTCTTATTAAGTACCTTCAATGGATGGAAAACAAATTCCTCACCAATGTCCACACGTAATGTTTTGATACTGTGATCATCGGTTGCAGCCAGAGCAGTATTCTTGTTTGAGAGATCTTCATTCGTTGAAGCAGGATCTGTTCCTGAATTTGCTGCTGTTGAAGAAGGAGGAGCATTGGGATCATTGTCTTTTTGTGTAGTTGAATTTGATGATGCATCTTGTGTTGAGGTGTTGGAAGGAGCTGATTTGTCACGATTAATATGTGAAAAGAACAAATCATACGAGTCACGAATGGCCTTCATGACTTCATTCTTACTGTCTGCTTCAATCATTAGATCGTGAACTTGTGGAGCAGAAATGATAATAACCTCATCATTGAGTGCAGAACATTTCAAACTATCAATCGTCTTGTACTGCACACGTTTGAGAACAGTATAAGTCTTTGGGTCCACTAAATAAATGGCACTTGGAGCAACGACAAGGAGTTTTCTTTGTCTTTCTCCAGTCTTCCAATTAATTTGATTCACCAAACGTTGGAATAAATTGTCACACTTTTCACCAAAGGTCTTTTCTAAGGCCTTTTGTAAATGTTGTTCAGCAAGAACTTTTTGTCTTGCTTTGAACTTTCTGAAATTTCTTTGAATGATAGAAGCCATTTCAACTCTACGAGAAGCAATCTTTTCATCCAATGCAAACAATTGAACTGGAGTTTGCAAAAAGACCTTACTCTTACCAAGAGCATATTTGGATTTTGGAATTTTCATTTCTTGTAAAATTTTCTTAACTCCAGCTTTTGGAGAACCATTCCAACGTGGCCATGTGGCATCTGAACACATCTTGTATCGATCTAAAAACTTATCAAAGTCCATCTTGAAATAATAACCACTGTTTCGAATGTGGACATTTTCTGTAACTCCCAAATATTTCACTTGTTCCATAACGACTTCATCTAAGAATTCATTAGGTTTCTTTTCATGATTAGGTTTGATGCATTTCACAAAGTGATGATGCTTTCCTTTCATTTTACCCACAAATTTGAGAACATCTTCTGCAAATTGCATGGTCGTTGTTTTTTGCAATTTACCAAAAGAATCGACCTTTTCATCTCTAGGAAAGAGTTGTTGCATTAGATTGGATTGAGATCTTCTCATGGCTAAAACAAGATCTTCAAAAAGTGTGTCCTTATTCATTGTGACCCATCCTTCCACATCATAGGTCACTTTACCAGCAAAGTGTTTCAAATCAAAAACGAGACCAGCAAATTTAGATTTTTCATAACATGCATAACCTGTTCCAAATGCAGTATTCAATTTTTGCATGTACCTTTCATCAGTACCATTCGGAAAGAGTGATTCTTCATCCAATAGCTTGTATATACCTAGTGGCTTTCCTTCAATCACTTCCACAGTTTGATCGACATTTTTGAGAGGAATTGGAGTATAAGGAACTCCCTCTTTTACATATTCATCTTGTTCTGCTTGAAGCCATTTCTGAACTTGTTGTTGAATCTTTTCATTCACAAAATTGATATTGAGCTGTTCGAGAGAGTTCTTTTCTTTGGTATGTTTTTCATAAATTTCAAATCCATAAATGTCTAAAATACCAATCGAATATTTGGCGTCGTCAGGTCTCTTGACAGCACTGTTGATACGACGAATGAGCCATGCGAAAAGTCTTTCATAAATACCTTTGGCAAGAGCATCTCTGTTGTAGGCTGACTTCTCAGCATTTTGTAACGTTTTGGTGGCTTCTCGTCCGACGTGAATGGTTCTGTAGAGAATGGCATCTCTCAACACGTCGTAATCAATTTGAAACAAATAGGCAGCAGTTCGTAGAGTGTCTCTGTTTTCAATTTCAGCAGTTTCTTTGCCATTGTTATTCACTTCTTTGAATTTCACATTACCCAAATGTAAAATACCTGCACACAATCGAAAGATTTCCATTTGTTCCAAAACACTAATACCTGCTTCTGTCATGCTCTGTCTCGTATTTTTAAATTCCAATTTATCATTGACTCCAGAAATGGTAAGTGCTTGACTCGATGTGTTGACACCATTGGCAGTCAAATAGTTAAATTTCTTGGCATCTTCTAACTTTAAATCTTTTTTCATGGATTCGTCGGCACCTGCACACATTTGATAAAAGATGTGAAAGTTTCGTTCTCCTTTTCGTTGAGTCACCACTCGAGACTTTTCCAAGAGTGATGTAGTGATGTGTGCTCCTTCGAGTTGTCCTTTAAAATTGAAGAAAATTTCCATATATTTACCAAATCGAGAGGAATTATCATTACGAAGAGTTTTGGCATTACCAAATGCTTCTAACACTGGATTGGCTTCAATGAGAATACGTTTGATGTTTTCAGTGATGAGACCACTGATCGAGATGGCACTAATATATTCTAAAAGAATTTTACAACTTTCCGTTTTACCTGCACCACTGTGTGTGTGACATGTGACAATAATGATGATTCATAGAATGGTGAGATGTGTGTGAAATGTGAGAATAATGATTATCATTTACCACATCATGATGTGAGTAGTCATCATGAATTTAGGATGAGTCAATAGTGACATCAATGATGAATCAGAAAAAATTGATGATTCGCAAAGGGTGACCAATTACCATAGGATGATGATCATTTACCAAATGATGATTCGCAAAGGGTGATCATTTACCATGAGACCACATCAAGTCATTCATTATGAGGTTAAAGATTGACTATTACGACCACTCCAAATACTATCATGACTTACCTTTCACCAGAAACAATCACTGTTTGTCCTTGTCCAGTCTCTTTCATTTGACGATAAGCATCTTCGGCCAATGAATACAAGTGAGGACCAATCTCATAGGGTTGCTTTGCGTGATAGAATCTAATCAATGAGAGCAGTGATGATGATGATGAACAAGTTGAGAGGTTTGATGTGCACAACAACAGATTTGATGAAATGACAAGAGAGGTGTTTGACAGCATCCGTTATTACAAAAAATTCGATAGTCATGGAGATTGATACATGAATATATGAACACATCACTAAATAAACATTAAAACTCAACAAAATATACTCACGTTTTCACATGATTCTTGTAATGTTTTGTCTTTTGATAAGGATTCACAGCAACAATGGTTGGTCCCAAATAAGTATAAAATTGTGAAACTCCTCCATTGATATCTGGTTGTTGATTATAATATCGATTTCTCAAAATTCGAGCCACTGTTTGGTCGGTTGGTTCTTTGAGAAGTGATAAATCATCAATTGTATCCGATTCAAAGTTTCTTTTATATAATTGGTAGAGAGCAAATTCTGAAGTTTCACTGGAGCTATCCAATTCATTGGGATTCACTGATTGAACTACCACCACTTCAGAATCTTCTTGTTGTTGTGTCGAGGAGGAGGAGGAGGAGGATGATGGTTGTTGTGAAGAAGGTGGAGCATTGTTGGAGAGATTGGGAGAGCCACCATTCTGACCACCACCATTCTGACCACCACGAGGAGTTGAAGGCAACATCACTATTATTAGGTGGGACGACGATGATTTAGTTTTTTGGTTGTTGTTGTTGTTGTTGTTGGGTTATGTTGGATTTGGAGTGTTCTTTGATTTTTTTTGAATACTGACGGATGACTGAAGTGATGGTGGATGACACTTTTTTAGAATTTAATTCAGATGACATGAACAAGAATTGGTAATGCGAGAGCGCACTTTAAAACCTTCTTAACATCCTGACAACACTTTTACATCTGTACAGAACGAAGAAATTCTATCCTTTTCCCTTCTCATGATGATCCTTCACTTGCATGTTTTTTTTGAGAGAGAAAAAATTGCAATTCCCATCCTTCAGAAAGAACGAGTGGTTCGAGTGGTCGTGTTGTAATTTCATCGGTCGGAACAACAAAAGTAGTGGTCGTGTTGTTGCTAAAGGATTAATCTTTTTATTCTACTCTCAATAACATTGGTTCTTGTTGAACTCCGGAGTCGTAGACGACTAGTCTCTCTCGAAGAACATAACTTGTCCATAATTTATCTTCTCAAATCAAAACAAACTGAGAAGAAGAAGAAGAAGAACATAAAGGAATGGCTCGGAAAAAGTTTTTGAATTTGCATGATGAGGATGAGAATGATGAACATCATGATGATTCATTGAATGGAATAGATCAGCAACAACAACAAAATGATGAACAAGCCTCTGACATTCATGAAAATTCTTCCTCTTCTCAACAGAAACGTCGTTTAACGAACAACTCAACAACAACAAACCGAATGCGAGAACAACCTCCTAATAAGAAGAATAATCACCAACAACAATATGAATTAGAGGAATTAGGGAATAATGAGGAAGAGTCTACTCGCAATGGAAATTTAGTCATGGAGGATGATGATGCAGCAATAGCACATATGAATCATCATCGCCATATTCCTCCTTATTATACCTCCAATACGTTAAATACACCCTCCGAAGAGGATCGAGGACTTGTGCCCAATGACCATGCACCTCCAGCAACATCACCAGAGGAAGAAACAAACAATGCTACTGCTCATGAAGCAACACCTCTTCCCATGAAACAATTATCCATTGTGTTTTTCATCTATTTGGTGGATAGTTTAAGTTTGACTGCAATTTTTGCGTATATTGGATTCATGGTCGAAGATTTCCATATCGTCGGTAGGTTGAACGGCATATCATGGACAAATAATTTCAAATTCAATGATTTTATACATGTCAACAACACTTCTTCAATAATTTTCCAACACAATGTACACATGAATAATTTACAAAACATGAACATCCTTCACACGAATGCAAAATGTTGAACATTATTCAAATGTAAATTCGAAATTCATAGATGATCCTCAAAAATTGGGTTATTTTGCTGGCCTCATTGCCTCCTCTTATTATCTCTCTCAATTGTTTTCTAGTTTCTTTTGGGGTTATTTGAGTGATATTGTTGGAAGAAGACCTATTTTATTAATTGGTGTGACGCTTGGCTCGCTGTCATGCTGTCTTTTTGGTTTCAGCAAATGGCTATGGTGGGCTATTCTTTCTCGTTTCTTGTTTGGTTTGTTGAATGGTAATTTGGGAGTGACAAAGAGTTATTTAACAGAAATTACAGGTAAGTATTCATTTCAAGCGAAGAAAGTTGTTGCTCGAAAGTTATTATTTGGCTCGTCAAATTACGTTGTTGCCTATTCTGCTTTTTTTGATGAAAATAATGTGTAAAAGATGGTACCAATCGAGGTAAAGCATTTAGTATTGTTGGTGTCACATTTGGTTTGGCAGCTGTTTTGGGTCCGCTCAGTAAGTATTCTATTTCAAACGAAAATGAAATTGATTCAAAATATTATTGAAACATGAACGACGTTTATCATAATTATTCACATACTAGTTGGTGGCGTATTTTCTAGACCAAACATCCAATATCCAGAATTTATGAAATTATTTCCAGAATGGGTTCAATATTGGTGTGATGTATTTCCTTACATCATTCCCAACGTTATGGTGACAATTTTGGGCTTAATTTCTGTAGTGCTAGGTTATTTCTTTTTAGAAGAAACTAACAAGGAGAGTAAATACTACAAGAAATACGTTCTGAAACAAACAGGAAACACTGCCTCAAAGGATTTAGAGGCTTCCTCATCACAAAAATCAAAATCCTTAGCTGCTGCTGTTGATACTGATGACGAAGCAGCCATTCGACCAAAAAGAAAAATTAATTGGCGAGAAATATTCAAGCATGAAATATTTGAGGGAATTTCACCCCTTGTGAGTTGTTTCTTGTACATGTTGGTCGGTTTTGCTCAAGTCATGTTTGATGAAGTTTTCCCTTTGTATGCCATGTTACCCGTGAAAGATAATGGTTTGAATTTCACACCCTATGAAAGTAAGTAAGAATGTAATATATTTTGTTTGAGAATACGATGATTGACATGTTGGAATGCATTATTCATCATTTGAATATGTAAACAGTTGGTAGTAAGTATTATTTTGAAATTTTGAAGGATTTATTAAATGGAATGAATATCTGTCCATGTGTTTATATGCCAATTCGATTTTTCGTTTATTGAATTTTTCAATGTGAAATGAATGGACGTTAATCATAGTCGTTGGAGCAATCACTGGAGGTTTCATTTTCCTTAATCAATTAATATTTGTGCCGCTCCTAATGTCACGGCTTGGAGCTATTAACGCATTCCGTGTTGGTCTACTCATTCACACATTTTCTCTCGTTGTTTTCCCAGAAGTTTGTTGGTTTGGAAATGACCCTGAAAATCCACAAGTTTGGAAGAGTGTGATTTTGTGGACATCTTTGAGTATTATTTTGTTGGTAAGACAAATTGGAGTTGGTCTCATGTTCTCGTGCTCTTTTGTTTTCACATCCAATTCAGTGACAAACAAGAGCCAAGGTGTGTTGAATGGTGTTGCTCAATCCTTGATTTCAATTGCGAGAATGGTTGGTCCGCTATTAATTGGAGTGAGTTTTGCAGCAATTGTTTCGAGTGGTATTGGATTTCCAATCGATCATCGTTTGGTATTTTACTTTATTGGAGGAACGAGTGTATTTTCATTTGCAATGACATTTGCCATGAAGAAGAAACTGAACGTTCCAAAAGATGAATTATTGAGGTTAATGAATGAAAAGGGTCTACCACTCGAGGAAGCCTATCACATGCTATTCAAGAGAAAGGCTGCAGTTCAACACGCTGCAATGGAATAGTTGGTTAACAGAGACAGTTTTGATGTGAAAGGATTGTTCCCACTTTTTCTTACACATAATGAAACATAAACCTAAGAATCATTTGTCTACTGTTCTTGTTCTTGTCTTTGAAGCTTGATGGCTGATATTATTGCCTCATTTAAGTCATCTTTTGAAATTGGCTTGTTCAAACACGAATCAATGCTATCCATGTTGTTAAATTTATCCATTAAGGCGTCAGCAGTGAGGAGAATGATTTTCGTCTTGTCACCGTTTGGTAGCGATCGTATTTCATTCGCGGCCTCAATACCATTCTGAAAATTGCCAATAACCAATACAAAGAATATACCAGTAAATACTCAACATTAAACTTACCATGCAAGGCATGTGCAAATCCGTGACAATGATATTATGATATTCGTTTTTAAAGGCTTCCACAAGCTCGAATCCATTGGAACTTGTGGTAATGCGTTTAAATCCTCCTTTTTCTAGCAGTTTTCTCAGAACTGATAAATTAATTGGGTTATCTTCAGCAAGAAGAATTTTGGTTTCGTAAATATTATCTGGGAAAACAGTAATGCCATTTGGTATGGTTGATGATGAAGCATGTGCTTGTTCTATTGTGGTTGTATTAAAAGCACTGTGGTGCTGTCCATTCATAATGATTCCTTTTCCAACACTTGGTTTTGATTGCCGCTTCTTCATTATATAAAGCTCTTTGTGAAGCAAATGAGTCTTTTGTAACTCTGTGTCAATATTATTTCCATTTTCCATCTCGTCATCTTTGGAAAGATTTGAAACGGGTGCAATGACTCCTCCTGAGGAGGATAAGGTGTTACCTTCCCCTTCCCCAGCAGATAAGCCGTTTGAAACAACAGGGTGAGTTCTCAGAATTTCCTCAATTTGTTTCAGAGAATTTTTCTTCTTTCCATCCGGAAGTTTGAATGGTATTGAAATTGAAAAGGTCGTTCCTTGATTTGGTGCTGGAGCACATTCTGTTTTGTAAGAGATGCCTCCTTTCATATTAATGATAATTTTTCGAAGAATAGTGAGACCCAAACCTGTTCCAATAACGCTTCCATCTCCTGTTCTGTTGTGACTCGAAAAGGGCTTGAACAATAGTTTTTGAACATCCTTTGGAATGCCAATGCCATGATCGATCACATGAAATACTACGGTTTTTGTGATGACAACTTCAGAATTAGGATCAGTATTGAGAGTTGTTTCAGGAGAGGTTATTCTTGGTTTCACAACCACAATCTCGGGTGTGTTGGCTCTTCCATCGTCAACTAAATCTTCGGGATTGTCATCTTCCGGCACTTCTACGGCAAGTGTCACCACTTGATTTTTTTGAGATGCCTTAATAGAGTTCGTGAGAAGATTAATAAGGACTTGTTGCAAACGCACGCTTTCACCCAACACATAGGCTGGCAGGAATTTGCTGCTCACAAAGTCAATGGTGACATCAAAGCTGGAGGCATATGAGCTTGCAATACTTTTAACATGCGAGAGACAATCAGAAAGAGAAAACACTGTTTTTGGATCAGTTTTTTCCTCTTCATCCTCATGGCTATTTTTTCCAAGCATTGAATTTGTCGCAATTTCCATGTTTGTTTTCTCAAGTTTCGAATACTGAAGAATGTCTTCGATGAGTGTCAGCAAGATACTGCTGCAGCTGCCGATTGTCTTGATGTAGTTTACTTGCTCTGACGTTAGAGGCGTGTCCAGAAGTAGCTCAATACTTCCTGAAATGCTCATCTTTTTTTTTTTGGTATGATCAATGATTAATGTATAATAATGTAATAATAAAATAATTTTTCAATGAATGGTTGATTAATGCATAATAATATAATGTAATAAAATAATTTTTCATAATAATGGAATACATTATTAGGACACAGGATCACCAAAATTGATGTTTTGAAGAAATGACAAAACATGAAAAAACAAATTGAAAAGTTCTGATGAGGGAGGGACCCTACGACACTTTCTCAACTTACCAATGGAGAACGGAATTCATGGGAAATAGAGCTCACCAAGGCATTCTTGGACCTATTGGCCTCTTTCAGTTTGCTGGTCATTAATTTCATTGTATTGAGTCTATTCATCAATTTGTAACTCACAGAATTCAACATGAAATTCAACACAGTCAAGAGGCAAAATGTTCCAAATGCTTCAAGATGGCGATGATGAATGGCTGACAAAATAAATGCATTTCCAAATGAAACGACGTGTTGAGCAGCAATAATCCACATGATGGCGTCATACGAATGTACACGACAATCCACAAGTGCATTCTGTAAAATAATGTATGAATAATTGTGAATGGTACTCGAGAGAAATCCAATCATTAACCAGCCAACCGTGTAGTCTTTCGTACACAACAATAAACGAAAGAAAAACACAACAATGTTCAAGACAATCATAACTTTGCAAGTGTAAACCTCCAAATACCGTTGCCTTCTTGCCATAGAAGCCATATCAAGTGACAGGTTCGAAGAGGAGGAGGAGTTTCTTGATGATGGAGCAAATTTCCAGTAATCGGTCGAGTAGAATGGCACTGAACCTTGTGAGGGTATGTGTTTGTTAGATTCAGTTAATGTATCTTCAACTGTTGTTGAGGAATTGTTAGGATTAGTTTTTAAGGATGAGGTATCATGTTCTTGAGGTGGAAGTGATGGTGAGGATGCTAAATTTTCAATTTCTACCGACAAGACATGTTTTGGCTCAATCTTAATCTCATGATTATCCGTGTTGTCTCCATTGTGAGAGGTCTTAGTGTCGTCAAACTCATGATTTGAAGTGACAGGGTTATTGTTGTGGCTATTAGTGTTGTTAGTATTCATCAAGTTGTTAGGATGTGTGGTTGAAGTATTAAAAAGGCCGTCTTCATGAGTCGGAACATCATCCAATTCTATGAAGCGTTGTTTCACCATCCACATGAACACTAGTTGCTGAGCCTTAGAACGAACAAATTTAAAATTAATCACAATGGCCAATACACATAGAATGGCCATGCAGATTGGATAATCGGTAGAGTACAGAACGAGATAGGCATAGCAAAGAAATAAACACACGGGAAGGAAAATTTGATGTGCCTTTTCATTGAGCATCATGGCGGCATCACCATGAGGTAGTGATGGAGAAGATGAGGATGATTGAGAAGATGGATTGCTTGGGGAGGATGACGCAGGTGAGGAGAGTGTTGCTGTTTCCGAAGAGCTACCTCTTTGTTGTTGTTGTTGGTCGTCGGAAATTGAAACACGAGCCTTTCTTGGAGGAGTCGATGAAGCCAAAGAGGAGTACGGGGATAAAAATTGTTGGCTTGAGTTTGTAGTGTTGTTGTGGATGATGTTGTTAAGATTCGACTGGTTAATATTGCTACCAACTCTTGAAGAGTGTACAAGGTTTTGCTTGTCGAGTGGTGGAGCAGAGTGTTCTTGTTGGGAAGAATTGGATGTCATCATGATGGATGATGCTGCAAATGATGAAGAAGGATGTTTCTCTTCACTTCTCTTTTGATCCAACTCTTTCAAATAAGGAGTCCCTGAAGTAGTAATAGTAGTAGTAGTTGTTGTGGGTACCTCTTCATTCGTTAAAAACGAGGAATCTCTTCTTCTTCTTCTTGTTGTTGTTTCGGTATCGGATGATGAAGAAGGCACTGCAAGAGGAGGCTCCTCATCATGGTTTGGTTCATCGTCATGTTGATGATGACCAGGAGCAACCATAACACCCGGTATTTTCATAGCAGGAGAAGAGAGAAAGCGGGTGTTGATCTTGTTGTTCGTCTACACTACTACACTATAAAGTTCGAAAGAGTGATGATGGTTGGTGTTGTGATTGTTTTTCTTTTACGGCTGATGATGAGGAAGAGGAGAAATGCAAACAGCTGTTTTTGGGCAAGTTCTTTGAGTGCCGAATTTGTTTCCACTTTTTTGAGAGGTCAGAATGGGAAAGTGATTTTCTCTTGGTTGTTGTTGTTGTCATCGATGTATTCTTGAATAATAATACACACATTGAAAAGAGATGTACTCAGAGATGATGAGTCTCTCTGCGCACACCAATCATGTGATTCACCCAAAATTAGAAAATTAACTTGGAAGCTTGTCCATAGTTATGGAGAAGAGGATTCAGACGACAACTTCAAAGACATTGATACCTAATTTAACGAATGAGAAAAGCTTTCTACCATTTCGGAATGATGATGCATTAGGATTGGTGAGAAGATTTCGTCACCATATGGATTTGTTTGAACCTCGAAAAGATATTTGGAGCATGCCTCAAATGCAAATTCAACAATTCTGGACCAGATTTGCAGAACAGGCAAACGTGCGACGTTGCCTCTGACCACTTTGCGAATCCTCAACAGATTGCATTCCTTATTAAGCATACAATCGAAAACCACCATCAAATGCTTCATATAATACAACATGTGGCATTTATCAGCATGTTTATTTGGGTTTTGAGAAATTATTTACATTAGAGCGAATATAGTCAGTGTATTGAGATTACATTTTGTTAGCCATGTTCTTTGCTTGTTTTGCTGTGTGTAATGAAAATGCAGGTTATGGCTGTTGTTTCTCTCGTTCTTGCTTCTCTTTCATGTATTCTTCTTCAATAGTGAAATAACTCGATCCGAGATACATTTGTAATTGGAGAGGCGTTGCATTTCTAATATTGACCTTGACAAGTTGTTTTCCGAGACGTTTATGAGCTTCGAAACGATGACATCCTCCAAAGACATATAAACATCCACTTGGAGATCTGCAGAGTGAATAGGGTTGTCATCATTGTCGATGATGATGAATTGTGAGGATGTCAATCATGCAAGTCATCATGATGATGATGCATTTAAAAATTGAAAGAGGTTATGAAATCATGACTCGAAGAGGAAGGAATTAATGAGGAGCAGCAACTTTCATCAATTTGTAACCTACCTGAGAGCTTCAATGGGAGGTACTTGATCGTAATCTTCTTCGATGGTATTCATTAGTGATTCCACTTTGCAATAGTCAAGTTCGGGAACGATGGGTTTCTTAATGTCATTAATGTCCACAAACTGCACGTTATTGTATGCAATTTCAAGACGATCCTTGGGTTGTGGATTTGTTGGAGGTTTTACATAATTATCGGGAACTTCGATGTGATACTTTTGCGACGACATTTTTTTGTGTGTTTGCATGAATCTTTTTACAATTTCACTTTCGTCCAAGAATAAAAGGAGATCGGGGTTCGGAAAGTGCGTCCGTCCTTTCCTCCGAAAAGTGAACGATCCCTTGTTTGAACGTTACATTGATCTCCAACAACAACATTGTACGGTGAGATGGTCGAGCGGTCTAAGACGACACGTTTAGGAATGGTTAAATTCCGTGTTCCGAAAGGGCGTGGGTTCAAATCCCACTCTCATCAAAATTTTTGTTGAAAGTTTTTTGTTGGAAGCTGAAGTACAGCTTTCAATACCGTTTTAATCATCTTGCAGTAGTAACATTTTGACTGGGGTATCGGTGCACAGAATTTATTGATTCGTAATTTTTGATATCAATATGGGTTGTTGGCATAAATAAACCAATTACAGTGAATATAAAACAGATGGGCTTTTTCCAATGCTAACACTTCTTCGCGACCCAATTACCTTTTGGGCCTGGTCTAGATACAATCTGTTGAATGAACGCATAAAAGCTGAATAATTCTTCAACTTTTTCAATTTCTCCCTCGTAGTAGCATCACTTTGAATCTTGTGGTTGTGTTTGCATTGTGGTTGGATGAAGCAATAGATGTAATTGTAGAACACACAATGAATCGTTAGCGGTAGGCATATCTAGTCTTGTGGTAATTCCTCTCGCAATGTTTTTGTGGACATGTCGCAAAACCATTCAGGTACAATAAATCTTTCCACACGAATCAGAGTACTATTGCTACTACCAGTCAATCCTCGCTGGATCTTGTTATTAAACCAAGAGGCAAATATAGTTGGTGTAATGGATAGTTCATATGTAATGCATGATTCCTTATTGTAAATTGTTGAATGTAAAAGACGCCCCAGATGAGCATTATACTTGTTCAAAACTGCTGCAGATTGATTATTTCGCATGGCCCAATCCAATCTCATGTCACAAATGAGAAATGCTTGTTCGATATTTAGCACAGTATCTGGATATCGAATTGGTACATCATTGTGAGTATCTGGCAAATATTGACCAGTATATCCAAAGAGATATTTATCAGCTTGTATTTCAAGTTTGTCACTTGCTTCATTCCAACACTTGCCTATTAAAGCATTAGCAAAATTTTTTTTGTAATTTCAAAGAATGAATTGAATGCCGGTACCAATAAGCGAAGGATTCATCACGAAAATTGTCACCATACGCGTCGACATTCAACAATATTTGTTTTAACAACTGGTTGACGAGAGAATACAATTCACCCACAAAACAACTTACAAATTTCAAGATATGGATTAGCAATTTCATCGGTGTCAGAGTTTTGAGACGAAATTTCTGCTTCCATACTGTTCATGTTGACTGACTTTGATACAATCGTTGTGATTGTTGTGGACTGATATTTGCGTATCAGGTCCTTCATAATTTCTTCCAAGAGCTGCTTCTTGCGGTTCAGTCTCGTATATTCTTTCTTCTTCTCTAAAATGATACTAAATGCCTCATCTTTGGTAATCTCTTCAATAAGGGTCTTAATAACTTTTAATTTTGATTTGTATGCCGTAAAAGTTGAAGATAATTGTTGATAAGGATGTGAAAATTGAATCATGCAGTTAATGTCTCTCAGTGCCATGTCATATAATTTCAATTGACGATAAATATTTTCCCTCTGACCGTAAGTGTTCATATCGCCAAAATCGAATCCATATTTTTGATTATATTTTTGTGTCATGATAATTGAGAGAGTGGCATATTTGACAGATTTGTACAGATAAGATTTCTTTTTTTCATTTTCATCCTCCAATTCTGTAGCTAGATGATAATAGGATTGCGAAATCATGGAGGGTATCTTGACCAAATAAAAATCATTCAAAATTAACATGTTATCGAATTTCCTACGTTTGGTTTTTTCTTTGAGCTCAAATTTCGATCTTAACTCTTGTGGCAATTCCTCCAGAAAAGAACACTCAGTATTTGACGCTTTTTTCCATATGGACTTGTACTCACGAAGCGCCTTATCATACTGTGAATTATAGTAATGTGAATATGCAATTGTATACATGGGTTCAATATCTGAAAAGAATAAATACAATCTCTCATCATGTGGAGAAACTCCACATTCATTGAGAACTCTTCTTACTTGATCATAGTAGGACTCTCGTTCTCGTTTGGCATCCTCAAGCAAAGCTTCACTTGACGTAAAATTCGCACTGACAATATATCTCCAAGCTTGTACGAGTGTAATAATATAGGTTGGAAAGGGTAATAATTTGCTCGAATGATTTTGTTTTTGATTCATTAAAATGTTGAGAGCTTTATCGAGATCGGCCAGTGCTAATTTTCTTGAGTGTTTATGGAAAAAACTACTTTGATACCACTATCAAAGATTGTGCAAGAAGCCATGCAGATACAGTCATTCCGAACGAAACATATCATTTCAAATTGTGGTGGTGACCATATATTTGTATGCATTTACAATGATTATTTCGAGTCGAATATTTTGCGAAGTCATCATCAGTGGTCAATCCAACGTGCATATATATATATATTTATAGGAGAAGAAAAACTCACCCATGGAATCCATTTTGCTCTCTGTAACAATGGCTGATAACTCTCCGAATTCTCATTCAAGCTCTGATTTAATAGACTCAAACTTTGATTGGCCTTTCCCTCTCTCCTCCAAAATTGCTGTTGGCACATAACGCCCTCCATTTCTAAATTTGTAGCAAATGTATTTTGTGTGAGGAAAGGACATTCCCGCAAATAATCTTCAATGGTGGCTGTTGTTTGTTGAATCGGAGAGGATGATGACGAAGAAAATATTACATCATACAATGATTTTAACATTTTTACAATTTTTCTTTCAACTCCGAGAACACAGCAAGTTACAATCCATCTCAAGATATGTGAACAAGCAGCAAGGAAATGATCGAACTATTATTAATACCCCACTCTCTTAAGAGTTTTCATTTGATGAGCTTTCTCAGCAACAACAACATGAACCCTCTTTCCAAATCATTGACATTTTGTTTTTAGATGATTATTCAATACGATAGCTTTAGATGCCTCTGTAGTTCTGCAACTCTTGCAAGAACTTTTTACCTTTTGGAATTGTTCTTGGAACTTTGGAATGTAATACGTTGATGAAGCAACTGATTCACAAATATCTCGACCTGCATGACCTTGATTGACATGAATATCCATAATAATGCCTTCATATTCATGTTCTTTGGGAATTTGAACCCATTTATCAGTTTTGATTATTTGAACATCATATACATCCTTCGGGAGCTGTTGAGTCATGTCGATAATCCTTTCTAATTGCTCATCTGTGAGATTATCCTTAAGGATTTTCTTTTCTTCTGATTTGTACTTGTTGAAGTAGAGAGTACCATCTTGCAATTTAAAGTCAGGGAGTATCTTCTTAACGTGACTAGTGATGTTGGTTGATTTGGATTCTAAGGTTGTCCTGATCGATAACTTTCTGAGTGACGCTAACTTTGCCATTTAATGGATTTCCCATTTTTCTTTATTGAAAATCGAAAAAGTTGGTTTGTAGGAAACAATTTGTAGGGAATTGAACTGTTTATTAAAAATTTATTTATTTATTGGTTATTAAATCAATATGTAACGGTTGGATGAATATGTTGTTTGTATTGATTGAGATGATTCGCTGGATTGGGCCTGTTTCATCATGCCGAGGATTGTTGTTTCTGGGAAAATACTTCAATCTGACAATAGTTCACACTATCATCTGTATCATCTCAACAGATACTCCATCTCATAATCTGCGCATCTCACTCATCGCTTTCAATCCTTTCTTAAACCCTAACAAAAAGCATCATTTTCAAGCGATTGATCGAGTTGTTCACAGATGTCGTCAAAGGCTGGTGAAAACTTGTGGAAGGATTGCTGAGAACAAAAAAATGAATCTTCCAATTTCGATCGGAGAGGAAGAAGGAGGCTCAATTTCAAATCGAGAATCATCACTATCCTCGGCATCGTGGACAAACAAGATGATGATGTCCAAGGAAAATGTTGTTGTTGGTGGTGGAGGTGATTTCAAGGAGAATGATGATTGTACAAATACGAATATTCCTATTCATAATAATAATAACATGTCATCACGGAATGAATATTTTCAATCATCGCTTGCCGATGATGATGAGAATATGGGATTGAATTTGGGACGGCATGTGGAGGAAGATGTTGGTGGAGCTGGATTTTATAGAAATAATTATTCTGATGATGAAGATGACGGGATGAACGTCAGTTTTTCATTTGAAAAGGAAAATATTGGGAATGGCCGTGACACTTTTGGCAGAGGATTACCACGCAAAACCTCATTCACAATGAGTGACAATGATGAAGATGAGGATGATGGATACAATAATATTTTCGTTGGAAATAGTTCTGTAACAAGTCCATCGCCGAGTACATTATCTTCATCTCGACCATATGGACCTTTTCAACGAGAGGATAATGAGGTCAACCACTTCAATCTGCCGCAAGATATTTACACTACCACTACTACTAGTACAACATCTTCACTCGCGGCGGACCATACAAATTCTATTCAGCTCGAATCCATCGATCACATATTTGAAGAGCTTCAAGTGTCACCAATCCAACCAATATCCAACAATTTTTTACCCAATCCCATACATCCATTTGAAGTTATATTATCACCAACACATTCGGAGGATATTAATTTTGAAGATGGATTTTCCAAACTTTCGATTGACACGTCGTCATTAGTTTTGGAACAACCGCTCGTCGAATTGAATACTACAAATGACAGCAACGAAGGAATGATGAACGAGTCTACTAACATTAGAGCCACAACTCCCGTCATGCAAGAGAATAACTATGTGAAAATGAAATCGAAAAGAAATAGCTCACAAAAGAAGAAAGTACGATTCTCAGATAACGACATTTTATTTCCAGTGACCATTATTCCTCCATCACCAAGTGATGAAGATTCAAAGCAAACATTGGATTTCTTAACTTCCACCTCATCCAATACATCAAGTAATAATACTTCCGAGAACAATTTTTCAAATACAACCCCATCCTCAATACAAGAAACAAAACAATACCAAAACACCTCTCAACCACCTCCCCAAATTCCCTTTCACGTCTATAACAACAACTCTGATACTTCTACAAATGGTGAAGTAATACCTAGCAAATACAGTAATGGCAAAATTCATGGAGTGGAATTACTCTCTTCTCTGGGCAATTCTTCACACAATCATGATAACCTTGATAACAATGAAGATGACGAATTTAAAACACACGACGGAAAGAAAAGACTTTTTGGCTTAACTGGCTATCAATATTTAGTGCTGGCCTCAGCTTGGCTTGGATGGGCCTTTGACATTTTTGATGGAGTTTTATTCAGTTATGCAGCTCCAATTTGTATTCCTAATTTATTAGGTTTTGCAGACGATCAACTGACGTCTACTATTGCTAAAGAACAAACTGCATTATGGAGCAGTATTTTGAGTAGCGTGTTGTTATTTGGTTGGGGCTGTGGAGGCGTGTTTTTTGGATGGTTAACAGATAGAGGTTTGTAGTTGTGTGTGGGGGAATTTCTCTCGTTGTTCAATGATGCCACCCTTTGAAATTCTCGAATATTTTTTACAAACACAGTTGGACGATCGAAAACAATGATGATCACCATTGTTGTATATAGTATTGGCACATTTTTAGCTGCTTTTTCTTTCCATATTAGTGTACTTGTTATTTTACGATTTATTGCTAGTTTGGGTATTGGAGGAGAGTGGTCAGCAGGAGCTGCTCTCATCAGTGAAACATTACCTATTGAAAAACGAGTGATAGGTGGTGTCATTCTATACACAGCTGCACCCATTGGAAGTATGGCCTCATTTGCTGTGAATTATTTAATTACTAGCGTGTTACTTCAAAGAACAGGAACAGCAGTGAATGGGACTGTCACAAACTCTACCGTGCTCACCTTTGCTTCCTCCGACATGATTATGAGCGAGGGTATTAATGCACCGGTCATAACAGGAGGACCTATTCCTGTGTGGCTTTCATGGAGAATACTTTTTGCAATTGGTGTAATTCCAACCATTGTTGGAATTTTCATTCGTATTTGCGTGAAAGAGCCAGACTCATGGGTCGAACAACAACGAAGAGAGAAGGAGGAGCAAGAACAGCAAGAAAATGCAACCACTATTACTATTGCCTCTGTGCACGATGATGAGCAAAAATTATCAAGTCCTATTCGGTCGTATGCAAATTCAATTCTTGCTAGCCCATCATCTGGACATGACGATTCACCAACTTTTTCAACCAATTCGGAAGATGACATGAAAGAAATTGATCTTGGAACTCCAACGACAAACAGCAATAATGGAGAAAAACTTGTATCTCTTTCAGTCACTCGAAGTGTGTCCGATCTTTCAACGACAAGCTCACAACAACCACTCAAGAAAAATCGAAAAGGAAAGTCCTATTTAGATTTGTTTGCAAATGCAGATTTGAGAAGAAGAACTATTAGTTCCATTTTATTTGTGTGCCCTGCATTAATATCGTGGTGGTGCATCAGTACTTTCATTCCAATTTTGAGCACTTATCTAGCATCTAATTACAAAGATCCTGATGAAAAGAAGTACTATCAAGACTTGTACTCTGTGCTTGGAAATATGTTATTTAATTTTGGAGGATTGATTGGAACGTTAATGGTGATTCCTATTGCTACCAAGTTTGGACGGTTGTGGGTCTATAGAATTTATTTCTTTTTTGCAACAGTATTTATTGTTGTGGCATTTGGAATTCCTGACATGTCTCCAGTTCTTCGATTTTGTTTAATGTTTCCCGTTGGAGTTTTTGTTTTTGGAGCCTTTGGCAGCTTTACATTCTATTTACCTGAATTATTTCCAATGGAACTAAGAGGTAGAGGATCAGGATTTACTTATAATTGTGGACGATTTGGTACAGCTATTTTCCCATTTTTGGTTGGATTAATTGTGTCACAGGGAGTGAATCCCCTCATTGTATTATCTTGTATCTCAATTGCTACGTTCTTTGGATTTATTGTTTCACTAGTACCAAGATTTGCAGTAGAAACTAAGGATGTTATTATTCACTAAGCTATGCGATAAACTTCATGAAAATCCATCGCACACAAATTATTGCTCAGTGGGGGAAGTGACACTCAGACACTCCATGATTCACACGTTGACTGTCTTATTATATTTGTTCTAGATAGCATCCACTCGCAGATCTTGACATGGCGACAGCTTCAAATGGATGAACTCTGTTTCGCCACACGAATCTTGATGAGCTATTTCTCTTGTGATTCCTTTGGTAATAAAATTCTCCAAAGTCTGTCAATACCAATTTTAGATCACAATTCTTGATGGCTTCAAGCTGCTTGGGGAGCATCCAGTCGAGCATTCTTACCAACTGATGTTTCAGTTCTATTATTGCTGAAGACACAGCATGATTTGAATTTGCACTACTACAGGAGAAAGATGATGTGACTCCTTTCCTTAGCAACTCATTATTGAAAGGCATGATGAAGGTACTTTTGATATTCAGAATTTTCAGCTTGGTTCCAAATTTACATCTTATCAATGCATTAACAAGGTTTGAAAATGAACGAAACGAATAATTCCCCTCTAGTGAGAGCTCCTCCAATTCTTCAAATGATGCTGGTATTTGATTCAAGATAATCTCTTTGCAGGTAGGATATGTATTTAAATGGAGGCTATTTCAATGATTGACCCAAGACATGATTGAAATAGAAATTTGGAAATTTCAGAAAAATAATACAGTAATTAACAAGAGAATGTGTGTACTCAAACCTACTTACCATTTGAGTGTACGACCACAATGTTCTGCCAGTGCATAAAGTCCAATTTGATTGATATTTCCACACCCAGATAAATTAATCTTTCTCAAACATTTTCTTTCATCCAACATGTCAGATTCATATTTCTTCGCATGTTCTCCTAATATTCTAGATATTGTTTCAAGTTGATGGTTTTGAAGGGATTTACATTGACCTAAATCTAAAACTCTCAATCGATTTATATTACTTTCAAATATTCGTGAAATGTCCATTACTACAAACATTGACTGAGCAGAAATGAATTTTTCCACATTTGCAAATAATTGGTGAAAATTGGACGACATAGAAGTATCCAATGTCATGTTATCTAATAGGGTTGAATTATTCCAATAAATTTGTGTCAGTTTTGGAAATACGAAATTGACAATAGGTTCCACTATTACTGTCTTATTTTTTTCTGACTTTTTCTTCTTCTTTTCTCTTTCGAGAGACCTAGTATTTGCTTCAATTTTAGCAGGAAAATAATGTAAACAAGCTAAGTGCTCTCTAAACATTGATACAAATTGTATAGTCAAACCTTTGCCTGTCAAGTGCCAAGTATTTGGAAAAATTTGAGAAATGATATATTCCTTGCATGTTTGTGAAAGGGTGTGAATTGAGGAGCCGAAGTGTGTGGGATGTGTTTCATTGATATTGTCATTAGCGGTAGAAGTGATTGTCAAAACTGTATTAGCCGCTTTCAAATTCATTTCATCAACTTGTTCGCGGTGCTTTTCCCAATAATTTAACATCCATTTGTCAACTTTGGATTGCAATCTGTTCTTGTAATATAGTTTGTGTACACAAATTTCATCAGTGATTTCATCACTTATAGAGTTGGAACAGTGAGAGCATATTTTAGAAGATTCAGGTACTTCGTTATAACAACCCGAACAAATTAATACTTGGTTTGCAGAGAAGAGATTCAAACGGCTGTGCTCACATACAATGAAATACTCGTATTCCGTCACAAATTCCTTCCAATTTTTGCAGACACTCATAATCACAGTATAGAGCTCTTTCCAAGGAAGAAATGAAAAAATGTTAATGACCAATTCGTAAGGAAGGACAATATGACCCATTTTGGTATCACTTGTTCTTTTCGAAGAGATTGGTTCAATTCGTGTAATTTTCCTAAGTGCAATTCTTGTATTGGAAATAATTGGAAACTCTTTTGATGTTGATGATTTTTCAAAAGCTTTTTGATTAGCAATCGCTTGTTTGGTTTTTTTTGAGGGTTGTTTCAACTTGGATTTCGGCTGGCTTTCCTCTTCCAAGATTTTACTTTTGACAAAATCTACATGCTTCTTGACCATTGGAATTTTTTGTTGTAGTTGCTCCAGAATCGAAAAGTGACAATGATTTGGATCCAATGAGATTGGAGATGGAGTGGTTTTAATATGAGCCTCTGTTGAAACAATAATGACAGACTCTAAATCAGTTGCACCAGCCAATAATGCCTTTTCATCAGGTTTATCAACTTTTTCATGTAAGACATCATTAGACATTTTAAATAAATTATCTATACTTGCAACAGAGTTATTGTTGCCTGCTGATGAAGAAGTTGGCAGCTGTTTCCTTTTTGATAATTCATTGTAATATTGTTGTTCCGATGACAGAAAAGCCCTCCTGGCCATCTCATCAATTGTAGAATTCGAACTTGAAGAGGGTCGTGATGTTTTGGAAGATGGAAACTTTTTGATTTGACGTTGATTCGTATTTACATTCTTGTTACTGTGTGTTGAAGAGGAGTGCGATCGATCATTGGTTAAATTTACATTATTTGTGATCATTGAGGTAGTATTTTCTGTTTCCACCAAATTACGTTTTTTCGTGGTCGAATTAAAAGATTTTTCATTAAATGTGCTGCCATAGGAGGGAATAGACGAATGTTTTTGTTGTTGTCCGATGGTTGAATTGATCGGCTCTTGTCTTTTGGAGGTTATTGAAGGTTTTTTAAGTAATGGCTTCATTTTTTTTTTAAAATAAATTTTTAATTTTCTTTCTTTTTATAGGCAAATAAGGCAATTCCTCGAGGAGAAATGTCTTCATCAAATAATTGAACTAAATCTGCTTGTACACCACTCGATTCTCCACTCAAAAATAAATATCGATCTAATAGTATTAAGCACTCAATGACAGGGCCTAACATACTTCGAAGAGTCCAAAAAATGTCAACACTCTTAATTTGAGAGGTCTCACGATTGCCATTGCATGTTTGGTAATAGAAATTGTTCAATTTTTGTTTGAAAGATGTTTCAAAATGTTGCTTACTGGTCATTTCAATGATTTCTTGTTCATGAAGAGATGTATCAAGAGTTTTTGTTTGATGCAATCGCATTAATACACTAATTGCATATTTTGAGAAATCTGTATCTTCATCTTGGCCGTTGTTATGCACTGATGAACTTTTCAAATTGTTGTCCGAAATACTTCCAAAACTTTCAAGAATTAAAAGCACAACGATTGTAAATATTGTGTTCATAATGTTACCCTTACCTATAAACAACAGGTCGAAGAATCGTTGAAGGAATTTCTTTCTTTTCCACATACTCATGTAAGAAATATTCCATGGCACATCGAAAAGCATTTCTTTTCCAGTATTCTTGGACTTTGTATGGGCTCTTTCGAGGTGGTTCATTTCCATAACCCTCGTTCGTACTCCAAATATTGTTTTCAGTACATCCAAGAATTAATCCAGAACGTGTCAATTGAAAACCCTTCAAATTGCATGTCACATAGTCTTCGACAAATGATGTTAGAGGAAAGCCTTGGAAGTGAGTTGATACTTGAGAAGACTCAACCGTGTCGTGACATGGATCAGTACCTCCTCTTACACGATATTTTTCTGTGAGTTTGTGATAACAACAACCAACATTCACCAAAGAATGAATGAGTGACTTGTTCTGTTTGGTATAAATCACATCGTTCACATACATGTCACAAAGAATAGGTGTTAAATCTCCACAAGTATGTAAACCGACGATGCAATTATTTCCAACAATGCTATCGTCATCACACTGAATAGAGAGTGTGGTTTCTAGCATTTGGTTGACCATTTTTGACAATTGTTCTCTATTACATTCCAAGTGGGAAGATATTGCTTTGAGTTGATTTTTCTGTTGTTTCTTTTGGTTTGGTAGGACTTTAGTTGATTTTTCAAATTTTTTTGATTTTTCTTGAATTTTTTGAACTAAATGATCATTACGATCTATCGCAATGACATTAAGACCATACTTGGCAAAGAGAACATGTGAAAGATAGCCTTTACCTGAGCCAATATCAAGGATGGTAGGTATGCTGCAGTGCATGATTTCATCATATTTGTTGTGAGACATTTTTGAGGGAAAAGTATGATGTGAAAACGTGCTAATAAATTCTGCCAATCTCTCGATTTCATGAATTTTTTTTGGTGACATGTGTCGAGAGAGTTCTGTGTTCTGCCATTCGCAAGAGGAAAGTTGAAAATTTGTTGTAGAGGTGTTGGAATCATTGATACAATCTTTTGTTGTTTCTTCTGTTTTCAAATATTGCACAATTTCTTTGACGTTCGGTAATATTACTTTGTGAAATCGCAATAGTTTGCATCCGAGAACAAATCGTCTAAACGATAGAGGCATCTTATCCGAGGAGTACAATTGTATTATGTTATTGAGATGGACTTCATTGTAATCTTCTTCTTGTTGCGTGTAATTCATCAACTCTATTAAATGCATGTCCGAACATTTCTCTAAAAAGTCTCTCCATTCTTTGGGAACTCTATTTGAATAGTTATCTTTCCATAGAAAATAAAGCAAATGATTGTCGCCTTCACTCTCAGAATTATTACTCTCTGAAGCTGATTGTACGTTTTTCGAGTTATAGGCATCTCCATTTTGTGAATTGACAAACGTAAACAAGAAAGAAAATTCATTTAAAAACTCCAAAATTATTTTCATAATTTCTTGAACAATAATTAATGGGTTTTTAAAAGTATCAGAAGAAATGAATTTCGTACTCCAAAATTTACAAATTTCTTCCATTCGTTTTTTTATCGGTGAAAATTTTTCATTATTAGTATGGTTATAATCATGAATCATCTCTGCCTTTCTCCATTCATGAATATATTTTAAAATTTCTCTTCTTCTCGGAAGTAAATGTTGAAACAAGTAAGAGTGAGAGACAGCACTCCATTCATCATCACTATGTTGAAGCATTTTTTGAAGCAGAAAAAAATGTTGAAACTGAACAGCCTTTAAATTTGATTCGTTGTTTGAAATTTGTTGAATTTGGAAAGATGAATTGCTCAAGGGTTTGATGATGAAAGGATCAAGTGTTCAGTGTTCCCTGAAGTCAAAGAACAAGGAACTCGGATTATGTCTTCTTTCGATTTTCAACCGTAAAAAAATTTCTGAATAGAAACACAATCATGGTCCCTATCAACAATGCCCTTCTGGTGCATGGTTCAAATCAACTTGGCCAACTCGGAACGGGAGACTTTGAGAAACGAGAAAAATCCTACTAAGGTTGATCTTCCTAGTGGTGTTTCAGTTCGAAAAGTGGCTTGTGGCTTTGCTCATACCATAGTGATGGGGTTAATTTCAGATGAGTTGAGCAATGAACTCAATAATAATGAGGGAATACAACATCAAGCGGGTGTATCCTCCATGCTTTGCTTATTGGGATGTGGTACAAATTCGTGTTCTCAACTCGGGCAATCAGGAAGTTCTTTCAATGATACAGAAATTCTGAACTTTAGCCCTGTTCAAAACTCAAAATGTTTGCAAGAGATGGGATCCATATTTTGTGGTTGTAATTTTACCATGATTTTCTCAAAGGATGGAAAGTCGTTGCATGCCATGGGTGACAATGCTAATGGACAAATTGGATTGAGAAATTGGCTGGAAGTAAGCATGCCCAATCCTGTGCCTTTGAAAGCATTGCAAAGTAGTGTCACGAATGAATTGGATACCATTGTGAAGGTTTTCTGTGGTTTTGATCATACCAGTGTTCTTTGCGAGAGCGGAAGTGTCTATTCGACAGGAAAGAACAATTTTAAAGAACTTGGATTTGCAACTTGTGTCATTCAAAATGATAGTCAGTACACCCTCGTGCGCGTGGCTTGTTTGGATTCAATTTTGCAACCCAATGAACGTGTTGAAATGATAGCGTATGGAGAGAATCACTCTTTATTACTGTTAAGAAATAATCGTACAAACACAGATCGGTTGATAGCTTGTGGAGACAACAAATATGGTATGTAAATCATCTGATGCTCTCTCTTTGAAATAAGTCCTTATATCAAACCCTAATAATACTCTTTTTATCACATTCAAAGGTAATATTGGACTTCGGGCCTCAGTACCTTCTGTGTCAAGTTTTACTCCAGTTGAAATTGACAATCTTCAATCGGAACAGCACATTTCCAAAATAGCTTGTGGTGAATTCCATAGCGCTGTGTTGTTTCAAAACGGAGAGGTTTGGATGACAGGAAAGAATAGTGAACGTCAACTGGGCTTTTCTAATTTGGATAACTATTCCTTTACAAAAATTGATGTATTTGGATTAGCAATTGGTGACATTGCACTTGGAAATTCTCACTCAATATTTATCAGTGCACTTAGTCGACAAGTCATGTTTGGTTCAGGAAGAGGATTCGATCAATACATTTCTCAGAAATGCACACTACAACGAATAGACTTTGGAAAGGAAAATAGCCACATGTTGGTCAATCATGCTATTTGTGGTGGATTGCACACCGTGTTTTACAGAGATCAAGAAATGGAGGATGGTCTTTCTCCCCAAAGAATGAAACATAAATTGCTGACTTGCTTAAGAAGAAATTTCTTAAACGACATTTCCATAACCCGTGAATGAAATAGGTGACCCTACGGGATCACAAAAACAATTTGAGTTGAGAGATGTCAGAGAAGCACAAAAAGCCTTGTTGAAACTATCGTGTAATTTTATTGCAATAAAATCTTTTTCTTTTTTGGTGTTGTTTCAGCTTTTTCATTATTGCTAAGCTCAATAAGATTTCTTTTTCTTCCACACTGCAACAGTTCGCTCCAACAAATTACAAGTGTATCTCCAATTTGGTCCTTGTTGACGTTATTAATAATATTACTAAAGAATTTGTCAATGATTTGGCAATAGCATAGAGGAGAGAAAAATTGACGGCCTGAAAAACGGTTTGCATCAAAAGGAAGCAAAGTTCCATCGAGAGCCTTAAACGTTTCGTTCATTGTTTCAAGAATATCTAGAGTAAGAACAACCTCTTCCTCTTGCAAGAAATTTTCGTAGGCCAATTTAAAATCTTGTTTTAGCTCGGATCGTAAAAGAACAGAACTGTAGGTATTATCGTCAATTCTATGTGTCACCACAGATTTTAAAACCACTTGTACTATATTGGCTCTCCAGCTTGAAGATGAATAGAGTTCATCATTCCAATTCAATAATCCATGTTCAAATAGTGGTTTCAAGAGAACTTGCCAATTTTCTTTCAAAAATTTTGTGTCAATTAGATACTCCGATGCAATAACTTCGCCCAACATATTTCTGCAATACTTGATTAATGAACCACCTTTTTTAAAATTTGTCATAAAGTTAATGTATGGCTTGAGCTCCGAATTAACCATATCTTGTTTTGAGTCTTCGGTATAGTAAAAGAATGGATTTCTTAAAAAAACTAGCTTCTTCAGGGTCTTACCAGCAAAAACAAAATCTAACAATCGTCTATAATTTTTCGTAGTAATGTTCACATTTGATAAATCCAATTCAACTTCATCGACAGAAGCATTTTTTTCCAAATTGCAATTTTTTCCCAGAGTTTCTAGATCAATTAAATCATGCTCATTAATACAGTCAACAACAAGTAGGGTTTCAACTTGTTGAAATATAGAGAGTGTATGTGAATCATAATTAACCGTTATGGAAGCGAGTTTATCTTCGTCAACATCATTACTCTCAACATCAACAATTTCATTGTCATCATTTTCTTCTTCCTCTTCATCGACAGTGTAATCTTGATTGTCATCATTGAATTCAATAAAATCATCCATGTCTTCTTCCTCGTCTTCTTCTTTCCCTTGCGAAGATGGTTCGGTAAATTGAGAATACGCATCCGAAACATTGTTTCCAACTTCGAGTGATGAGAAAAATGACACTTGGGGTGTACTCTTTTGTAATGTAGGTAGTTTGGGTATTGAGAAATTATTCGCTGCTTTTTTGTTGGTCCATCCCACTGTGAGAGAAATAATCTTGATGGATTGAAATGTTGAATTTTGCATCGTGGTTTTAGTTGGAGCAGGTGTTGGTGGGAAAAATTCTGCTTCTAATGTAAGCGAGGTTGGTCCTGACGGACTCATTAGTGGGTCACGCTGAGCTGCTGATGAAAGTGAAGCATTAGTGCTGGCAACTAATGAAAGCCTCTTTAAAATATACTCCATTTCTGGTATTGACAAGCCAATTAATTCAAGATGTGAAATTATCGTTTTTGGTCCGATTATGGCTGATGAAGAGGGTGATGTTGAAGTAAATTGTTCAAGTAATGTTAATGGGTAATTTTTGTTCATTCTAGTTTTTACATCCTGAAAGACTGGCTTGTTGTTTTTTCTGTAATATTCATCATCACGATCCATATCCGGAAATTTGGAAAATGTAAGCAATGAAAGAGCAACAGTGCCATTATAAATATCCGATCTTAAACTCTGTACACTTTTGTACCAAGAAGAATTGATTGCTCTCATCAAAAACAAGGCTTTAATTGGAGGAAGAAATTTGAGAATATTCTTTTGAACGACTGTATTGCGAGAGAGAAGAGTAGAAGCTTGTTCAGCCTGTACTGTGGTATCCGATGAAGGGAATGGCATGGAAAACAAAAAAGAATTGTTATTTCCCGTAGTCGAGGAAGAGGTTGGTGTTGTTGCAAGAGGTGTATTAAACGAGTGATTATTAGTATTCATTAAACCTGATGGTATATTGGTTGGAGATGAAGTACGATCTTCTTCGCCAAACGTTCCATCCGTTAGCAAACTGAAATCGTCTTGAAGAGAAAAAGGATTTAAAGACATTTTTTTCATTCGGAGTTGCTTCATGTTGCTTTCATTTTATTAGAACAAATTTGGTTGTGTTCATTCAAAGAACATATGAGATGGAAGGAGAGACCAAGACCTTTCTGTTGCCTTTCTAATGTTGACTCATGTTGACTGAGTTTTAAATACTTGTCACAAACCATTTGTTCTTCAGATTGACTAGTATATTCAAAAAATTATTTTAATTGCTTCCACTCTTTCACACCAAGTCAATCAAACGCACATCAAGATGCCATCTCATGCAATAACACCCTCGTTTTCCATTCCTTTCTTTATTTGCGGTCAAGGAATTACCTGTAACAAAAACACTGATGCCAATTCATTCACAAATTCTCTCTGGATCAAAGAAGAGCTCATTTCAACCATTCCGAACTCTTCCTTTATTCGTCTCTCCATTCCTGAAAATGTTCCAAACTACTCGATACCTTTTCATGCTGTCTCTGGGCCTCCACCTTCCTATTCGACATGTTTCATGTGGTGCTGATTTTTGTTTAATTTTGTTGAGTGATGGAACTTTATTATCGTGTGGGGTGAATGAAAGTAAACAATTGGGAATAACACAGGAACAATTGAAAACTTGTGATTATTCCGAATATGAATCTTGTGTGAGGAGCAATAACAACACCAATGAAGATATTGGCACTACAGTTAAGAACACACTCACAGAAAGAAGAATTTATCAAGTGAAATTGTTGGAGAGTGTGAAAATTAAGATGATGGAATGTGGATCTCATTATGCTCTGATGGTCTCTGAAAATAATGACTTGTATGGCATGGGAGTCAATGACTACAATCAGATTTGCCTTGGTGAGACCTATGCGAGATATCCTTCATTGATTGATTACAATAGAAGTGTTGACGATGAAATGTAAGTACTATTGAGTGAACATGATATTATGATTATTATGAATGAATGAATATGTGTATTTCTACATTTGATTATTATGAACGAATGAATATGTTTTACAATTTATTTGATGGTTTTGAAATTTATCACTGATTCTTGAAAAACAAGAACACACGTGGGATGCTGTTTTTCGTACTCACTTTTTGTTCTCAACTCTCGAACATTGAGATTGATTGGACAGAATTGGGTCTATCACCACGACATTGACCACAAATTGTCCAGTGGACGTCTCTCTCCAAAACAAAATTTTCACGTCTTTGATTGCAATGTGAAAAAACTTTGCACAGGTGGTTTTCATTTTGTCATTCTTCTTCAAGATGGAACTGTCTATGGTGGTGATTGTGGATCTAATCAGTATGGAAATTTTGAACAGGAAAATCAAAACACCATCTTTTACGAGATTACTCAAAAGTACTTTAAGAACGTGAAAATTGTTGATATTTGTTGTGGAGGAGATAATAGTGCGTTTTTAACAACGAATGGAGAGCTCTATGTGTGTGGATTAGATCATTTTCAATATTCTTGTAACTCCATGCAGTATGACAACATGACAAGAGTTGAATTTAAAAAACCGATTGTTAAGATGTTCACTGGAGATAATTACTCGTGTGTTGTATTAGATAATGGATCAATCATTTTTAGGTTTGTTTTTGCAAATCACATTTGTTGTTCTTTGGTTTCATTAAGGTGAACTTTATTTTCTTTTGATGTTTGAATGTTTTGGGTGTCATTGACACACATGTTTGTGTGGAACGTATCTGATGAAATTATTATTTATATATTATTATAAATTTGCAAACGAACAACATGACATGAATTAGAGGAAAAAACGACAAACATCAATTAGGTTCATTAATACTTGAAACGCATGAACACACATTCCACATGAAAGACCTATTTCCCAAGTTAAATGATCCAAAAGATATTGCAGTGGCATGTGGGTATTATAATACAGTAATTTATTGTCGAAAAAGCTTGGCCATCACGAAACATTTTCTATTTATCGAAAAACGAATTAATGATTCTCATTTAAGTGATATTGTCTTTCAGTGTATACAATAGTGCATGATGTATATTTCGATGTGTGACAATCAATTTTACTAAACGAAGAACGATCAAAATACCCAAATATAGTACATGGAAAGCAAAATTTTGAAAATGGCTCAAAACGGAAATTATTAACTTGTAAAAAAATGTTTTCATCACCCTACCCGTGCGTAACCACGTTGGGGATGATGATTTTTGATAACCCTTCATCATCCTTCTCCCTACCACTCACAGTTGCATCGATGAACGCTTCTAATTCCACATCAGATCCTTTCTCTTTGCAATTTTTGGTCGGAATTCATCCTGTATTTCAAACTTTAATTTTTACACTCATCAATGCTCTCACTACAGCATTAGGAGCAAGTTTAATATTTTGTACTGTGTGTTTTTCGAAATTGGATACTTCGCGCAGACATGATGGAACTCATGATTCGAGAGAATTAAATCTTGTCGCCAAATGGATTTCAATAATTATTGAATTATTTGTTAAAATATCTTTTAAAATTGGATTATTCAAAAAGAATCAAAGAAAAACAGCTTCTTTCACGAATGATTTATTTATTCCTCTTTCGATTGGATTTGGTGGAGGTGTCATGCTTGCAGGTTTGTATATTTTAATTGTGAATTATTGTTCGATTATATTGTTGATACTCATTGACGATTGTATTTTCCACACACAGCTTCCTTTTTCAGTTTGTTACTTCCTGCTTTAAATCATTTCTCTAATTCATCAACCTCCAAAGCACAATCGTTATTTGCAATTGGTGCTAGTTTCTTCCTTGGAGTTCTTGCAATATTAATTTTTGATGCAATCATTCATAAAATTCAAGATCTTGTTGCCAAGAAATTATCAACGACAACTGATTCTCAACATACGAACAGCAGTAGCGGAGATTTAAATCATCTAGAAGATACAATGATGACTGAAAATGCAAATGTCATCAATATTGAACGTTTTGAAAATGAAGATGTTTTATTAGAGGAAGGAGTTCGCCAAGACGACAATTCGCCTTCCCGTGAAATTACCCCTTCACCAACACTTCGACATGTTGGAGAAAATCCAACAACAAACTGTCACTCGTGCATGGAGAATGATTCAATGGCATTTCATGAGAAACATTCTTTGAATGATGACACACGTGATGGAGCCCGAAGAAGCTGGATTATCTTTGTCGCAATGACATTGCATAACATTCCTGGTAAGTATTTAAATAGATCGTAAATCATTATTCATTTTTGAACTTATAATTAGAAGGAATTATTGTTGGAGTAGCATTTGCTGCTGCGTCAGATTTCAGTACGTCTGGAGCAACGCTGGCTACTGCCGTTGCACTTTCACTTGGAATTGCCATTCAAAATATTACGGAAGGAATTGCTGTGACCTTTCCAATTTATGGTAACGAATGTAGAAGAATTTCAAAGAATCAAGAGCAGTCCAACACTCAATGGAAACATGTTGCAAAATCCTTCATTATAGGTGCTATCTCAGGAATTACTGAACCAATGGGTGGATTATTTGGGTGTCTTTTAGTTTTTGTTTCAGCTACAGTACTTCCTTATTCTCTTGCTTTTGCGAGTGGTGTGATGGTATATGTGGTCATTCATGAGCTAATTCCTTTAATGTTTGTGGTACCAAGTCGTATGGTTGCCAAATTATCGACAATAATGTTCATTATTGGATTTATTGCCATGATGTCTCTCGATATTGGCCTCGCTTAAAATCATTGGACACACCTTTTCTTTGGACAAAAATTACAAATTTCATTTGAATGTTATTTCAATGAAAGAAATGTATTTAATTGAGAAATAAATTTATTTAACAATCTCTTGAGTAAGACATTCACATAATAGTATAATGGAACCATCAGGTTCAACATGCCGTGGTCAAAGTGAAATTTGTACTCACTTGAGCAAACTTGGGTTTGGGTTTGGGTTTGGGTTTGGGTTTGGGTTTGGGTTTGGGTTTGGGTTTGGGTTTGGGTTTGGGTTTGGGTTTGGGTTTGGGTTTGGGTTTGGGTTTGGGTTTGGGTTTGGGTTTGGGTTTGGGTTTGGGTTTGGGTTTGGGTTTGGGTTTGGGTTTGGGTTTGGGTTTGGGTTTGGGTTTGGGTTTGGGTTTGGGTTTGGGTTTGGGTTTGGGTTTGGGTTTGGGTTTGGGTTTGGGTTTGGGTTTGGGTTTGGGTTTGGGTTTGGGTTTGGGTTTGGGTTTGGGTTTGGGTTTGGGTTTGGGTTTGGGTTTGGGTTTGGGTTTGGGTTTGGGTTTGGGTTTGGGTTTGGGTTTGGGTTTGGGTTTGGGTTTGGGTTTGGGTTTGGGTTTGGGTTTGGGTTTGGGTTTGGGTTTGGGTTTGGGTTTGGGTTTGGGTTTGGGTTTGGGTTTGGGTTTGGGTTTGGGTTTGGGTTTGGGTTTGGGTTTGGGTTTGGGTTTGGGTTTGGGTTTGGGTTTGGGTTTGGGTTTGGGTTTGGGTTTGGGTTTGGGTTTGGGTTTGGGTTTGGGTTTGGGTTTGGGTTTGGGTTTGGGTTTGGGTTTGGGTTTGGGTTTGGGTTTGGGTTTGGGTTTGGGTTTGGGTTTGGGTTTGGGTTTGGGTTTGGGTTTGGGTTTGGGTTTGGGTTTGGGTTTGGGTTTGGGTTTGGGTTTGGGTTTGGGTTTGGGTTTGGGTTTGGGTTTGGGTTTGGGTTTGGGTTTGGGTTTGGGTTTGGGTTTGGGTTTGGGTTTGGGTTTGGGTTTGGGTTTGGGTTTGGGTTTGGGTTTGGGTTTGGGTTTGGGTTTGGGTTTGGGTTTGGGTTTGGGTTTGGGTTTGGGTTTGGGTTTGGGTTTGGGTTTGGGTTTGGGTTTGGGTTTGGGTTTGGGTTTGGGTTTGGGTTTGGGTTTGGGTTTGGGTTTGGGTTTGGGTTTGGGTTTGGGTTTGGGTTTGGGTTTGGGTTTGGGTTTGGGTTTGGGTTTGGGTTTGGGTTTGGGTTTGGGTTTGGGTTTGGGTTTGGGTTTGGGTTTGGGTTTGGGTTTGGGTTTGGGTTTGGGTTTGGGTTTGGGTTTGGGTTTGGGTTTGGGTTTGGGTTTGGGTTTGGGTTTGGGTTTGGGTTTGGGTTTGGGTTTGGGTTTGGGTTTGGGTTTGCGGGTTTGGGTTTGGGTTTGGGTTTGGGTTTGGGTTTGGGTTTGGGTTTGGGTTTGGGTTTGGGTTTGGGTTTGGGTTTGGGTTTGGGTTTGGGTTTGGGTTTGGGTTTGGGTTTGGGTTTGGGTTTGGGTTTGGGTTTGGGTTTGGGTTTGGGTTTGGGTTTGGGTTTGGGTTTGGGTTTGGGTTTGGGTTTGGGTTTGGGTTTGGGTTTGGGTTTGGGTTTGGGTTTGGGTTTGGGTTTGGGTTTGGGTTTGGGTTTGGGTTTGGGTTTGGGTTTGGGTTTGGGTTTGGGTTTGGGTTTGGGTTTGGGTTTGGGTTTGGGTTTGGGTTTGGGTTTGGGTTTGGGTTTGGGTTTGGGTTTGGGTTTGGGTTTGGGTTTGGGTTTGGGTTTGGGTTTGGGTTTGGGTTTGGGTTTGGGTTTGGGTTTGGGTTTGGGTTTGGGTTTGGGTTTGGGTTTGGGTTTGGGTTTGGGTTTGGGTTTGGGTTTGGGTTTGGGTTTGGGTTTTGGGGTTTGGGTTTGGGTTTGGGTTTGGGTTTGGGTTTGGGTTTGGGTTTGGGTTTGGGTTTGGGTTTGGGTTTGGGTTTGGGTTTGGGTTTGGGTTTGGGTTTGGGTTTGGGTTTGGGTTTGGGTTTGGAGTTTGGGTTTGGGTTTGGGTTTGGGTTTGGGTTTGGGTTTAGGTTTGGGTTTGGGTTTGGGTTTGGGTTTGGGTTTGGGTTTTGGGTTTGGGTTTGGGTTTGGGTTT